TACTTAATAAATCCGAATAGAAGATAGTAATAGTTAATAGTGATGAATGAGTGTCGTGTTCTTTCAGAAAAAATCCCCAAATGAAAATCGAACTTGTACCTTACAATATAATTTTATAACACGTTTTATGATGATGTCATTGTTGGGTAAATTTTGCATATTTTCAACAGCGCGAAACGACAAGTTTCCGTGTAGTAGTAAAAAATATTTTTAATTATACAATTCTTTTTACAATACTTCCACATTAAGTAAATTATATATACTAACTAACTAATCTTATCTTTATGTTAAATATATATGTAAATTATTAACATAATAAGTTTATTTTCAACGCTTTATGGTAGTTTTTAAGGTCTTATTTAGTTGGTAAGAAAGCTAGATTAATTTTAATCGTAATATTGTTTAAACAAGGTTTCCTAGTCACTTCATAATGTTAGCGCATGCAGTGAATTTTAACTTTAACTCCACTATGTACAATCGAATCCCTCCGAACTCTCAGAGATGAATTAGGGGGGCGGGGGAGTTTCAGCCCCTTATAAATTGAAACCCCAGTTAAAATCAATACTGTTTTTGAAAAGAATGATTTCAAGATAGAAATTACACATTAAAAATAAATATTCTCACTTTGAAATTCTATTTAGAATTATTGAACTTCACCATTATCTATGTTTGATAATACTGTTTCTATATAGATAACCCCGTCTCCATTTGTGGATAAGCTGTTAAGCACTCGGCGGCAATCGGCTTTGATGCACACTTATTATCATTATGCAGCTTATGTATAAAAATATTTCTCTAGCATAAAGAAAAAGATTCCTTTAACCATTTTTAATGCACTGCGGTGGGTTTGAACGGGCGGAGATATTTAATTATTTTTTTTGCAGATATAAAAGGCTAAGTTCCTCTAACTTATTATATTAGTTCCCTGTTAATTCCCCAGCGCTGGGAACAGACAATCTCTTCGTAGGATGCGGATATAAGACCTTAGCTGGTCCTAAATTCGTCGAAAAACATTGTCACAAAATTAGTAAAAAAAAGGGTACTGACGGTTTGTCGTAGTCGTTGTGAATAGGTGTTGTTGATATCAATTTCTACCACTAAATTTTGGGCTTATTATGAGATATTTATTAAGTTCAATATTGTTGTTGAAAGTATTGAATCTTGGACCTCTTGATCCGCTGGTGTTAATATAGCTAATTCTGTACTTGACCGTAAATAACACAAATGCAAAGAGTATAATTCGTGTTTTAAACCGTTAAAAAAAGTGAATGCCCGTTTCCCGCTCGTGGGGCATGGGGCGAACACATTCCTGTGTTCCGTTTCACTAATCCTTCCTTTTAAGGGGTAAGTAGTTGATCAGACTTCTGTGCCCTGCCTGACCGAAACAATTGTATGTTTCCCTGGGATTCGAACCTAGGACCTCTCGCACTTAACGCAATGCTAGGCAATACGTTAAAAGTGTTATTTAAATGGTTATTTTAATTAACCCCTCCATAATTATTATTGATCAACTTAAAAACATTAATTGCACTAAGTTCAATTGGTTTGAAACTCGTAGAGCCAATTGCTCATATTCTAAGCTTTTCCTAACTTAGTTCAGAATCTATTAAGGTAGCTAGTATCGATTCGTTAGCAAGTTGAAGTTTACGGACGGAAATATACCAGATACATACGCTAGCTCTCGATACAATTAATGTATTGCACTGGGACTGCATTCTGTTTCACGGATTTCATCGAAGTGGATAAATTGTTAAGGTTGGAAATAGCGCTGTAATTATTACGGCTGTAAATATTTTGAACGATTCTTCAATGGTGAAATTCGTTCTCTAGTATCGTTAAGAATGGGAAAATATAGTAGTTTTGAACAAGCAGGGCAAATCTACTAACATGTAAATTAAATCGGTGAGTATAACATACATAGATATATTTCCGTCTCGTGCTATTTCAAAAATTTCAAAATAACACTCGACTAGACTACAATAGAACAACATCTTTCTATCAATTCAAACACGAATTTTCTATAGTTTGCACCGGTAGTTCACATAAATTAATACACATTTAACGGTTTAAAACGATCTTGAATTTTAAAAATAATTTCTTTTAACTACGACATTTCAGATGCTTTGCATAAGCCGCGTTCACGGTGGGTATTTCGCGTTTTAATCTATACTAAATTTATAAAGAGGAAAGATTTGTATTTTTGTATGCAACGGATAAATTCAAAAAGTACTGGACCGATTTGAATAATTCTTTTTTCATTAAAAAGCTACATTATCACTGAGTAACATAGGCTATATATCGTACTTGATTACTATAGGCATCTATAGAAATTCTTATTAAAACCACCGGAAGGCGTAAAAAAATTTGCCGTAAAATGTCTTTCTTCGTATACGCTGCGAAAAGTATTAATGATAGGACAAAAAAATGTTCGACAATATTATAGAATATATCAATATCTACAAAAAACATATAAGAACATATGTCTAACTATTGTAGTTACGTCGCTATAACTACTTTTTTACATTTAACAAATTGATAGAAATGCCGATCAAAATCAGACCGTGTTATCCCTACCATTTATAAATTTATATCCGAATAAATATAATTAACCCGACGTTTCGGATGCTTTGCAGCAGCAGTCTCCCCGTGACCACGGCTGCTGCAAAGCATCCGAATCGTCGGGCCGCGGTTAAAAATAATTTTCAAATAAGTTTAACTAATATATCGCGTTTTAAACCGTTAAAGTGTTTTATTTAAAAATCATATTTGTGTTGTATTCAACACAAATATGGTCTATTGACCGCCTAACGACGAAAGCTTTAGGCGATAAAACCTAAGACCAATAGGAGCAAAGAACCAGTCGTGAACGGTGCGAAAACGGTTCAAGATACCGAAAAAATATAATATGTATAACAGTATTACCTTCCTTCAATAATTTTAAAAAGTCCGCGACACTTTTTAGATTAACTCACAGGAATCGTTTTTATGGTAATCACATTTGGGAAACAAACACAACACTACATATGCTAAAAGAACGTTTGCCAGGTCAACTAGTAATAATTCTTTCAGTCGCGCAACTGTTATTAAAATCCATCAGTGAAACATGCAAGTATTGGTCTGCGCAAGTCCCTCATAGAATACATATTAAAAAAACTTTTTTAAAACTGTGTCTTAATCTGGCGCAGGCAAAGTTTAAACTGTTATTGCCGGGTGTAGACTGTAGGTAAACGTACCGGATGCCGTATATTATTTTCGACGGCCGAGACGTCGTCCGTCGAAGAATTACCGCGCATTCACACATTTATTAACGCAACCAAATGCGACGCTTGCGCAGTCTTTTATCAGAAGTGCTTGTTTTTTGTCTGCTCAATTTGCATGTTACAAATATACCATAAAATTAATTGGCTACTTAGCTTTAAATTCCATAAGTGCGTGCGTATTTGTGCCCTCTCAATTCAAATATATTACAAAAATGACGATGTTTTTTAAATAAACTGAAATAAACATTTCCAATTATTGTTTTATAAAGAATAAGAAAATTCACATTCAACATTTATTTATTTCATAAAATCCATGGAATAACACGTAAACGACCATTCTGTTTAATTACAATTAGATATACACACCTCAACAAAGCCTAAGGATATGTTGAACTTTGATTCTAAAAATAATTTTCTTGATTGTGAAAATCGGCCCGACTTTGTTGATGAGTGGAATGAGAACATTATGCAAACTTGATTTCAGAAATTCTTATTAAAACATTGACTATTACTGTAAATGCATATTTTAACATTTATACATAGAATTACGTTAAACACACATCGAAGAACCTCATAGGTAATCCCAAGTAATAGGACAATTAACTAACAGCCAATTTAAATAGTGAAGACATATTCACCCTTCAGCTAATTCCTCTATACATAATATAGATCATCATACATATATTTTCATACAATATAATTTTACATAAATATGACATTTAATAGACATTATATGATATACTTCTTATTAAAAATACATTTGAGATTTTACTAACAATAACTATAATAGATATGATTGAAATATAATTAGGATTTTCTCAAAAGGACACTAAAGGTTATACCTAGCTAATAAGATCTGCGTCCCATGCCGCGTGCGAGCTATAAACGAAGACTAAACCATTTCAAAATAATACTATTATATATCTAAAACTCTCTTTTTGAACATTTTGTCTGTACGAGGCTGAAGTATATAATGCATAGGGCACGGTACTGCTGTGTTTATTCTTTGTGATTGATGATGATTAAGAACATGCTTGCTATGGAGTAATAATTCCAAGTAAAAAATATAGAACCTCTCACTAACCTTTGGGACGATAGAACGAATTTGACTCTATGTTACTTAAAATCTAAGCTATGATTATACTCTGTACTTACAGTAAAATATTTTAAATGCGTTCACACTCTAATTACTAAAGAATCATTGTCTTTTAATTTTAAGTTCTAGTAATCAGTAGGTAACTCTTATTTGGTACATCGTATATGTTTGTTTAGAAATACTTCTAAAATCAATATTAAAACATTTATCTTTGTGCATGAGCGGCTGCCATACTGAAATATACATTTAATTGTATTCGCTGATATATACATCTATAAAAGCAAGCAATCAAATATTTAGCTATTCGAAATTATTAAATAGTGTGGCACGATATATTACTTTAACTTAAACTAAATTTTCTAAAGGACAATTATTTACAAATATGACTGTATCGAAATCTGGCATAATACGTTGAAATAATAATAAAAACAAACAAAAAATAATATCACAGCAAAGAAACGCTTAAGCCGTTGTCGCGACCTACCCTTCAAAAGTGTTTGTTACACCGTGACGCAAGGGTCAAGCGACAAGTAGAACTCTACATCGTCGGTATCGGGAACTAGAGTCAGAGCCTTTCGCCCGGCACGTTTCCGTGGCTTCGAATTGTCATTATGCCTTGACTCTATCATCATGTTCTCCCACACTCATCCAATTCTAAACGATGTACCCTCGCCTGGGTCAACAGCTGGAATAGGCTTCTCTGGTAAAGGCCTGTTCAACATTTTGCCAGAATTATTTGAAGAGGTCGATTTGTTTGATTTTATAGTCGACGGTTTTTGTGAGTTGCCTCCAGAATTGTTTAGGGCTTTCAAAGGTGTGTTTGGTACACTTGAGATCATTTTTTCTCTGACAGCTCTCAGGTAAGGTCCTCGTGGGACCGCTTGCTCCGCTATGACATCAGGCATGGAGCCAAGTAAAGTTTTCTTTTCTTTATCATTGTTAACAATCTCAGCATAAAGGTGAACAGCTAAATCCTTTGGTTCAAAGTATTCGTGAGATAGTGCCGGGTGTCTATAATACGGCGATAATGGCGTTAGCTTATCAAGTGACGGTGTACGTGTTCCTACACTTATCATTTGTTTCTTATTCTTTCCAACCCTCGGTGTGGTATTTTGAAAAGGTAAATCGTAGATATTTTCTTGATCTTTTTGCGAAATAGGACTGTTCATATTGCAACTCTCTTCGACTTTGATAAGTTCGTAAAGATGTTCAATCATTTCGCGAGCCTCTACATAGTTTTCGGGATCCTCTAATTTTTCTTTTAAATTTTCCAACAATTCCTTAGTCAACTCTTCTGGTAGAGTTTGAGTTGTTTTGTCTTCGATTGGTACTACTTCATCTTCCTGGGGTGCACTCGGCAGAGTAGTCTCTTGAACAATATGTTCTTGAATCATATTATCTTGCACGCGAGGCTCATTTAGTCGGTGACGCTCAGAATATTCGTGAACAGATAATTGGGATATAGATGCTGCATTATCTATTCCGTTGTTCCCACATACACATAGTCGTTCACAAATGCCGCATGAAGAGTGCGAATTCCTAAAGTAATCTTTTACGGCTACGCAATATCCGCGATTTTTCATCCATTTAAATAAACTGAATAGCAATGCTATAATTATACAACCTATAATAGTAACAATTACAATTCCAATTACTTTAGCATTACGTCTCGTTAAACCACTTTCACCATCTTCCATAAAAATATGCGGAAATCTTGGGTTCTTGACTTCTTTCGAAGCATCTTCGTCTGCATTATAGGACTCACATTTAATACTCGTTTTATCGTTACATACATTTTGATAAAATTTATAGAATGGCATATTTTGATCATACACGTTAAAACATCTAGCGAAAAATTCGTCAACAGTACAATAACTCTCGTTTAAAAATGGCTCTGCGGCGTCCGCTCCAAAACCGCTTGCAAACCAGTGCGACATATTGCAATAACAGGGTTGACCGTAAAAGTTATTTTTGTATTCTATATATCTGTCGTAATTAATAAAAGCTTTTCCGAGGAAATCTAAACTGCCTGGATTCATAATCTCAATTTCATTGTCTTCGAAAACAACTTCATGTATACTCCCGCTGGATCCAATTATAGCATTTGCTGCTAATTCGTCGAACGAATTCCCGATCATGTAGAATTTATTCCAGGATGATAGTTCGAATCCTCTTTCTTTAAAAATATGAAATATGCAGTGAGATATATCAACAGACACAACTGTTGAGTTGATAGCGCCTGTTTCAACCTTGTCGATTCTGTAAACAAATAAATTATTCGCTATAGTCCTATCATTAAGCTAAAGAATTAGAATAAAAGAACAAAATATATTTTTAAATCTTATTAACTTCTAATACTTACTGAGTATGGGAAATGTTAAGTTTAGCGACCGCCGATTGTAATGCTCCAGTAGCAAGTTGATGTATAATACACCCATAGAAATGAAGATTGTTGATCAAGGATTTCTGTGTAAATGATTCTCCTTCGATTACTTGGAAAGAGCAATTCGTTGCCATCACAATATTGTACGTATTTGCCGAAAATGCCTCGGGGCGTATAGCTCGGACTTGTACACCTTCCATCGATATCAAAGCAGCGGAAGAACCGAACGTTTGTCCAGCAAATTCAGGTATCTCCACATCTTTAATTTTGATCTGAAACAGGCAATACTTATGTTTGTAAAAATACAGTAATCTATAAGTGTTAATAGCGTAGCGCAGCGTACATTTCGCAGTGCATATAAATACTTTCGCTTAGTCTAAATAATGGAATCTAAACTCACCGTCATTCCTGGACCATGCTCGCCAACGTTTGCAGCTGTGGAGTCCAACATAAAAGAACCGCTGCTGAGATGCAGCTGAGTCACGTTATCAATGCTTATCGATAAAAGCCAAGAGAAAGCTTCGCTCTCGATCGAAACTTGTTGACAGTCTTTTATAGTCACAGACAGGGGACCTGAAAGGTTTTGAAGACTCGTTACTTAAATGTTTATAGTTGATGCGTTCTGACATAAGTTTACATACGTAAATCGCATTCTGTTTGATATAACACGTGCTCTGTTATTGCAACAGTAGCTACATGCGTGAACACGCCTCTATTGTCTACGATACATTCACGCTTTTGTATAACGTTCGATTTGCTCCGTGAGTCATTATCCTGTAAACCACGAATACCGAGTCGGGGAAACGATATTTTTAGACAGCACCGCGTACGTCTGCCGGCTGCCGGTTACCTATAACTAAAGAAGCGTATAATTTCCTCTGACCGACTTTGTGTCTTAAATTCACACTTTAAAGATAAATATCGATTCTAATGCATTGTTAGCTTTGTTAATATTGGTCATATAAAATAACGGTGTGTACTCAAATGAGAACGCAACTCTTGATGACCGAGATTGTCCAGTTACACGGACCTCTTATTTCTTGTATTTGCGGAACGAAAGGTAGGCAAGTAATGAGTGGAAACGGGCCATCTACAAGTGGGGGCTACTTAATGCCGAACGAGAACAGCAATGGACGTTTACAAACAGGTTTTAATAAGACTCATACAGCATATGACGATTTCATCACTTGTACAAAATATGTGATTTACCGTGATTCGACTAATGATAACTAAATGTCACATGGTGTTACAGAGAATTACACTTTAAGTAGCATAGTATGAAAAGAGCTAAGATTCATTTATAAATTAAGACACGATATAACAGCATAGAATTCACGCAGTTTGAAAAGGTACGCAGAACGCAGAAATAGTTAGACTTAGTCATCGAGAATTAAGTGCATATGGCATTTGTATTAGAGACCCGTTATGGTAAATTATGAGGACAGATATAATTATGTAGCAGATTGTAACAAGGAGATATTAATCGTACATATTATTGAATAAAAATGTATTCTTTTGTCTAAAAGTTATGTCATTATTTCTACTTACTACAACTTAATACCCTTTACATTGTTTACTAGTATAGATTTTGATAAAATTGGCTGTTATTTTTTAATTAAACTGTTTCATTTAATTTAATTTAATAGTTTTAAACAACATCTTAATTAAAATTAGGATAATGCCCAAAAATATCTACGAAGGAACAGTAAAACCAGTAATTTGTTTAATATTTCGCAATACCACCTTCAAAATTAATGTTTATCCAATACGATTCGTAAATAAATATACGTGTTTCAGGGTTACATTTAAACTGGTTACACACAGAGGCTACTTTGCAAAGCTTTGTAAGAGTTACGTAATTTAAATTGAATTTTTTTGTTGAGTATTTAAATTTCGAACTTCTTAAATTTATGTTTTTATGTAATCGTGGTGTCAACGTAAGGTATTCTATACTTTACGGATACTTTTTATAAGTTTTTTAAAATGCTATAAAACGTACTGTAAAAATTGAACGTAATACTTGGAGTGATACAATCTCTACCCAATAAACCGTCGACGAGCCTACAGATGGATGCGTCACGTTATCTCATTGTATTTTGATTTGAGATGTAAATGTGCTAAGGGTCGAGAATTGAATACGATCGCTGTACGGACCGAGGCAAGAGTAGGCGTACGTTCGTGGTCATTACATCTGACCCCATATTACAGTCTGCTAATCGATTTTGCTGTGTATAACAAGTAGTATAATTTACTTAAAATTTTCAAAGTCAAATTATTCGTCATTATATGAAGGAGTTAATTACTGAAAACATACAATTTAAGATAAAACATTATTTAACGCAGTCAAGGTTCATTATCTTGGTATTATAGTATAGTAAGACAGTAGTTATATTAAGACAGGCTTTTTAACTTATAATTTGGCATCTTGGAAATTTTAGTTAAATATTAAACGACAACGACCCGATAATCGAGCTCATCCGGCGAAGCGGTCAGTGCTTAGACCGGTTGGCTCACATAATACGTACGTTTCTAACCATTAGTAGGGTACAAACAAACGTAAGAATAAAACCTTGATACATTCAATCTTTTTGAGACGATCGCTTATAAGCCTAAAACGGTATATTTACACTTCGCATTATCTATTATCTATAGAGCCGGCATTAAATATTGCACACCTAAGAAAGAGACAGTCATATTCGATATATCGTTATCTCTGTCACACACTGACATTACGATAGTTTTGATTGAACAATAAAGTTCAACATATATCGGTATTATCGATGTGCAAGAGTTATTTATAGGTAAAATTCGCATTGCAGAAGCAAAATTAATATCTAATCGTAATTTACGTTTTATATAACATTAATATAGGTTTAAAGCTAGCAGCAGCCCTACGCTTAATTCAAGTAACACTCACCTTTTATATTGACGAAGCTCCTTTCTTCAATACGCAGTACATCGCAGTTGCTTATATCGAGATAGAGGTTAACTATATTCATCTGTACTGCGGTGGACTTTCTTAAGGTTATAGTCTTCGTATCGGATATATGAAGAAGTCTTGCATCACTCAGTCGGGTCAGTGCGTTCGGGTTGATCGTTACAGCATTACCACCGGTTATAATCAAGTCTGTAGTTTTTTCGGGGACATCCCCCTCGACGATGTCCAACTTCTGAAAAATGTAAATGAAAATAAAAGAAGAGCATAATATTGATTTGAAGAATTATTTTCTCTATTCACCTAATGAGAAATCACTGTTTTAAAGCGTCTTATTGTCTGTATTTTACGCTAAAAGAACACATTCAGGCCTTCTAACTAATATTGTCTTTCCGAACATAAGCTTTAACAATAACAACAAAATCAGTAATTAAATTAAAAATAGATTTTAGATCTTCTGCTGGACTTGAACCGGCATCCACAGCGTTCCGTGCTGTTGCTCTAACTAATTAAGCGACCGTGTCAAGTGAAAGTCCTGCCAGTGTCGTAATTTTTTTTCGTTTTGCCATCATTAATTCAAAAATATTAAAGTTTTCAAAGTAGGCTTTCCTAGAGTAAGTTTTACCCATTTTCAAATATTATTCTAGACCACTACTAGCCATTTTTACAGCAACTAAATTCATTTATATTTCAAAAGATAATCGAATTACACCGCCGTGCAGCATAAATTATGTTAAAAATTGAGCCAAAGCACATTTTATCGATTATAATTAGGAACACAAGCGTGCATCCGACGGCATAGTCAAAAAGGGGTTTATCGACGGATACGGGCTGGTAATTGAATTGAAACGGGGAAAGCGAATTACTGGACCTATTACCAGCTTTACTGGTACGTAGAGGAAATTTTTGTTAAAAATTATAAGCCACGATTCTTTTGGTAATATGGTAAGAAGCTATGCAACAAAAAGTTAGACACTAATAACATTTTCCGTCTCTTTTGACAGCTCATTTGTTCTAGGTTTAGCAAAAGTCTGTCCAATAACTAGCCAATAAGTAAAATCAATGAAACACATACAGAAAATTGCTCCACTCGTATCTAACATGTGAGAAATGGGATTTCATATACATGTGTACATATATATTTTAAAAGCATCGAGTTTCAAGTGAGTCAACAGGCAACATGTTCAATCTTGTAGTCAGAGAAATCTTTTGTAACTATTGCTACCATGTTAACATCTTATACACCTGTTGAATGGAATTGAATGTAGAAAAAGTGAGAGTGGTCCCATTGACTATGAACAATTGTTAACATCAGCCTCTACCAGTGGCTACTTTACTTTCGTTACGCCTTTATTCAAATGGAAACAATGAATTGTCAAGTACGTTATCTATTGAGTTTAGTTTGATAAATATATTCTCTTGTAAGTAAGGTTGTTATCGAGGCGCACACAGAGCTACAGATAAGTGACTCATAAAATGTATGGCCGCTAAGGAGCATTGTGTTCTTAGTAATGAGTTAATGACTTAAATTTTTCGTCCCTTAAATAAAAATTTAAATGGTCATTATGTTACAATTAGCTAATGACGATATAGATACGTCTAACAATGAATGTATTTGCAAATACGGGAACTATTTAAAATAGAGATAAGCGAGCCATAAAACATGTTTTCGAAGTAATTTTACGGCACTAAGCGACTGCATATGGCGATTGAGCAATATTGTTTTCTACAAATAGAAATTGTAAATCGATTTCGTTTCATAAAAAGATTTTATTCACAAGATTGTCAAGCAGACGGTCGTTCTGACTCAGGATCGGGTTTCATTTCGCAATAAGTTTTCGACTTGTTTTTGCCTTTTTGGGGAGCGGAGCGATGTAGCTTCTGTAATGTTCTAACTCTTGGCTCAAAGTTCTTATCAAGTATCGAATGTGGAAGGAAGTACAGCGCAGTAATTAGGTACGACCTTATTACATTTGTTCCTGGGACGTTCTCAGAAATAAACCTTGATCTATATTTCAATCAGAGCGTAAGGTAAGTTAGTACTTCGATATTTGTCAATTGGATAGTGATAAATTGCGTAGAACAATGGTTGGGTGCGACATGAAATCAACGTAAAATAACTTTTTGGCTCATCCTCTTTGGAACACCATATTTGACAATTATGTACATGCCATGTTTTTTGTCGTTGGTCTAACGGTAGCAATGTATGCCTAATTATCAACAGTTTCTAATTATTCGTTTTATAATTTTTCTGAAACATGCTGGACTTCGTCTGGAATTCTGGATATTAAATGGATTGTAGGAATATAGAAATTCCGTCCGTATCACGAACCACCGTCCACAGATGAGGTTTCAGTCTGTGGATTTCCGAACACCGAAGCCAAAATAGGGCGACTGCCCATTTTATTTAGTTGCCAAGTAGTCAACCCCATGCTTGTTTGTCTTCCTCTATTATTAAAAAAAATCAATATCCCAATGCTAAGCAAAGGTCCTCACTCCTCCTATCACAGAACAGGGTCTAAGACCCATTCTCTCCAAACTGGCGGACTTAATAATTATTATTACAGTCAGCAAAGCATGATTAATTAATTGGCTAATCAGTTATTGGCATTCACTGGCTCCTGTTTTCGCCTTTGTGCTAACTCTAGCGCAATAGCAACTTGAATATTATATAAACGAGACAGGTCAGTTTGTTCATTGTCGCCCTCGCATTATAGGTGTAAACCTCAATAATTATGGCAGAGCTGTGTAAATTACAATGACGGTAAGTGAATTGGAACCGTATGTCGTTGTAGTAATGTTCTTTTTTCCAAAAATTATCATGTATCATTGTGCTAGTTTCATATTATGAATGAGTACTTGATGCGTGTTAATGCTCCGTCTGCTATGTAGAGATTGTAAAAGCTTATATGTACATTTGTATGTGTATAGATTATTATCACTTTTTAAAACTGCGACGAATTCTGTTTCGGATGTAATAAAAACATGTGAAATAAAAATGTGTCAAAGTTTATTGGAATCATTTGTTATAACTGCGAATCTGGGAAATTATTTTACATAAAACAGGAACTGAAATGCTCGATGGATTGATATCAAGTCTAGCATAAAAAATACTAAATACTGTCTGTAGTTTACACGAGTAGTAAGCATTTAAACGAAACACTAACGGTTTTAAACCGCGGTATATAATAGTTATTTTAATTATTTAAGTTTCAGTAATATATAAGTTTTAAACCGTTAAAGTGTCTTATTAAAAAAAACTACTAAATTATTATCGATCGTAAACGAACCTTATCATACACAATGTTATCGGTGCGAAAATTGGGACCGTCGTGTCTTTATCTAAAACATTTAGTTCTAATCTTCCCGATATAAAAGTTATAATAAAAGTTTGTGTTAATCTCTGGCCCGACGTAGCCGTCTCACCCGGCGCAGGAAACGATATCTCTTGATGATTTTTTTGTGGTTTGTTCGTTGCTCCCGCTTCACTCTAGTTTTTAAATACGTATTCAGTATGCAGCGTTTGGTTTACGGAATTTTTATGTTATTAGAATCCTTATACGACTTGCCCGTTGTAAAATTCGTTAACAATCAATTTGGAAACGTTATTAGCTGAGGTTTTCCTCGTTCGGAGCGCACTGCTCATTTATTATTAACATCATTGTGATTATTGACTGTGATTTATTTCTTGCCTGGAAGAGATCGTTTGTTAGCGATAAGGTTTTTATTCTGTATCATTATTTTTTTTGCAATAAAGAATAAATAAATATTTGAAATAGAATCACAGATCAATCTGTAGAACAAAGCTTAACAGTCAGAATACTTCTAAATTTAAATTAGTATCGAGATAAATATTCTAATTTTGAAATTGACGTAACGGTACTATGTAATTTATGATAAACAAGCGTAAATATTTTTAGTACCGTACCGTATTTCCCTACGACTATTCTTATGGATCGTCAGAAGTATAAAGATAAAGGCACTTGAGACCTTTCAACTTTTGACTGCTATGTGGGTGTGCTATGCGCAACAGGTGCAAAACGGGCTTCTTTTTAACGCGTGACTTACTGTTCAATCTTTATATTGTACGATTATGCTCTAATAATGCACTTGCATACCTACTTATGATAAACCCTCTAGTATTTCCGTCCCACCTCAATTGAGGAAAACACATTTGATAAGCTCAAAAATATAGTTTACGAAGACATTTTTTTATACTTCTCATTGTAAGTTTTTAAATTAAATTAAATTTAGTTGTAACTTATGTATAGTCTGTGCTAATAAACGAATTTTTCATTTATAAATGTGTTACTTTGATCGGTTATTTTAACATGTGTAATAAATATAGTGGAATATTTAAAAGGTAATATATTTTGCATTTTGAACCGTTAAAAATGTCTTACTTAATGTAAACTAACAAAGTATCAAGTACTGACTGCTAAAATATTACTTGTTTGTATATAATTTTGTTTTTACAATTCTATCGTGTACAATTTCATAAGCCATACGTTTATGTAAGTAACTATTGTATTGTGGGAATGAAGATTATACAAATGACTCGAACTACAAAACACCACGGATTTTATAACATTTATGCTAGGGTAACCACCATAGATGGGAGAATGTTGCTAACACATGTTTGTCGTCTGAACGTGACGTAAAACAATGCACTCAGTAGGGACATGTATCATAATTTCCGGTTTCATATTCTATAATCTGCCATACAACACGATTAGCAACTTCAAAGAGGTCGCATTTTTTGTTAGCGAATCACTTTGTATACCTAAGTAGAACAGACAATCGATCTTTTAAGGAATTCATGTGTTACATTTACATCTATTAAAATTTAAAAGAACCTTTTTAAAATGCATCTACTTAACGGTTTTAAACGCTAAATATATTACTTATTTTTCACTTGGATGCTTTATTCGTGTACAAATATTTTCTCCCCTAATTGCTTTTATTTTTGCTAGTTCTCATCACCACCTTAGTGGTTATTTATTCGAACTATTTAGTGTTTATAATTAACACAGTTATATTAATAAATACAATCGATTTATAACGATCGTGGTCACAGTGGCAACATAAAGTAACCAAAACGTTATATAGTTTGCGTTCTAAACCGTCAAAAACTTTTTCATTTAGAACGTACTTTATTGTGTGGACTGATAAAACGAACGCCATATGTGACAAAGATTACGCTCTACTGAACCGAATGTGGTCAATTGTCTCCTTCTAAAGCTTTACTGGCAGTATGAAGCACGGACACTGTGTACATGAGATACGTAGGGCTACGAAAAAGAGAATCAACGTAATTTCCACTAAATTATTGACATATGTATGATAGAGGCGGACAGACAAGACAAGACTAAGGGTTTATCTGTTAGAAGGTAGAATGCCCCAGCCACATATTTTGGCTTTGGAACTAAAATCCACAGACTGTAACGCGATTAAACTTTACAACTATTCCATCTGTGAACGGTGGTTCGCAACCCGGACAGAATTGGGATATTCCTACTCCCCATTTTATATCCAGATTTCCAGACATTGTCTCATATATTTTAGAAAAATTAAAAAGAAATAAAAGTGATCAAACCCACAACGTGTAAATTATTAGCCATTAGACCCAGGCGTCATCATTAGAATATACACTGCTGTTAATTTTGCGTTTTAAACCGTTTAAATTCACTTATAAACATATATCAGTAGAGTTTAACATCGTCGCACATGTTTAAAATATTAGTTATTGTGACAAATGCTAAAAGTTCTGACGAATGCAATATAAATAATTATTTCTGTCATAGAGCCGTCTTATCGCTGACTCATAAAAATTCGACAAAGTGTGAGTTGACTTCGCTTTATATTAAGAAAAATATAGAAAACACTTTGTCAAACCCAGAAATACATAACTTTTTGAGACATTTATTGCTTTCTGATAAAGGACGGATAAATAGTGACATCTTCTAGTAAAGAATTAAAATTTGTGTGCGAAATCCTATTGATGATATAATTAAAACCGTAATTTTTTCGGCACAGATAATGCCACTTCGCAATCTCGCTAACTTAGAGTTTTATTCAGGAATTGTACCTCAGTTCTATACCCATACTAATGATCCGCATTTGATCTTGTCTTACTATTTTTCGGTCGTTAACATTATTTTCCTCAGTGAACAGACCGAGCTATAAAAACGTAGTCTTGGCAACAGACAAGTTACAATAATAGACATAAAATATGGAACAAATCACAAATAAACATTTATATCAAATAGGTTATGAATAAAAATTACGTGTGTATGAATGTTTTGCGAAATTTTGTCGGAATATGTTTCGTATTCAAACAGTTGGCCGGACAGAGTCGTTCTTTTGTAAGCTATAATTAGTGTGAGCTAGTAAGAGATACTCGACATAATTTGAATAAATACGACTACAGACCGTGTATTATTTACGTTTTAAAGGACTTCAGTCTTTATTTTTTACTTGTTTTATATTTACTTTCGTCTTAAACTACTAATGCCTCACTTCTGGAGATCGATCTCCTCTCTCATAGAGAGAGATTCAGCGGTTAATACGCCATGCTACTCCAGTACTAAATTAGTAATAATTACAAAAACCTTTAAAACCCCGAGCAAATAGTTAAAACTTTGTAAGAAAAAATCCAAACACGTACCCAAATTTCTATCAACTCGGAGTCCGAACACTGAAGTCCTCGGAATCTTACTCTAATCACAAAACCAACGAAGCAGTTCTATTATCCTTCGTATTTATTCCTATCTTATGGTATTTCCCTTTTTTTGACCTTTATTTTCACTGATATCATTCCCTAACAAAAACATAAACTAAGTACCAAAGATTTTATTAATTCATTCCATGTAGTCGCTATGAACCATTTCCGCAGTAGATGCCATGGGACAATTTCCGAGTAAACGAAGCAACGTTTGTAGGCAAATAATTTCCTATATTTATAACGATATTAGTTTTAAAATGACATATGTACTGAACGTTTTTTGAATAAGCCCTTTCGTTTATAATATGAACAAGATTTACGCCCGTCCATGTTACGAAATATTTTTCAACGATTTCGTGATAATTTAAAAATTTTAAAGTTAGTCAAAGAGCTTAAAACACTTAAATTAATCCAGTCGCAGCCGGTTGTGTAATTACACATTTATGTAATTCCGTAAAAATACTCGTGTTTTCAATCAACAATCTAATTTAATTTTCGTGATAGCTAAGTTGATTAAAAGTAAGATGCGCGAAACGCTACCTCTGAGCCGAGATTGAAATTATAGCTTGTTTATGCGATCTACTAAGATGACACACAATGGTTCTTTGAGAATAACATGCCCACATCTACCTGCTTTTGTTAAGACCCTGTTTTGTTTTTTATCAATCGACCATGTCTTATTATCAGCAGCTGATTTATGTGCCGTATAATACTCTTAAGTATTGTTTTCGACGAACATCTTTATTTCAAAATGTATCGTTGATTTGATGGTTCGTGCACTCAACTGCTCACGAGACCCCGGGTTCGAAGCATGGATCGGGTACAATTTTGGTATTAGGAATTCTAGCAGGTGGGTCGAAGATCTAAATTTGAAAGAGAAGACCTTAATTTTATCTAATTATATTTCAATTGTAATTAGCAGTAAACGATTTGATTGATAATTAGCAAACTGTTGATCTATAAATTAATGTAAATGCAACTCTCCTTTGTTCCTAAATGATGTTTTGAGTAAATATTAAGATAATATTGTTGTGTTATCGCTTATCACCTAGTTACTTATATACATTCGTCGAGGTATCGTTGATACAAAATTATTATAGACGTTATAGTGTTGTATTACTGGATTATGTATCCAAAAATGTAAACAAGTGTAAACTGTGTCCTTTCTCGTTATTAGACAATATTTGAACTAAAACTACAGCTTAGAATAGTTAGCGACCATTGACGATTTATTAATACACGTTCACTTTGTTACCTGATTATTCGGTAGAGTGCAGTTAACAACCATCCAGTTGGGGTGCTTCGCGGGGGTGCATTCACAGTATGTACGTTCACATAGGTCCGGGTGATCGGCCACTTGAGAGGCGATCAAGCCGAACAGCATCGTAAGCACTAACACCATAGATAATCGCGACATGATGCCGCGCGAACGCGCGTACAACCACGCGCTGCGAACGTCATGCACTTACTGCTGTCTGGACAGCCGCCGGCTCCGCAGTTCGCGCCCAATGCTCTATCCAACTCTAGTGATGCCATTTATTCAGCGGGCAATTATCGACATCGATAATCATATTTAATTAGCAGCAGTTATGTTCTTGTTAGTTGCGATCGTGATCCGCAAATTACATTTGCTCGTTTGATTTTTTTCACTCAAATTAATACGGGCTTATCTTAATTGGGGCTTCAATACTACTTAGTTAAATAAAGGAAAGCGCAACGATGAAGTACTTGAAAGAACTTTGACGTTTGTTATAGAAAAATTAAGTGAGATGTAATGGATTTCGTATTAAAGACATACTGTAACATTAGGAGGTTTCACCCGGACAACAAGTTATGTTGTTTGTAATTAGTATAAAAAAACTGACATATTATCTTTGGAATAGAAACTGCTTATATAATTATTTATTAGTTAAAAATAAAGTGACATAGGGAGAAGAGTATTAAATCTTACTTAACAGTGTAATAGATACTGAGTGAAAGATGCAAAGGTTTTCAACTTCATTATAAAGTTCCTTGGAGCCCTGAAGCAGTGCTGCTTTGAATTGAAATCAAATATTGAGGAGAACGTTGTATGAAAAGATTATATTTGATCTCGTACCTAGACTCCTATTAGCTTTTCTGTAATATAGAGCTTATCAGTCTACGATATGAAATAACGTTAGTAAATTATGATTATCTTGTTGCATTGTTTTATTTCTGAGATTCCTTTTATCGTATAATTACCATCTCTTAATTCTCAATGTAGTATAAAGTTTGTGACTAACCTAGACTGTCGACTATGAGGTAAGGTCGAATAGCTTTTACATTCCTTTAGCCCCCGGCTACTGTACTTTAATGGATTCAAGTATTTCCTAAGAATTATTAAAACAACTATCCTTTTATCATGACGCTCTTACAAATTCTATAGAACTCTTATTCTTTTTTCATAGCTCCTTATGGCAGTGTGTGTGTTTTAAAGAATTTTAGCAATCAATGACCATTATAAAATAGTATTTTTAACCATAATTTATTTTTAAAATAGTTCAGATTACTTTTTTTACTCATTCTTGATACTGTTCTAGTTGTTGTATTGTAATAACTATATAATTGATTCATTCTATATGTTATTGTTGACCGCCTCTGAAGTCAAATGTTAAACGTATTGCCAAGCATTGCGTTCAGCGCGAGAGGTCCTAGGTTCGAATTCCAGGGAAGCAAAAAATGTATCGGGCAGGGCACAAAAGTCTGATCAACTACTTACCTGAAAAAAAAAATGGATCAGTGAAACGGACACAGAAATTTGTTCGCCCCATGCCCCACGGGAGGGGGGAAACGGGATTTCACTTTAACAAATAACTATATGATATTCTTGTCTGATTTAAAATTTTTAAAAAGAAATACTGTCAATATTAATAACCTTCGACTATCTCCATTATCTTCTTTTTCGCTTTTACTGTAGGCATCACTAGCGAGTCGAAAAATAGCGTTCATCCGATAGCTAATAAAAAAAATGTGATAGATTAAAAAGCAGTTCAACGTTATTGGTTTTATTTATTTAAACAGGGTATGCTATGATATTAAAACGAAAATTCTGTAGTTTATTTTTATACTATATCTATATTTAAATCCCAATATTTGAGGTTTTCTCCCTTGGATCAGGTGCGTGTCAACAGAAAGGCAATTTTTGGCGGATTTCGTAGCCGGAGCGGAGAGTACTGCTGGTGGTCGTTTAGCGAGGTGGTTGGCGCCGACCCCTCGTGTTGAGCCTTCCAACTGCGATCTCAAAGCACCAGCATCGATCGTCCTACCGTCAACTCGGGTCAACTTACCTGTTCTCGTTAGGGATCAATATGGCGATATTGTTACTTCGTCTGCTGTAAAAATTGAGGTGAGCTACTCTCAAATTCAATTATCTTAATCATTCGATATTCAAAATATAAATTTGTGAAGTGGTAATATTTTCGTTAATTAGGTTCCGACTTCCTCCAACTAAACGATAATTTATATAATTTGAAGAATGTGAGCTAACCTTGACTTTATGTGAATGTATTTAACATCTTATCGATCATTACATAAATGAAACTATCACGAGCTAGTGTGACGTGTTCCTACAGCAGAGGAAGCTATCAGGGCGTTCACTTAATTGAATGCAAGTGTGTCAAAGTTTCCCATTAAATGCTTACTAGGTTATCTTTGGAAACTATGAATATATCTTATTTGTAGTTCTAATTATCGTCATAACTATAATAAAAGTGTGACTTACAGGTAATAGTTCAGAATTTGGCCATGTCTCTCCGGATAAACCGACCGACAGAAGCTGAACAAGAAGGAGGCATTCCGAACATCCGTTATAGTCCCACCATTAGAGAAACTATGCGTTTCCAGACGATCACCATGATGAAAGTAAATATCACAAAAATTACTGTCTAAATAAAGACTTATATTTTTATACGTTTAACCACAAACGCACTGTTATTTTTAGGCCTATCAAGATTATTCTTTAGAAGAGCTTCGTTTCGCAAGTGGCCTTTGGGGCGAATCTAAATTAAAGGGAATTGGAATGTTAAAAGTACCAACTGAACGCATTACAGTCAGACCTCAGACTGATGGTTCGTACTCCGCTCTATGGATCCCTCGTGCTCCAGGAAAATATTTGTTCAGGTGTACGTTGGATGACCAGCCCTCACCCAAGGTAAAGTGGAGAAATATTGTGATGTCGTCAGTAAAAACTTCTATCTTAGCTTATTTATTTTGTGTTTGTAACAGGAAGTCATAATAGAAGTACCAGAGAACGAGAACTTGGAATCTGCAGAATTAGCATGCGGTGCTCCATCAACTAGTGCTCCTACTAAGTTGAAACGTTTTATGGCCCAATGTAGCGCAGGTCTTCGCGTTCGTGCCAGCCCTAGTCTTCAAGCCGAAGAATTAGGAAGGGTACCACCGGGTGCTTATGTGGCTTATATAGAAGAGGTGAGTTGTACTAAATCATTGATGATTATAATATGACCTTCTTATATTTCGCTTCTTCAATAAACGTCATCTCTTTTTGGTGCAGGTGACTAACAAAGATGGGACTTGGGTTCGTTTAAGCAATGACTCCGTGCAGGCGTATGTTGAAGGAAACGTAGACGTGGCATGGTGTTTACAATACCACAGGCAGTTGGATCGCACACTCTTGGGGCCCGTCGAAGACGAACCGCATACACCACCAGTAATTAGTTTACTTGTATTCATAAAAACATATTAAATCCGGATGGGCTCAGTGTTCCGTATCTGTTTACCGGCAAACAATGTTTATACACAATCTTAAGTTGGGTGCTTATCCCAGCCCGGTTTATTTTGTTTCTTGTTATTTGAGTACTTTTTTCTAAAATACATGATTTTTAAAGAATTTTAAACATAAGATCTTTTCCTAAACTAATACCATTATCTAAAATGTTTCTGTTTCCCACGGTGGGACATGGGGCGAACGAACACTTTTATGTGTCCAATTAACTGATCAGTTCTTATACTGGGAACTAGTTGATCAGACTTCTGTGTCCTGCTCATCCAAACTATCTCTTGATTGCCCGGGATTCGAACGCAGGACTTCTCGCGCTTAACACAATTTTAGGCAATGCGTTTAACCACTTAGCCAAAGACGCCGTCTATGTCTTTATTAAAATACTACTCCCCATTTTTCTGATCATCATGTATACGTATAATACATGTTCTGTATAAAAAAAATCAATCTTAGGAAACACTGGTCTTAACAGTAAGGTCAAATGAGCAGGATGAAAGCTATCTGTAAATTACATTCTAGCTAAGACAAATGTTTCTAGGATATTGTTAGCGCGAATGAACGGAGGTACAATTTAACTCTTATTCAGTGATAAAATAGTACAATGGATTACACACACGTATGGTCAGTTTTAGATTATGCTGAATTTTCTTATAGGAAGAAGGTGTGGCTGGTTGGAGTCGATTTGAAGCGCAAACTGAATTACCTATGTGGCCTTTAAATGACGACACTGAATCGGCTGATACTGGTATGACAGTGGTTGATTGTACGCATTAATTATACTTAAACCAGTAAAATTTATTTAAAAAATCTTACTTAAATAAAAACACAAATAATCTAATGTTTCAGATTTGAACACTGACGAAAGACCATTTCCGTTCTCGATTCAGTGTGATCTTGGTGATGTAAGTAGTTTTCAAATTATAATAGAATTCCAAAATATTTTTCGAACATTCTTGTGTTGCATAATATTAAATATTCAATTTACGTTCATAGAAAAGTTCTAAAGTCGTGTTATATGATACAGGAAGATGAAAAGTCAAGTCTTGGTATACCAGAGCCAAGTAAATTTGAGAGAAAAATGAGGAAGGAAGCGGCCGCTGCCTTAGCTGCACCTGCTCGAATCCCGTACGTACCACTAGAAGTTATATTTATTTTTTAAAATAGTCTTTGTAAGCAATATTAAATGGCTCTTTTTGTACAAGGGAACCTCGTCGTAATAATGGCAACGGAGATGGTGATGACGAAGATCCCGTTCAGCCTATTATTCAACAAGCTGTGAATGAAAAAGATGTTGCTAACATCATAGCTGATGCTAATGACGCCAACATAATTAACGCAGCTGACGTTGTAGTCGCAGCTTTAGACGAAAGTGTGAAAATTGCTAATGATTTCAGCGTGCAAGATGATTCCGTTAAACCACAGCCACCCCTGAAACCTGTATACAATGCATTGGATATTGCTAATGGAGCAGATGATAATGCTAAAGAAATTGTTGATGTAAGCAATATTGTAGAGGCGGTGAAAATAAGGAGGGCCTTGGAAGACTCGAACGCAGGCAACGCTGAAGCTGAGAAAGTACCTGAATCGAAAAACGATGTAAGTTTACATTTATTCACACTATTTAATTATTACAATAAATCTCAAATATCTAAATCTAACGTTGGTGTTTTAGGAGAAAAAAGAAGACGATAAGAAATTAGCTCAAGCCGCTACTCAAACATCTCCTGAAACAAGCGTGCAAGGTCAAAGTACAGAACAGCCAACCCCAAGTACTTCAAAGGTTTGTATTTATTTTTCTTTGTTTCACTCGTAATTTAAGTTACTGTTGTGTAATATTTATTGTGTAACATTGCGTAATTAAACAAATTTTAATATATTTTTTCTAATAGGTTGAAAAGGGAAATCCTATTCGGGAAAGGGTAGGAAGTATATCAAGTTTCAAAAGTCAGTCATCGCCACCGCCTTTACCAGCTCGAACTAAACCAGCGCCCATTAAGAAACAAGCACAAAGCCCAGCTCAAGCAGAATGTTTACGAGCTATTTTTGCTGCTTTACTGTGGCATGAGGGTAAGTAGGTTTTTATAATAAAAAAAAACTTTAATAGGTAAAATTTACTCAAACAGATTTAACATGTTATACTGCAAATATTAATTATAATAAAAAAAATGCTGGATTCATGTAGCGAACGACCGGTCGTACTGAAAGCCTTCAGTGGAGGCCTATGTACTAGAACAACTTCTTGATTCAATATTATTCTTTGATTATTCCAATTTGTACTAGCACTTAGTGATTATTTGTACTTCCAGGCACAGTACACGATGCTATAGCATGCGCAGCGTTCCTCAAGTTCCACCCACAGCTACCTAAAGCTGGAGCCGTCGTTGTGACACGAGGTACAGGTCATGACTCGCCAATACCAAAACCCCAGAGACATTCTGTCGAAGTGTCTAATGCAGGTATGTGACTTTCCGAATTTTCTCAAACAGAAAAGATTTAAGGTGACTTGATAGACTGTGTTTTACTGTTTGGCTTCGCATAGCAGAAGTAGCTTGTGTGGAATAGAATCACCAGAGCACTTCTTTTTTTTGAATATACCAACTGAAACGGTTGTTTTCCTGCAGGGCAATATCTACGTATTAATCCTTCTACTTTGGAGACATTGACACGATCCGGAACTGAAGCGAGCTCAAGTAGGGCTCGCAGAAGTGACGTCATACGAGAAGAAGATTCGCACTCGAATATGTTTGAAGCTGGTGAGAAAAGTTAAACTTCTTTGTTGAAACAGTAATTAGAATAGAATCATGAGCAATATGTTTCTATCGATATAATACATAATATATTTACAATAGACCAAGCTCTTAGTCGTAAATCGTGTCTGAATGAAACACGTTTAACGTTTAACGCGAAATATATTAGTAAGTAATATATTAGGTATATATTCCACGTTAAAACTACAACATATCTTTGTTTCACTAGCGCCATCTGCATACTTTACTTTGACGTTAGGGGCGCTTAACTAATCGGTTTCAATGTGTTTTACTAGTCGTCTTAACTTATGGCGTGTTCACCAAAAGTGAATAAAAAGGAACAAAAGTTTTGACTTGATCGACAGATCAATGCTATTACATAATCAACATCTTCTTACTTTAATTATGCAATTGGCTTGTATTAATGCCGTTTTAATATTTTTAAATACAAAAACAAAGCGGCCGTCTGGAATGTATTGCCAAATATGGATTGAAACCTGAAAGAGTTGACCAAAATTATCAAGAAAGGGCATGATGACAGCTTGCCGGCACCGTTAATAATTCCAAGGATGACAATTATTTAAATGATAATTCGTACAGCTATTATGATGTTTTAAACGAAACTTAATGGTAAAAAGAGACAATGCCTCCTGAAAACCAAGTTAAGATATATATTCCTAATCTATATTTATAATTATATATAACGCTGAAGAGTTTGTTTGTGTGTTTAAACTCGCTAATCTTAGGAACTAATCGTTCGAATTGAAAATTTGTATGGGTTAAAGCATTTATTAAGAAGTCTATAGGCTACAGAACATTGTGATGTGACTTAATGCAAGAAATTGCGGAAAATGTGGCTTTAAAATTACTTAACTCTATCTCAGAGTAGAGAATCTGTTTGGATGAGAGTCTTAACCTCTACTATTGATATAGTCTGTTCCATTTCAGTTCTGGTGTCTATATACATATATAGTATGATTATTTATTTTATTGTAAATATAGGTCCATCATCTTCGTCATCACAACCGACTTCAGTAGTTAACGTGCTACCTCCGGCATTGCGAGCTCTTGTTGCTCTGTGGGACTCTCTATGCGAAGCTGATCAACTTAACGCAGCTACAGATAAGTAATTACGATTTTTAATATTTGTTCGATGGACTTTTCATAGATTTTTTTTCTATATAATATGTACCTTTTACTTACTGACAAAAAATCTAAATAGAACTTTCGATTTCAGGTTGAAAAAGGAAGAAAACAACGATAATGACGAAATACGCCCACTTGGCGGGGCACTACGTAAGAAAAATTGGAAGTATGGGCCATCGATGAAATTACCTTACATGAGTAAGTCCAATGTACAAAAGTAATGTATGACTTTAATTTTGTTCAATATTGTCTTTCTAATATTTATATTTCGTCTTTTTTCGTAGCATGTCTTTGCACTTTTTTACTTGTAACGTAAATGTTCGTATTTTCGGACCTCTACTATTTAAAAATATTCATGTACATCCTATTTTTTTATTGCATAGTACGCTGTGAATTATGCGGCGGCACAAATGTTTCGCCTCCGCTAGCAGCGCATATGCGCAACGCCCACCCCGGCTGTCGTACACCCACCACCCGTGGATATGATCGTGCTGGAACCTATAAACACGCTGATCCTATACCTTCGACCGCAGACAGTCCCGCGTCCGCTTGCGGTCAACTCGCTCAAGGTATTAAAAACGATTTTTTGATAATAGAAAAAATTTAGTTCATATACACACAGCTTGTAAAGATACTAGTACTTTCAATGATCGTGAGGTAACAGAAGACGTTTCTTGGCATGTCAATGTTTCTATGAGAGCCGGAACGTGAGAAAGGCGGGTCTGGAAAAATGACCGTTAGAAAAATAGTGTTGAAATAACATAGATTTCCCAAAATCCATGGCCACGGTATAAATTATAGTATCAAACTTAAAATGCTGAGAAACATAATTTTCCGATATAAAAAAATATAAAATCTTAATGTGAGTATCGTTAGTAAGCTTACGTCACCCTAGAACTATACCGGCTTATATAAAGCATATATAATTCTGATAATTTTACTCTTGATTTTGTCTTTTTCTACCTCATTTGATTAGTTGATTTTGTCACAATATAATATATATGATAATTTTGCATGCCGCCATTTGCATGTATCTATTGATTTTTTCATATATTAGTTTATGTTTTATTAACTTTTCTTTCCTTGCGCTGTCGACCACCATTTTAGACCTTATTGGTGTGAAAATACGCGCTACGTTAGCAGCGTACCAGCTTTGGTACTTGTACTGCGAGAAGTGCCGAGAGAAGGCGCTTAAGGCTTCTAGTGCTAAGCCAAAGAAGACGGTTACCATTGCTGACCCGAGCCGGCACGAAAGAAGCGAAGCAGAGATTGACCATTACACCATGAAGGACAACGCCATCTTTCTTCTGGATTTGACGCCGCTAAATACATCAGGTATGCGATCATAATTCTGATAGATAATTATTTTTGGTAGTTGCTTCTAATGGAATTTGATTCCCTTGACAAACACTTTCAGTCAATAAAATAGTTTAAATTGTATGTTAAACAAAAACTGTTTGGAAAGGGTTATTATAACGTATATAAACGTTACATTTTTAACTGTACATTTTGAATCGCGTATGCGTATTTTATTTTTCTGTAAAATGTGCTTTATTACTTAATTATTGGCAAATATTTTCGATATATGTATCCTTCCTTAGTGATCATCTTTTTTTTTAAATTGGCTTGTTTGGCAATTTCCAGAAGCCCCCAGCGTTTCACCATGGCAAGACATGTCATGCCGAAGCCCACCAACCCCACCTGGGAGCTTGTGGCAGCCAGCACCACCGTTCCAATGCCACACCGCTTTAGGTGTTGCTCCGAAATCGAGTGCTGCTGATGCTGCAAGATACCATTCCCTTGGCCGACCATTGCCAGTTACAAACCTGGTAATGGTCAATGTCTATATTTGATTCATACTGTTCCTAAGAAATATATATACATCTTGAGAAAATTCGAATGTTATAGAACCGTAAACTCGATGACATGTGCCATCTGGCATCACTCATATTAAATGGCTTGTTAGAATGAGACTTGAACACGCTCGTGGGAGTTCTATGTTCTAGCAGTGACAGTTATTACAGGGTTTTAAATAAAACACTTTAACGGTAACGGTAACGTTTAAAACGCGACATATTAGTTAAACTTATTTGAATATGATTTTTAACTTCGGCCCGACGTTTCGGATGCTCTGCAGCAGCCGTGGTCACGGGGAGACTCAGTCTCTCGTCGCAAGTTTAACCAATATATCGCGTTATAAACCGTTAAAGTGTTTTATTTAAATGTGTACTACTCGCGTAAACTATAGACAATATTTATTACAGAGCTTATAATGATTTTAAATGAGTCGGGGGTTTATAAGTAGTTAAAAGAAGTAAACGTCAATATCAAGGAATTTTCTATTGGTGGTTTGAAATCAAACTAAATTTAAAACCTAACTTTTATGAAAACATATTGTATATTCAAATGTCTACAAGTCAAGCCAAGTCATATCTTGATTAATCTAGTCCTTTTGCGTGAGCCTTAATTAATCGATTTTTCAATTTTTGACAGAACAATCCATTCGTACCAAACGACATGACAAGCTCTCAATTGCCGCGTGTTCATCGTTCAGTGTCGATGGGCCAGGCCGGTGGGCGTGACTTGGCTCATGCTGCTCGACCTCCGCTAGCCAAGTCTCAAGCTGACTCTCAAGAAACTCTCTCGGGTATGCTTGCCCCATCACAATTATTAACTTATGAAATGATTATCAATTTGTTTTTTAGACCTGGTTTTTCTTTCTATTCACCCATAATCTAAGTTATTGATAACACATTTTTCAGGTGCCGGTTCATCCCTTCTATCCCAGCCAAGTGCTGCATTACAAAAACTAGTTGGCTGCGATTGGACTACGGAAGGTGGAGGCGTCTCAGCTTTCACGACACCACGTGTTGACCCAGAAAATTTGATTCGAAATCCAGTACTTTCATTCATATTAGCAAAACGCGACTTACAAAACCACAAACAGAAGCTTGACGCGATTGTAAGGATAAATACTGTTCGTCAATATGCATTCGAGGTACGTAAGAAATTAGTTTTTTAGAAAGCCTATTATAGCTCTGTAACAGCCCCAGATGTCAAAATCTATAATGTGAACAGCTAAAGAGTCGCAGATACAACTAGTACAAGATATAATATATCATAATGTGAATTTATTTAAAAAATAACTCTTTCTATACGTTGTGTTAGTTCTGTATCCTTAGTTTAGGCTTGTACAAAACTCTTATGTCATAATTGAATTTAACTTATTAGAAGATTTCCTTACTTAGGCGTAATCTAAAAAATTGCAGGCCCTAAATTGGCTGTTACGTTCAACAACTCAACCCACCTGCGTCCATGACGTGATGTGGTGGTTCTGCAATGCTCTCGATTCTTACGCGCGAATCGTACAACCACCTGATCCTGCTGACGACAATAAAGAGGTAAGTAAACATTTTAAAAATAATCTCACTCAACTCAAATGGGTGTTTACGCGCGAAGCACACATTAAATTACTCAATAAATGTTGGCCATTGAACTGAAGTTATGAAAAATAATTAACAAAGGAAAGGAGTAAAAATCCAATTTCAATATTTGAGGCTAAGCTTCTATGAGATATGGCTCGAAAACAAATCGTAAACCTTTTATATGTAAGGGCGTGTAGGGGCGTCGGCCTAATGGTAGCAATGTATGCTAAACAACTAGTCAGTCCTATCCCCATCGGGTCCTACATGTTTTAATCCTCTTATTTCTGAAACGTGTGATATTTAAAATTGTAACAGTTTTAAATTATTGTTATACCGTTCAGTGTTACGCAAGTTGTAGGAAAATGTTTTAAATAACCAGGTTAATTTATTTAATTATCAATTTTTTATAGAATGTAGCCAACAACGATGCGAGCCGCAGTATCATTCCCACTGCAGCGACATCAGCGCTTTGCCCCGGTGGTCGAGCGGCTCGCGGCGCACGCGCGGCTTTCCACGCATTCCTCGGATCGATCAGTGCATTGGCTCCATCATTGCCACCAGCTAGCGCTGCCAACCTTCAAGCAGTGCGATGTTGGGAATTGCACTATTCGCAACAGGATCGCACTTTTTTGCATAGGTAAATACTACAGAGTAAGCAAATCAGAAATAATAGTATTCTAAGTAAAAGAGATTCTTCAGTACGGTGATTGTAATCTAAGCCGAATTTCTACCGAATCAGGCTTGCAAAAAATAAATATAAAATACGTTTAGTTTCGTCTGAGTCACTAACCACAGATAGAAAAGCTTTTTGCGTCTCATTTTGTGAATATTCGAATATCTAAAGTAAAAAGTCGATAGCGCATTTTATTAAGCTTATCTTATAGGGCTGTGACATTTGCCTTAAATGAGCCCTATGTTCTTCTGTTCTACTGTATTAAGAAATGATCACTAAACACTTCCCTATACTCCCATCTCTTAACGCTGCTCGGAATTAGATCGCAAGTATTCAGTGTTATAAGCAAGATCTTGTCACACACTGAAGACGGCAGCTATGAAGACGGAATATTGGGGGCTCTTCACGAAAGTTATCAAAGCTTTATAAATAAGGTATACTAACAAGATTCCAAATTAATTTAATGTGTGTGGTAGATATTTGTTATTTAGGCATTAAGGAAATAGGTTAAGAGAGTTTGTGATTTATTCGAATTTTGGTAGAGTAACTGCTTAAATGCTAATGGCTTATTCAATGTTGCCCTCTAGACTTTTCACATTTAACTGTGAAAAGTCTTATGAGTAGAAGACGTGTCAAAAAATTATTTTTAAAAATAAAAATCAATTTCGATCAACATACTTTAAGAAGTGTCTCAAAAGTTTGAATATTTTTTTATTATTTACATATTATTGCACATGAAGGTACTATATAATTTAAAAATCGAAAATAAATTGAAAATCCTGCCGAGTGGAAATTTTTTTCAATTTATTTTCGATTTTTAAATTATATAGTGTCTCAAAATTTGTTGAATTTCATTCGAACCACACTCATTCATTCTGTAGCTATAACCTGGTGTTATATGTCAATTAGATAAGGTTCTTGCGCCTAAACTACTCGGCTGATATTAATGAAATTTTGCAAATATTCTTAAGGTTAATTAGTTCTGACGGCATCCTATATAATTTAAATAGTATGATGATTTATACGTATTTATGCCTCTATTTTTATATAATATGTAATTATATGTTTTCTTACTTGGGATTATTGGTAAACATACACATAGATTAGTTGTGGTTTTTTGCCAAGTTAGAAAAAATAGACTCTACACAGATTAGTCTTTACCTAAGCGTAATTTTAAACGTCTTCGATTTTTATATTGAAGATTGTGACTTTATGATTGAAGTATGTTTTAGACTATCTTAGACTAAACTTATATTCCTCGTTTGTACTTATTTTATCTGTGTCCTTTAAAACACCATCTTTTAATTCCAGCAACAAAACTATGTATGGAGTTGTCCAGACGTGACCGGTTGGTGTACAATAACGGTATCCTCGCGCCAAGGGATGGCTGGAGCTCTTACAGATAATACCACGGAGACCTTCTGGGAATCCGGTGATGAAGACAAGAATAAGACCAAATGGATCCAGATAGCATACAACGGAGGGTCAGCGGAAGATCGACCGCATATAGTGTGCGTTCATATTGATAACACGAGGGATACCGCTGTACGTACATAGAAAGACACCTTTTTAAAATATATTAGCTTTTTTTGTGACAGAGCAGGACAGTGAAGTGTGGAGTTCACTTGATAGAAGGATAAAATATCCTATCACATTTAAACAACAAGCGCTGTATACCTATTTCGGTTTTGGGTATTCTGAAATCCATAGACTGAAACCTAAACGCTATGAAACCTAAACTTGACGGATTTTAAATATTACTACTCAACTAACCCATTCCATATTCTGAATTTTCAAACGGATTCCAACATGTTTTAGAAAAAATGTAAATTGGTAACAAACTAGTCGGGTCCGGCGGGAATTGAACCCACGACCCGTTGTGTATATCATTAGACCAACTAACCCGCCACATTACTTCCTTAATTTGTATTACAATATGTGTACATAATATTTACAAAATTCTTTGTAAACACAATTATAAAAATTATTATTTATCTACAAATATTGTTGACTCCCTGGTACAATGCTTAAAGACAATAAGTTAAGTGAGAGTACCTTCAACCAGAGGCTTCAAATTCCTAGGACTTATTCGTTTCGGTCGGACAACCTGGTAAACTTGCTTGTAATACGAATGATGTAAAAACATGTTCACTACAAATGATAAAATAATATTAATTTTAGAGTTTTCCATTTTTATTTCTAAAAATGGAAGTTTAACATATTTTGTAATTTCCAGACTAAAACTCAAATGGTTACGTTTTGGTACAGCGGGGGTCCATCTGAGTTATTGCAGATGATGGACGTCGATGTTGATACTAAGAATGCACATTGGGTCTGTTATATATTGCCAAGTGAGTATGAAACAACAAAATCTATACGAATATTAACAAGCTATAAAAACTGTTCATTTATTTAATGGATGGATGGATTTTGTTGGATACACCAATTTTCGAGGAAAGCTTTTGCAATTGTATTCCCTAATAAATACAATGGAAATGTGGAAAAAACGGGAATATTTATATAGCTTTGAGAATAAAGGAATGATCCTGTCTTCATAGAATGATGATACCTTTTTGAATGATCTAAAAAATATCCGCAACATTATGTCTATTAAGGACGATATTTTATACTATTCAACTTTGGTCAAAATGCATTATTTCTTAAAATGTCAAAATTCGTATTTCAAATAATTGTAACTTTAAAATAATTTACACAATAAAGCTTTGTATATATTTAACATTATGTTTTCATGATTTCAGAGTCATCAAGTCTATCTGGTCGCGTTCGTTGCGAACTACGTGGACCTGATCCAGCGGTGCGAGTCCGTCAAGTACGGGTTCTGAGCGGACCGCAACCTCATCCCTCGTTACTGCCTCAAAATCACCCTCTGTACTCTCTAACTGAGAAAGATACACTGCGAGTGTTCCGTTTGTTGACGTCTCAAGTAAGTACTGAGGCCCTTTCATTGGCTAGTTGGTCGTAGTTTAATATGAATTTACTTAAATATTTTACGTTTAAAACCGTTAAAAGTGTTTAATTCAATGTGTTCCACTCCCGTTAACTTCACACAATATTTAATGTCACACTGATTACATGCATCGACGTACTAATATAAATACGAATTTTTAACGGCATTGTAAAAAATTTTGGTTTAATATTATTCTTAATAGAAAATTTTCGTTACTTATTTAATTTAAATAAAAAAAATCGTTTTTAGGTCTTCGGAAAGCTCTTAGAATGGGAACAGACTGGCAGCGATACTGAAGGTGTGGTTGCAGGTGAAAGTACGGGCGATGATAGTGATCTTCGGGAGCATGTTGTTGGTATTCTATTTGCAGGACACAAATTGACTTCTCTTCAAAAACAGGTATTTATCTTATATTAAAATCTCGTACTCCCTTTTATGTCTACTTCATGAATATGTAAACTTTAATACATACGAAGCAATATAGAAATTAGAATTTTTAAAATATATATATTACAACGAATATTCCATTCAATTCCAAATAATATTGAAAAGTAATTCAAAATCTATTGGAAAAAAAATTGCCGACACAGGTGGGATATGCAGCGGTAAGCGCAGCGATCCGCGCTGCTGCTCTAACCAATTGAGCTACCGTCTCGCACAGTGGTAGAGCCTAAACATTTCCCTTTTAGGTTATGTCACACATCGTGTGCGCGATTGGATGTGAAGCTTCAAGAGTACGTGACGACTGGGAAACAGCTTTGCTGTGCGCTGAAGCTGTAGACAGAACGGATGAAGAAGCCCAACCGAGGCAGTCACATCAGCAAGATAATTATTGCTTTGAAATGCTGTCCTTGGTAAGGCATTCAAGAATTGTCATCTAGGGTAGTAGAAACGTTGGTCAAAACTTAATGTTTTTGTCACCGTATTTTTACGACGACAAATTAATAAAACACCAATTGCACAACAGTTACTCCCTTTTAAATACAAATATAGAAGCAGGGATTAAATTCCTAATCTATACTAATATATAAAGCTGAAGAGTTTGTTTGTTTGATCGCCCTAATCTTAGGAACTACGGGTTCGAATTGAAAAATTCTTTTTGTGTTAGTTAGAGCATTATCGAGGAAAGCTACATGCTATAAAACCAATGAGGACTCCAATTAGACACAGTGCAATCACTGTGACTAATTGGAGTCCTCTTTAAATGATCTAAAAATATTCCCGACAGAATATCTAAAATCCTTTAAGAGTAACTTGTAAGAAGGACGAGACGCGGACGAAGTCGTGGGTACTAGCTTTAATAACAATGCTACGCGGATGAAATCGCTGACAGGATTTGTTTTCTAACAACCTGTTAATTAATTATTTTTAAATTTCTTGCAGCTATTGGCGCTGAGTGGTAGCGTAGCTGGACGCTCACATCTCGCGCAAAGAACCGAATTATTAACTGATTTATTAGCACTCCTCCATACTGGTAGTGAACGAGTGCAGAGACAGGTAAAAAATAGCATGATGTTATCTATTTATGAAACTAGATGGCGCTTTTATCATAGATCTTTGAATCCCATATATTTCGATTCAGGTCATATCTCTGTTACGGCGAATGATTTCGGAAATCCCACCACAGAAGATGTTGGCAGCACTCAACTATGCGGTCGATTTAGGTGCACGATACGAGTCTATGTAAGTATGAATACGAGTAGTACCAATTTAAATGAAAACACTTTAATGGGTCTTTCATCTGCTACAAAGCATCCGAAACGTGGGGCCGTAGTTAAAACAAAAAAAATATATAAAGTGTTTTATTTAAATATGTAAATAGACCTATTTTTATGTATTTGTAAATAAACCTTATTATTAAGATAATACATAAAACTATATTTTTTCAGAGTAACATTGCTAGATCATTTGGTGTGCTACGTGGGCAAGGCAGTGACTATCCAGGTGAAGGTGAAAGGCGCTAGTGGTTCTTCATCCAACACAGTGACAATGGGTAGCACCGTAACTCCTGCTCCGCCCGCCGCTTGGTTCATGAGGGGAGAGACTACAAGGAATCACGCGCAAATCGTTGCAAGACTACTCAGTGACATGGCCGAAGTGAGTAATTCTTCTTCTTACAACAATCACAGGCAAGTGAGAAAATCACATTTTCATGTAAATTGTGTTTGTTTACCAAAAATGCCAAGTTAGAATAAACACACTTTAGAGATAAATTCAGTAAAATTAATATTTTTTAAATATTTTGCAGGACAAAATATCACCGGCCTGGGGAACTGCGACTCGTATGGCTCTAGCCGAGTACATAAGAGCGATAGCCAACGTAGATGAGTTTGACAGGCGCCCTCAACGATGCATCGCGCAGCCTACAGTGTGGCTGGCTTTAGCTGCTCTATGTGTCTGTGAACAAGAGCATATTGAACTGTAGGTCTTAAGACAGTTTAAGACAAGTTTGTAATTAAAAGTATTTTGAATGAATTAGTTTACATTTTATATTAGTATACTAAAATCTAATTAACGGACTCGTTGGTTTAATGGTAGCAATCTAAGATTAATAAACGTGGACTTGATTACCCCTAGGTCCAAAATGTTACTATTCAATTTATAATTTTTAGAAACATGTTCGGCTTCTGAACATTAAATGGATCACAAACCGCCGTCCTCAGAAAAAAAAACCGTCAAGTTTATTCACGTTTCGGTTCCAGCCGGTGGATTTTTGAATATGAAAAATCAAATTCGGTCGATAGCGCATAATATACTTTAGATGTTACATGGCTGAGATGTTTTATCTACTATAAAGAGAAACCCATCCTTGTCCGTCCATCTCTAGCGTATCGTTAAATAGCCTGATAGTTAAATTCAATAAACATGATTGCTTTTAGATTAGTTAAGAAAGTCGAACACGATGTACGCTGTGCAATTTTTATCTGCATTTCCAAGCTACATAGAGAAAGGGTTTGAGTTGTTATCTGTTCTTACAGGATAAATAACTCCGGTCGTGATTCCCGCAACCGTGACTCTATAGCTGACTCCCGTCAGTTCTGCGTGAACCATGACGATGGTATAACCTCTGCTGTTATAGAATGTCGTACTTGTGGTACATTGTGTACTGAGTGCGATAGATTCTTGCATCTTAATAGAACTGCGCGTACTCATCAGAGACAGGTGAATTATACAAAATATTTACATTATTGCATAAATGAGTAAATCTTCGTCCTTAATTTAATTAAAACAAAAAATTAAGTACTTTCTTCTAGCTTCGTTAGAAATAATCTACCTAATCAGAATTCTTTGAGAGATAATTTTTTAATTCGCTTCCAGTAATTAGCTATTGCTTTTATCCTTTTATAATAAGATGGTTGCCATGGCAACATTGTTTTAACAGATTTGCAAAGAAGAGGAAAGTGCTATCCGCGTTGACATACACGAAGGATGCGGGCGTGCCAAGCTATTCTGGCTCTTATTACTAGTCGATCGACGCACACTCAAAGGTGAGTTTCAAAAATGTTGCCAAATATAATATATATAGAATATTGAATTTTTATTATTAAAAAATACATATACACAATAATTCCAATAGACCTACTAATTTGAATGGACTCAAATTAGTAGGTCTATTGGAATTATTGTTAGCTTCAAAATCCAATTTGACTGGAGTCTTTATGTTTTTAATAAATATAGGTTTAGCGGAGTTCCGTGGAATGACTGAATGCGAAACAACTGAAGGTACTTCGAGTGCGAACGGTCTAGCCGGGGTGTGTCGTTTCTGTGGCACACGAGGGAACTCTGGTCTTTTGGCTATTGGCAATGTTTGCGCTGATCAGCAATGTCAGGTATGGGGTATTTCCAGTTAATCCAGATGATTAACTTTTAATGTTCTTCGTCATATAGCGCCACTTGGGAAGATCTATAGTTTTTATTTAGAACTATATTTTTTTTAGCTAACCTTCAATTTATGCGTTCTATTAAACAGTCCTTGCTACCAAAAGATATTGTCGCTATTACTTATATATTTGACAAATATCTACTTAAACGTCTCTACTAAAAGCATTGTTCCATTTAGTTAGTTCTTGCCTTGTTTGATTTCTTAAAATATAATTTATAAAATATAGAAAACATCAAGAATCACATTTTTCTATTAAAATGTACTTCATAGGAGCACGGTCGCGAAGCATGTTCCCGAATATTATCCTGCGGGCACATTTGCGGAGGCGTGCGTGGGGAGCGTACTTGTCTACCGTGTCTATTTGGCTGCGTCGGCGCAGATGCCCTCCGGCAGGATGCTGATGATATGTGCATGATTTGCTTCACCGATCCACTACAGGCTGCTCCTGCTATACAGGTACTTAATACTTCTATATTTTTTTCGAGCGCTTTGTTATGATTGAGAAGACAGACATGCACGGGGTTGAATTGATGGTACTGAACCCACGATCCATTGATTATTGAGCCATACATTACTTAACGTTACAACAAGGAGCCTGTCAAAATAAAGTTATTTATGTTCATTAATTAAATTTTACATTTGTAAATTTTATTTTAACTTGTACCTTTATTTAGCAATATTGTGCTAAAGTTTGATTGAAAAATGAAAATAATAATGCCTGCCTAACTGTACATAGTCTACATATATTCTTTATATTTTCAGCTAACTTGTGGTCATGTCTTCCACCTACATTGCTGCAGGAAAGTGCTTGCAAACAAATGGAACGGGCCCCGTATCACGTTTTCATTTTCAAAGTGTCCTATCTGTAAGGTAAGACAAATTAACGTTATATAATTCGGACTCTACAAAAAAGGCAAAAAATCATAATATTAATTAATATGTAGTATTATTTAGATTTCAGAACTCGTAGCGATTATTTTTTAAATTTTAAATATAGTTCAATGCTAACATCAAAAAGTAATACAATTTTGAAGCATAAGACATTGAAATTTGACATTAAGTTTAAAAAAAAATTGGCGAAAAAGTTAAATTTTGGGGTTTGAAAATTTTGGCGGGGTGGGATGGGACTCGGAAACTCAACACGGAGCTGTAGATGCCGGTTCAAGTCCAGCTCGTGTCATCGATTTTTATCAAAATTGGTTTTTAATTCCATTAATTAAGTATGCATAGCATGAGTAATATGTGAAAATAATCAAATCAAACTTAAAAGTGAAATTGCTAGTAAAATTATTCGCCATTGTATAACGCAGCCTTTAACATCAGTTAAAGCCTTCCCCGATACATGCACAAACCAACAAAAAATAAATTTAAACCAGTAGTTCTACAGATGAGTGCGTACAAACATATAAACAAACAAACTTTTCAGCTTTATAATTATGTATACAATATATAATTATATAATATGTATATTTAATTCTAGGATGACATGGCACACTGGACGCTTGAGGAATTGTTGGGACCGATAAGGAAACTGCGTGAAGAAGTACGCCGCAAAGCGTTAATGAGACTGGAGTATGAAGGACTATCTGCTGGTACTTCTAAGGGCAAGAGCGTCATGGATCCAGCGGGTTATGCCATGGAGAGATATGCTTACTATGTCTGCTATAAGTGTGGAAGGGTGAGTAACCAATACTTTATGTGAATATGTGGAATGAAATGGTAGAACGAGCGACAGGATATGTGTCAAAGGGACGGAAAGAGAGAAATCAAAGATGGCGAATTAAGACGGAGGACGTAAAGAGTCAAGACGTATTGTTTTAAATGCAAGAAAAAATTAAAGCGTTATCAAGATTTTATTTCGGTGCTTACAAAAATCCCTATAAATTTGTGGCCTCGTCCGGGACGTATATTTTATTTTTAAACGTTCACCTACTTATATGGTAGTATATAAACTTTAAATAAAAATTGCATATACATTTGATTTAACTTTTTAATTCGAGACACACAGTTCAACCTAAACAGATAATTTCCAAACATGCCAGTAAAATCTGTTAGACGTTTTGTATAGATGGGGCAGACCGCGTCCGTTATACTACTTTTATTAACTTTTTGTGTCCTTCCCTAAGGAAACTATCATTAGCATTTATTATCTTTCTTTTCTAATATTTAAACTTTGTTTTTTGCTTGTTTAATTCTTTTCTTAATATTAAATTACTGTCATAGGCATATTTCGGCGGTCTGGCCCGATGTGAAGCTGAATGGAACGGAACCTGGGACCCCAAAGAGCTAGTATGCGGTGCCTGCAGTGATGTAGCTGGAGCCAGGACTTGCCCAAAACACGGATCAGACTTTCTCGAGTACAAATGCCGATATTGCTGTTCGGTTGGTTGTCTTAATACCTATTTAAAATCTACATTCAGAAAACAATGCTAATATTAAAACCTTTAATATTTCTTACCGTTATAACATACTACTGTCCTCCTCTCAGCATGTGATTCACTTGATGGTAGGAGAAATAACCGACACCGAAACGCGATTAAATTTCACGGCTTTTTCTTCACCATCGTCGTTCTTGACCTGGATGAAATTTCACTTCTCCCCATTAAATATCTAGTTGAAGTCGAAAATGTTTCAGAAAAATTATAAAATAACTAAAAGAATGTCGGACCCACGAACCGTTGATTACCAGCCTTGCTACCATTAATTGCTGTTCTGTTAACAATCAGGTCGCAGTGTTCTTCTGCTTCGGAACATCTCATTTCTGCAACGCTTGCCATGATGACTTTCAACGTGTCACCAACATTCCAAGACACATGCTACCACAGTGTCCAGCAGGTGAAAACCTATTTTATTATATATACCTTTATTATTTACAAACACAGGAATGGTTTCAACATATTTAGTTCATTGGAAAAATGATTATTTTTTTACAAATTCAATTTATTTCTTATGTTTTTTCGATGTTTTTTTTTCTGTTCCTATGATAATATAAAAAATTATTTTACTTCTAACTTAGAAAATTTATTTGGCCTGTAGCAATGTAATGTAACTATTTTTAATTATTCCTTGTTCAGCCAATGGTAAAAATATCAAGTTATTTCCTTACATAGCTACATTTATTTAACCAAATTCGGTGATGCCCTTAGGGGTTTAAAATCAAAATGGCTACACAATCTTTAGCTGTTCTTGTAATCTTAATAAAAATTAGTTCGATTTTTTTCTTCTTAACAGGTCCAAAATGTGAGCAACTACCAGGAACAACAGATGAATGTCCTTTGCACGTCCTCCACCCACCGACTGGAGAAGAATTTGCTCTTGGATGTGGAGTATGCAGAAATGCACACGTATTTTAAATAAAAAACGAATACGTCACTATACGAAAAAGGAACGTCATCAGAAATGCTGATGACTTGAAAATTCAATATTTTTTAATTCGTTATATTTTATTTTCTATATTAAAAATAAATTTCAATAACAGATATTATTTGGAAAAAGTTCTAAATTGAGTTTGTAATATTAATTAAATCTTGTTCAATGATTTCTGTAACTTTTAATTTATTTCTTAAATAACGGTTTTAATTTAAAATAAAAAATTGTATCTTCTACTTGCAACTGTCGACTGCGTTCCCTCCATATTTTATTTAATGTACTATATCTTCAACTTCATATTCATGTACACTTTGATAGGTATTTTGATGTATACTGTATATAGTAGCTTAATGTATTTACGAGAGGAGGGATTTTTAAGAATGGCAACTAATTTACGTGGTCTGTTGGTTTTAAAGTATACGTCACGATAAATTTTAAATATTTTATAGCTATGAATTAACAGGGCAATCATTTCAATACAAAAAAAAACATGGTACTTTTAAAACCTAATTATTCTTTAAGTTAAGATTGTAAAATATTTTAGGTGAATTTGTAAAAAAGATTGTTGGTAAGGTAAAAATGTGGCTTACGAATTGTTTGCTAGACTGCGAAGAGAGATTTAATATAGTATAGACCTTTGTGGATGCAATAAGAGTATGTACGTTAAAATGATAAAAAAGGCTACAGAAAAACCGATACGAAACTAGTCACGTGAAGATCAAATTTATTAACAACGTCAAAATCTTTGGTTGTAATGAAATAAAATTGTCAATATCTCAATCGATTGAATTAGGTAACCTGTAATTTGCGCGAGTAGTGCACATTAAGATGAAACACTTTTGACGGTTTAAAACGCGAAATACGTTTGTTAACGAATACATGTCGCATTTGAAACCGGTTAAAGAGATTTACTTAAATTTATTGAAATTATTGAGAACCTTAAAATTCTATTGGTATAAAACTGGTGAATAATCCAAATTTTTGACAAAATCTTAAAGTTTTAAATAATGCGATCCCTAGTAAAGCCCATAAAAATAAATACACTCAAAATAAATCCAAAGCAAAATCCATGAACGTTTGAAAATTGGTAAAAATAAAATTTTATTCATAAAGAGTATATTTTCGTAGAACGTTAGAAGGTAATTAAAATTTTAAAAGGTTACGCCACATTGGGCCACCTAGAATATTTAATACGTCTAATTAAATGCGTGCTACAACGAACCGCAAGTTGCTTTAACGAAAAATGCTTATTCAAAAGTGGCGAATTTAACGGGTTCCCTCTTACTTTTACTCATAGTATATCTTTGCTTAAATATATCTTTTGATTTAAAATCTCCCCTGGTCTCTTCTTATATTTAAACACACAAAATGACTGTTTCTCAAGTATTAACTGCTAATGTTCCTGATTGCTTTAATTCTAATGTTTTGTTATAAATTAACGAATAACGCTTCTCTAGAGAAGCACTTGCATATTCTTACACATATATATAATAGTCGTCTAGATGTAATGAATGTTGTGCAATTTATTTTAAACGGACAAAATTAGTCCGGTCACTTAACTGCGCTATTGTAGACTTGTGCTGAACTTTTTTTATATACAGTGTAAAGTTTATAATTCTAATGTTTTTTTCGCGTCCACAAATCTCAAATCTTTCTGTTTGGAATTCAACATGTTTTTCTGTTTTTTTTTATTTGTTGCGGTTTTCATTTATTGTAAACTTATTGAAATAACAAATAATCATATGACGGTTATAAGGAATCGTTTTGTAGTTTTTTGTGAAATTTAAAGGGTATTATTCCTTGATTTTATGATTTGTAACTTTGAAAAACAGATAAACTTGCTTGCTAAGTAGATAAAATAAATGCGATGACTTTTAGTGCACTATTAAGAAATCATTTCTTTTTTATCTTTAATCTTTCTACCATTTGAAGTTTAGTATGCAAAATTAAAATAAACGGCCTGTCTTTGCAAAGTATACATAATAAAGCGAATAGAATGATTTGGGATTTTTGCTGCCGTTTTCAGGGACGAATAACTAAATTTGTAATGTAAAAAATATGTTTCAGAGTTATGTGATGTTTTGCTGCAGTAAGTATATTCTTGTAACACTGTTTGTCCCGGGATCCATTACACGATTCATATTAAAGACCTTACAGCCAATTTAATAGACCATTTGCAAACGCAACTATAAAAGTTACTCCGTCTTAAGAAATATTTAAATGTTAGAAGTGGATAATTGCTTAACATTTTTCATTACAAAATTGTGTGTCTGTATAGCAAATCAAATGTGGTTCATTAAATTGGTTTACAAGATAATATATAGCAGGTGTATCGATGTTGTAACATTGTGCTGTTAACGAGAATAGAATCTGTGTATTGTTGTTCTTCATATTAATGTTAGATCACAAGAACTTTTAAGATCCTTGCTTTGAAGTTCCCTCTCAACTCAGCAGTGATTTTTTTTATTTAACATTTAATTATTTACTCGGGGATAGTACTAATCAATATAGTATGATGTTATAAGGCTGGTAAATTTTAATGACTTGGATAGATGACAATGGCCTAAGTACCACGAGACTGCGGTGTTATTAACAGTACGTCAGTCCCCCGGGTTTAATAAAATAGGAAAAATGCAACGCTAGTAAAAATTTCACTGCAATTTAATTCGCTTCTTGTTAGTACGGCCGAAATTACAACTCTACATTTAGATAAATTCAGTTATGTTTTTCTATAAGTTAGCACTCAACTTATGAGTTAGAACAATATATATTTTGTACACCAAATAAGTTATGTTGATATTGGATGCACTTTATATCTGTAAATCTCAAACACATTGCGATGTCTTACAGTTATAAGATTTTAAAATAAAGTCTTAGAAAGCATTCCTTGTTTTTCATTTATGTACAAGACATTTATGGACTGTTCCAAGATTTAACTGAATTGTGCCTAATATAGTCCGACTGTGTGGATCAGTAAACACTTTGACTTCTTAAAGTTCGACGAATCAATCAATGCGTTCATTCATCATTTATTAATAAATAGATAGATCTGTATAAAGTATTTGGGACTAATCTTTATACCATTTTAAAGTTAAATAAATATAAAATATTTAGCTATAATCTACTGCCTGTAGTTTACGTGAGGAGTACACATTTAAATAAAATACTTTTAACGGTTTAAAAGGCGAAATATGCTAGATTACTTTTCTACGTTTCGTTCGGTCTTCCCTTGACCACGGCTGCTGCAAAAACCAAAGAAATTGTAAATAAGTTAAGTGATACTTCGCGTTTTAAACCGTTATAAAGATTTCTATTTGAACTAAGTTATCGTTTTTGTGGATTAGTCTGGTGGATCACGTTAAATAAAACACGCTCAACGATTTAAAAGTACATAATGTCCGATCCGATATCACTGAGCATAGAAACTAGAACAGTATTTATTATTTACAATTAGCAAGGCAATTGTGTGTCACCGATGCAACACTAATGCATTAGTTTATTATCTTTGTACAAACATGTACGAGAGTCACTTTAGTTTGGTATCTTAACGAAAGATTTGATTGTGGCAGTCGATATCTTTATCTCGCCAATATCTAGAACACCTTACACATTTTATTCCAAGTGCTGTGTCAGTGGTATAATGTGATTTGTGAAGATGATTTCCTATTTAAAAGACAAGGTATGATTGTATTCTAAGCTCTATTTGCAGACGTAGAAAAAGAAAATGTCAAAGTTGTATTTTTGTTAATCCGTTCCGAGAGTTATAAATCAATTAATAAAATGTTTCGTTTCTCTATAACATTCTATAATAATATGTATAAATAAATAAAAACTGATTTATATGTTTTTGACATAAATCCACAAAAAAATTCATTTCGTGCTCCGAAGTCGATGCTTGTATCAAACAATATTAACGGTTTAAAAATCGAGTTACTATCAACATCATAAGTCACTTTGTTGTTAAAATATATTAATATAGGAATTTAAAATTTATTGAAAAACTCTTGGATAGATCAATTAGGTACACAGTTCGCTGTATACATAGGTTTGTGAGCCAATCGAATAAAAAATTGAGCTAAATAAATTGACTTTAGATTTATGATGTAAGCTAGCGTGTGTATATCATTACGATATTACTGAAGTAACTATGCGTGCGTTTTAAACCGTTTTGTTTTAATGCGTTTCACTAAACAATCTTAAACTAGATATTAGGAATAGTCTGTTTAGGCCTTCTTACTTATCTTTATAGATATCTGTAAATGTTTCAAAACTTTTTTTAGATATGGAGGAGATGGGCGCGTGCGCACATTTGCACTTTGGCTCTTGCATTTAGTTTGAACAGTACTTGGAGGATACCACGTGATGCATTTAAATACGGTGGTCTTTCATACGGCTTGTTAATAACTGCTGCTCTCCTCACAGTTGCTTTACCAGCTGTGCTGCTGCAGCTCTCAGTAGGGCAATTAAGTCAACAGGATCCTGTAGGAGTGTGGAAAGCTGTACCGTTACTTAAAGGTTTTCTTTTCGACTTATACAAGTATAAACTAATAATTTAATAAGTTATTTATATTGAGTATATTAGTGATCGATGATACTAATATATGAAGATGAAGAGTTTGTTAGTATGAACGCGCTAATCTCAGAAACTACTGGTTCGAATTGAAAAATTCTGTTTGTGTTGGTTAGATGATTTATCAAGGAATGAAAGGGGCTAACACATCGCGATATCACTAATATTATAGTAGCGGAGAAACAGCTGGTAATGTGGAAATTATTCATCGTTATGGGTTTCCGACGCGTACGCAGCAAAAACGGTTCAAGATACTAAAAAAATATGTATCAAAGAACGATTCCTCTTTAAATGATCTTAAGAAATCAAAAGAATCATCAAAGGAATAGTCGAGTATAAATATTCCACTGTTCATTTGATGACGCCGCACACGTGTCGTAATTATATATTTTCCACTTTAATAATGCTAATGTTGCACTTACGAAATAAGGAATTACATTTGCATATTCGAAGAATTACATTTTTACCGTCGCAAAGTGCGGACATTGGAGACTTAGGTCTCCAATATTAATTGTATCTATACAATTATTTAATTAAAAGGGACTTAAGTCCAGTAGTGGATTTCCGTTTCTTTTAAAACCCTCACGATTCGAGAACAGTCGTGGGGGAATGTTTAAGTCAGTCTATTCTTGCCTTAAAAAAACTAATTACGACATTAATCAGTAGTATAAAATATCTAAATATTATATAATATTTTTATATGAAATACGGATTTGTTTTTGTAGAGTTAACAAAGAGAGACAACACACATTCCACTACACTTTATTTTTTCTATGTCTTGTATAATTTGGATTTTTATTCACTTATAATATAGTATGTAGTTCCATATTTACCCGGGGAAGAGGGGGTTCGGGTGTGTGATGCACATGCCGAGTGCTTTCTCCCATTACACAAGTAGAAGCTCTTCTAAGTTTTGTTTATTAAGCTGTATGTGTTGTGAGATGGTTTGAATGTTTAAAAATGGGGCATGAATAAATATTTCTCTTTTACACCAAAACGACTTGACCGATTATAACTTTACATATCACAAATCATTTTATTTCTCTAAAACTATTGTGGGCTTGTTATGAACAAGTTGATTTAATTATTTTTTACCGTTAAATTGCCAGTTTAGATTTAATATATATCTGTTGTTTAATGTTGACCGCCTCTGTAGGTAGCCAAATGGTTAAACGCATTGCCTAGCATTGCGTTAAGCGCGAGAGGTTCTGGGTTCGAATCCCAGGGAAACAAAATACTGTTTCGGCCGGGCAGGGCACAGAAGTCTGATCGACTATTGCTTGTTAAAGAACGGATGAAATGTGAAACGACTAATGTGTACGCCCCATGCCCATCGAGGGAGAAACGGGATTTTACTACTGTTTAATGTACAGGAGAAGAGGGTATAGAGTTTTTATCGATTATCTGTTATTTTTAGGTATCGGTTTTGTAAGACTGGTGATATCATACATCGTAGCTGTGTGTGTTGTAACTTATCTTGCGATGTCGGTTACGTTGTTCTTCTACACGTTAAACCATACAATTCCGTTCCAGGAATGTACAGAGTTTTTAGAAGTCGAGGTAAGTGTATAAAAACGATAAAAAAGAGAGCGCATCTCTTTTTCATCGTTCTTATTTGGCTTTCGACATTCGATCTATACCAGAATCCGAATTTTGAACGCATAGATTATTCATACAGGGCCTAACATGTGTATAGTAATTGTACCGTCAACTTTTATTAGATTTAGTTCGTTCCTAATCGGTAATTTGTTCGTTACGGCTAATAAGTATATGAATTACAAAGTGAATTCGATTTCCGGTGATGGACTAAGACCACGTGTTCGGTGTAATTCTGTTTCCCTGTGTGGGGCATAGGGCAAACACATTTCTGTGTCCGTTTCACTGATCGATTCTTTTCCATGCAAGAAGTTGATGAGACTTCTGTCCTCAGCCCGACCCAAACCATCTATTATTTACCTGGGATTCGAACCCTCGACATCTCGCGCTTAACGTAATGCTAGGTAACACGTTCTATAGCTATAGTATATATAGTATAGTATAGCTATAGAGGCGGTCAAATGTGAGGCAGATATATGTATATGTCCCTTTCAAGAATTTTTAAATTTTAAATAAAGGCATGTATTAGTGTTTTTCCGAGATTCGAACCTCGAGAGTAGAACCTTTTACGATTTAATTATAGAGGCGGTACAGTTAAATGATATAAACGTAAGCATTATTTTATTTATAGGGTCAACCACCAGCGGAAATAAATTATAACGCAACCCAATGTTTCAAGTAAGTGTTTAAACTCTTATAAATAAATATCTTTATAAGTAAAATCTACATGACTTATATTACTTTGGTGTTATGTATGTAATTTAAGATTTTTTTTCAGTGAATCATTCTTCGCACCAATACAGCAAAAGCCTGAATATTTCCTTGCGTTGTCTTTGGTCGTCCTGTTTCTTTGGGTCCTGTTCCCTTTTATGTGAGTATGTAATTCAATGGGCAAGCGTTGATGCATCATTATTTTTATTATACTGCCTATTCAAATTCCTTGTAAGTAAGGTTAGTGGTTTATTTATTGCGTATTCACATTTTTAAGTATGCACACTGCGTCCGGGCTCTACCGCGGACTATTATAGTCGGTTTTTCTTTATTAATTATATAATGTGCATTAAAATATTTAATTACTGAATTATTGGCCGGCTGAAGGCTCCTCTTTGGGAAAAACCGAAGCAGATTATTTAGTTAGTTTATACTACTAGAACAGTCGATCAAAACTGATGAAGTGGGTAACTTTAATGTTTCAAGCAAGAGTTGTCAAACTAATATATTGTGTATGGCTTTCACGGCTATCGTTCAGCATATCATTGTCTTTCGGGGTGTTCAGCCGACGTGAGCGAGAAGACGTTCTCGACGTTTCGCCATCACGTGCGGACGGCTTCATAAGCAGACATTAACTCCTCGATTGCTCGAAGAATTAATAAATAATTCTTTTCGGCCGTTTTTATTTAACACTCACGAAAATAGAAATTTATGATTTACCGTTTTGGTATTGATATAACATATTTTCTTTTAGACTGCGGTTAAAATATCAATGTTTTTACACTTATTTCAGATTTAGCTAATAGCTTTTGTCAAACATATTTTTCTTTGTATCTTGAATTTTCAACGTAAGCCTACATAACTTAAAAACTTTAATATTTTTACATGATGGCACTATATCAACTGTGTAAGAGTACGGAATTTTAATTTAACGTTACTTATTTAGTTACTAGTTTAAACCCAAAAACACTAAAATGTCTATTCTAGTGGTGGTAAATCTCATCATTTTGGCTAAAAACTATTTTTTTCTAAATTTTTTGTTCTAGTTTATACAAGCCGATTAAGTCGCTAAAATCGATATTCTACATATTGGGACCAAGTGCGCCAATACTATGGATAATAATTATTTTCTCTATCGGTGATAAGAATAGTCTGGCATGGTTCAGTAAGAACGAGGATTGGTCGAACTTCTTGAGACCTGAGATATGGCTTAAGGCGATATCGCAAGCGTTAATAGCGGTAAATGTCGCTGGGGGATTTCTTATATCTGCTGGCGATTCTGTATATTGTACTTCCGACGTTGAATGGTAAGATTTATCTGTATTTATGAGTACATATATTCCATCTTCCATTTATCCTTAAATGTTTGATGATAACTTAGTCGACAGTTTGGTAGTTTGAGTTAGTAGAGATTTAAGTAGCTGTCGACTTGTCAGGTACAACAATAATTATCAAATACTGTCTATAGTTTACGCGAGAAGTACACATTTAAATAAAACACTTTAACGGTTTAAAACGCGATATATTAGTTAAACTTATTAGGTCTCCCCGTGACCACGGCTGCTGCAAAGCATCCGAAACGTCGGGCCGAAGTTAAAAATCATTTTCAAATAAGTTTAACTAATATATCGCGTTTTAAACCGTTAAAGTGTTTTATTTAAATAATTATCAATTAATAATTAAGTTGATATATTAATAATCATTTAGAAACATCCATAACTATTGTATTGATTAGTTATTCGATTTATCTGCACGCTTTACTCCAATTTTATGTTAAGTGTCGCAGATTATAAAATAGAACAGTTTTATTGTGTCGAAAAATATATAGCATTTTTCGAAATCCACGGTCAATATAAAGTAGGATTTTGAAAAACATAAATGTCAATTGTCAACCTTCTGACCCTGTTTTCAGGACAACATTTATATATGTCGGAGCTAACATTTTATCGATTTGGTTTGGAATGATAGTCTGGTTCGCTCTCGGTGATACAGATACCGGCAGTACAGTATTTGCAGTACTCGCCAGGACTTACAATTTTACCGTGGAGAAAAATTTGAGTACCGCATGGGCTATTGTAATTTTTGCTACGTTGTGTTTATCAGGAGTTATAAGTATGGTAAGTAGTCTAGTCCTCTAGTGTTCTTACTCTCCAACCTCCGTGACTCCATAAAAAATATTCGTTAAGTCAGTCACTGGTGGGAAATTAAGCACCGTCTACCCTTGGGACATCGGTTCAAACGAAGAAACCACTGACCCATGTTACCACTGGCAATCGAAACGTCGCGCCCTAGTTAAAATTCTTAAAAATCCTTTTTATCACTTTATGTTTGGAGAGCAGAAACTTGGAAGTTATACATATTCTCCGCCTATAACAACGAATACTAAAATCAAAAATAAATTCTAGACCCAGTCGATGGTACGGAACCATTCATGCGCGACTCGGAGTAGCACTTGACTATTAATTTCCATTGGTTTCAGGTCTCCCTTTTGTATCCACTATACGACCGATTTCGACGTTTAGGCGGGCGTATCAAATGGCGTTACATTGCTATTGGAAGCTCGCTTTTAGGAGCCGGACTAGCAATAGCCACACTAGTCGACCATTCGGTTCTAATACTCCTTGAAGATACAGTATTACCATTTCTTGTCGCATTCACTACGATTCTTGAGATTTGCGCATTTATTTTTATATATGGTAAGGTTCTTCCCCTTTATTCGTTTTCACCTATTACTAATTAGGTTTATAGACCTTAGTCATTAGATCGACCACGTTTGTCTATTGTGTGTTGGTGTGATTAAATGTGTTCGGAACTTGGATTATCATCTTTGAGGCATGTGGATAATGGCATGTCTAACATCCATCTTCCAGAGTGGTACTAGATGCTTAGAAAATTTCCAAATACTGAACTAACATTACAATTACTAAACAAAAGAAGCGATAAGTGTTAATACTATTAATCTTCTTAAAGAGTTCTTCTGTTTGATTTGCAATCATAAAATAGCTTTCTTTGCAGGTTGGAAAGTACTATTGCACGATATAGAATTCCTAATAGGTAGACATTTGCAACGATTTTGGATTTGGGCGTTATGCGGAGTGCCCGGTATCATCGGACCGTTTCTGTTATGGTGGTGCATAACCCAGTTTTTGAGACAGGATGCCTGGTGTCAGCCACCCTGGATAGCTACTGGGTTGGCAGTCGCTCTGACTGCGACCATAATAATTATTATTATATTCGCCATTTACTCCATTGCACGTCAAGTCCAGTACGATATTATCGGGGTAATTGTTTTACTTTATTTGACATTTTATGTTAGTTTATATCGCGTTGCGAAATCTGTGCTTCCTTCTGCTCAAGCGAACTCATTCAATTTTCCGCAAAGCCGCAATCGTTTAACAAGGAAATATACTTTTAACTGTTTGTGTCTTACATTTCCTTACATAAGAGGACATTTTTATTTAAGTTAGTTCCTAGCTCATTTTATTAAACCTCCAAACGGATTACGCTAATGTACATGTATTATTTAATAAAAGCCTTTGCCTACATTGACTATTAAATTGTGGTTTAAAAGCGTCGTCGCGTAACAAAAAAAGCTACTAAAAATATCTTGCCTTTCATATTATTGACGCTCGCGACTGATATTTTTTTGTCTATTTACATTGTCAAGTTACTTTTACATTTCACATACAAGTAAATGACCAAAACATTTTTACAGAAGTTGAAATCGTCGATACAACCGTCACGACACTGGGGTCCAAGAGACCCCATAGCTCACTATTACTGGTTGATGAGACGAGATGAGGTCGACCCTCACGCACCTCGTACCAGATACCATAGACGTAACTTGGGACAGTTTTCTGGTACATCCAGCGCTGCGAGTTTCTCTAAATCACAAGAAGTAAGCGACAACCTTTCAGAAACCAAGAGAAGAACGAACTCTGACGACTGGCTGTACAAATACCGGAAAGAATATCTAACCCAGATATTCTATATACATTATCCGAATAGACGACGCTCCAAATCCCTCGATTGGCCGAAGTCACACTTGAAGAAAGAGAAAAGACTCATTGAACAAGTCAGTTCCTCCAGTTTGAACTCAACTCTGAACGATTCAGTTATTGTAGTGGAAAAAGGGAATGGTGTTGCTTCAAAATGCTAATATTGTTGTAGTTGCGCTTGTTTTTTTAAACGGATATTTCTCGAATTAAATTATTTATGTTGAGACTTAAAATTACACGAGTGAATGTAGTGTGGAACGGTGAATCAAAAGATATGATAAATATATAATAATTTTATTATGTATAAAAAATAGAAAAAATCCTAATGCCAAAGTCGACATATAAAATATGTTATAAGACTCTGCTCATGATATAAATTTTACCTTACATAGGAAATAATCTAAGCTTGCGAATAAAAAAATATTCCTTAATTTAAAAAAAAAATGTGAGCCGTCACGGGACGCCTGGCAAATGTGAAACATCGCCATTATTTTGTAAAAGTAATGTGCAGAAAAGAACATATTGTGATAGGAACTAAATATGTCATAATGATAAAATAAAATATTACGATTTTTTCCAGATAACGATGACTATTTATTGAATAAACATTTATTTTCATTAAATACAAAAATTAACCGCGCCGCCACACCGTACACACTACTGCATATAGACTGAATATTATTATATACCATCGTATAGCGTGGCATCGTATCGCCACGGCATGCGTCGCCACGCCAGATATCGGTTTTACGTGCGGCTATAGATGTTTCACATCAAAAATCTAGAATCACTTTTTGGTCTATTTAATGAGCAATAACATGTAAAATATATTGAAGTTTTCTAAAAAAAAGATTCATTGTCAAATGAATTACTCTTTTTCTTTTTATAATAATATAACAACTAAAATGTCATGTTCTATTTTAGTTTTGTTTGTTACAAATTTTGCTAAAAACATCGATATATTTAGAAAATGTGACGTCACTAAACTTAGAACGTCCAACATTACGAAGCGGTAAGAGGGAAGAACTATAGAAAAGTCTGTTTATAACCTGTATGGTAAATGTTTGTTTTAGATAATCATCAATTGTGTGGATTGTGAATTAATTGCGTTCTCTAGTCACGATTCAATTAATAAAATCAAGGACATACCTCGTAATATTTATTTATTGTTGAATAAAGACGGGTTTGTACTTATTTCTTCATTTATTTCTACTAATTTACGCTGAAGAACCTTTGTTGACTTGACTTAAAGTCCTGTAGCTGGACCATGGGGCAGAGAACCATTGAGACCTACCTATCTTTTCGTTTCCCGTGCCGGTTCTACGCCTATTTCATTGATCGATTTTATTTACTAACTGGTTAAGAATTCCTTGCCCTACCCGATTGAAATATCCGGAATTCGGGAGAACCGTTAACAGAACGTCTGACCTTGGAACAACGAAGATTGCACGCAAACACACTATTACCGAAGTTAAACTTATAAGTACATTAGAGTTTTCCCTAAACCAAGGTAAAGCGATAGCCTTAAGTTTGACCAGGAAGTGAATCATGGCCTCTTCTAGCGAGCCGCGGGGCCTACGTGACTTTTGTTCACGTCGACCTTCCTTTAGGAAGATGACTGTACCATATAAGTTATACTGGACCCTGATTCTGCTATATCACGGACAGAGAGAGGATACTGACAGGCAGTTTGAACTTTACTTTACCTTTTTTATGCACATCTTTAGAGGATTTTCAAGCGTAGACCCACCATGCTATCTCCGGTGAGCGTTTATGAGTATATATCGCGTTTTAAACCGTTGAAGTGTTTTATTTAAATTTGAACTAGAAACTACCAACATCGAACTAACATTTTGGTTGAGTTGTTTTGGTACGGTTCGAATCCTGGACCTCGTGAGGAGTCTAGTGTACTAACCATTAGACCGACGAGGTCTTTTTTAGTCATTGTGATTATAGAATGGTAAATAGTACTAAACAAGCCAGTGTAAAAACAGAATTGTTCAACTGTTTCACATCTTTGTTGATATAAGACCGATGATAAATATGCCGGGCATAACTTTCATACGTCATTCAATGCACCGAAAGCATGCCGTGAAAATCTAATTGCTCATTATATTCTGCGACACAAATTTACATAATCAGTGAGGGTAGTTGAATATAATAAATAATAATTAATTGATGTATTGATTTGACTTCAAATATTTTGCGTGTTTAGGTTTTCTTTTGCTTATTACTTTTAAATAAATGTGAAATATAGTGTCCCCATGCCCCTTTAAGGGGAGTTGATAGTTCACTTCAATATGTTTATACTAAAATTCATATAGCGTTTAATATATGAAGTAGATACTCATCTAACTGTTAGTATTGATAAGATAATTATTATTATACCTTAATACCTATGCTATTTATAACAACTCCATAGGTATTTAATTACTTATTAATTAAAAACCAAAAGTCCTTATGCAAAACAACCTTATAATTTTGAAGAAAGTAATACGAATAGATAGCTCGCAAAATCCTGTAGATTCATAATAAATAGTTCCGGTCAGGCAGAACACAGTCTAATTATCTAAGGGGAAATGGTTTTTCATTTTACTACGAGGCTACTTACGACCGGAACGAAGGCCAATGCTTTTTGTATAGCCTACGATCCGATAGGTAAATATAGGGAAACGGGATTTTCCGTCGTCAAAAAACGGCGAAATTGGTACCAGTGTCTCCGATAATCATTAATATGAGATTAGGGTAACCTTATTACGAGGTTATTAAGCTTGAGTGGCGTTCGAAGCGGCGTCGGCGCACTTGTGTTTGATTCGGCGCGCGAAGCAGATCGCTAAGCGGTTTCGGTCGTGCGCAGTGTTTTTCAATATCGGAGATGTCTAAGGATGGACCTCGGCTGAGCAGGCTTGGAGTGCTGGCTCCAGCGGCTCTTTCTGCGTGTATGGACGCGTCGGTCCTGGCCGTACCAGCCGCTGGCGCTATCGTCTCGACCGTGTTGAAGGAGCTGAGCAAAGCGTTCATGTTGAAAAAGTAAGTCCTTTTTTATTAATTATCTTGTCGTCAGTTGTTGCATAAATAAGTACTTACTGCTACTTGCATTTTATTATTTAGTTAAATGTATACTTTGATTTTAGACTTATTATAAAAATGTTAGAGGTAGTGGGGAGTAGCTAGCTAGAGTATTAAAAACAATGTTTTTTATTTATTTTTTAGTCATAATATCGATCGATAATGTGAAATTATAAGAGTATATGAATTTTAGATAAACATTCTTGCTTATTTTACTGTTATAACTTTTCTAATATTCTATTTCTACATCCATATATATATTAATTACAATTACTATAATTATATTACCCCATGAAGTAAATTAAAGCTAACAAAATCAATCATAATTATATGGATGGAAATCCATTACAGTTATAATGTCTATTAATAAAATTACTATCGCAATGGGTATTCTCAATCGATACACATTTTCCTTCTCAACAATAGTAATACTACGTTAGCATCTTGACGCATTCACTTATTGATTATAACATAAATTGTGCAAATCCGCGACGTCATTTATTTTTTATTTCCAATGAGTTTACGTGTGCCATTGTGATTTTTCCTTAAGCAACTAACCGTACTTTCGCATATTAAATCTGTGTATACATCAGTCCCATGCAGCGAAATATTTAGTTTCTTCCTTAAATATTTCCATTTATTTATGTATTGGTTTTACCAATGGTCTGTTCCCACAAATCCAATCTAACGTGTTACTGAATTTCTTTTTACACTTTTACTAAATATTTTTTATGTGAGACATTAAGTGTGGATTCAAAGCCAAAATAGGTCGACCATGCATCTTGATGAGATGTTATATGACTTTAGCCACTTACCACCTTTGTTTTACCACCTACCGTGTTTCACCTACCATTATCCTTTTCAATCTTGAAAAATTGATTAGATTTTATACTAGCCCTGCAACAGCCCTTAAATGATTTCTCATTCAATCGATTAGTGAACCACATTCTTGTCTGTCCTACTCTCCAATTAAAGACGTGTCGTTTTAAGCGCCTACATGTGACACACGACGTCGTCCGCGTCTCGCCGATCGTATGAGGTAATTTTAAAAACATAGAGATATATTATCGTGGATATTTCTGTATATTATTGAAAGAAGAATATTTCTTTCATACATATTTTTTGGCATTGAACCTTTTTTCAGCACACGCAATGGACACCCTCTTAGAAGAATATTTCTTCTCGTTTTTTCCTCACATCCGTATCTGTTTCTCTGCCCTTATTAGTTGCATGATGTTTTATAGCCTAAATCCTCGATGAATGCTCTTATCAAGAAAAAAAAAATATTTCGAAGCAGTAGTTCCTTAGCTTAAAGCGTTCAAACAAACAAATTATTCTGCTTTATATGATTAGTATAGATTTGGTAATTACGTTTTCTTAAAACAATTGAACAGTGAACCAAAATCGTTACGAATGTAACTGGTACAGTCAATAAGCTGCGTGTCGAGTCACAAAACAATAGTTATAGCCTCAATTACACCCCCTTGTCCACCGTCATTTCGAGAACGGAACAGTTTGTTTCTTTGAAAAGTTTATTGCTCCAAAGCTACCATTAACATACACTCGGTAACTATTCTTTTGGAATTGTCGATTATTGCTTAGCGAATTATTTCTAATGAGTGTGTTGAGCTGTTGAAAATGTATATTGTTATTCGGTTATCTACCTCCGTGACTCAATGTTTTAACGTATGGCGATAAGCGCGAGAGGTTCTGGGTTCAAATGCCGAGAAACGAATACTTTCAGCACGAACACGAAACATCAAATTAACCTATTTTTAACTATGACGATGATTGATGTTTTCGAAACTTAGCGTAACATTTGGGAATCGTAAGTTTTTGGCAGCAGATGTGCCATGGAAAGATTTATCTCATATATTTCGCATTTTATACCGTTAAAAATAATTTATTTAAATGTGCCGCGCTCGCGTAAACTACAGACAATATTTATCTTACTATTATTACGCGAATGATACTAAATTAATTAATGTAATGGCGATTGTTACTAAGCAATTCTATTGGTTGTGGTAAATAAATTATCTGTAAATTATACTCCAAAATTATCTTTATCTATGCCAATGTTTTATACCCTTTATAAAAATAATAATTATACTGCCATATTAATTGTGATATCCTGTATTGCAAAGTCAATTACAAAATGCATCTTTGCAACAGATATTTATAAAATTCCTAACAAACATGCTAAATTAAAAATCGATTATAAATTGAAAAATAAAATACCCCTTCCCTTTCCACCAACATACGTCAACGCGTTAGAAAAGAAATAAAATGAAAACATATTTCTTAAAACTGCACTCCACTATTATGATCTCCAGTATAATTAATTAATTCAAGATCACAAAGATGACAAAATACTATGTATGTAAGAACTTCCTAAATGGGCAGTTGTGGGCAGACTCGTGACGAAATATGAGGTCGACCAGACCCGCTGCCTTAGGCTATCTTGTTTGGCTATACGTAATTGAATTTGTGTATCTGTTTATTTATATTGTTTTTTAAATTAATGTCCTTTAAATACTGTCTATTGTTTACGCGAGTAGTACACATTTAAATAAAACAACCGGCGGCCCCACCAAACGCGGCCAAATTATTTTCAAATAAGTTTAACTAATATATCTCGTTTTAAACTGTTAAAGTGTTTTATTTAAATTAATGCCCTTTTCTAATCAATTTCGAAATAACGATTTATTTCGGAGTTAAATCTTTAACATATGGTTTAAGTACACTGAAAGACGTTATATAATATCCTAAACTTTAAAAAAAATTTTTACCTTTATTACCCACAATTAAACAAAAAATAACACCACAAAAAATTACTCGCTGTGAATTCTCCGGATGGCGGTCTTTGAGTGTTCAAAGAGTTCGCCAAAAGACCGCCTAAGCGTCGAGAATTTGTTCTGTTAGTACGCTATTCAAACTCAACTTTTCTTAGATCTTAACGCCCTTGTTGATCATTAGATCTTAAGAATTACCATACCACTACCATTAGGTAGTGGTATGGTAATTCTTATAAATTCATAATTTTCCTAAAACATGATGGACCTCATCTGAAAATCTGAATATTAAATGGGGGTATCGAGGTTCCGTCCAGATCATTTTGGCTTTGGATATTCGGAAATGTACTGACTCATCCGATGTTAAGGCTTTTCATGATATTCCTACCATCCATTTGATATCTAGATTAGAAAATTGTAGAAGCCGGTGGGGATCAAATCCACTACCCGTTGATTATTAGCTCGTCATTGCTACCATTACACTAACAAGCCCGTCAGACATTTGGACAGTATTCAACTTTGGAATTCACATATTCTTGCAATAAAAAAATTCGCTGTCAATGTCGCAAGTTATTAGGTATTAAGTGATACATCACTGTTAAGTTAGTCACGAGTATTTAATACGCAAAACGTAAACGCGTAGGCGCAAAGTAGTAAATCTTTATTATAGTATACCCAATCAATATCGTTAATGATGTAGTGGCATTGCGCCTCGGTTGTATTTAATTGTTGCCTTTTGTTGTTCTGTTTCGAAACTCGTTTACAGTGATGCAAGGGAAGTCGGAAGTATTTTTTTTCATCTACTCTTTAAATGCCATGGTTGAAATAGTTATAGAGTATTGTAGCTCATGTTAGAATATTAAGAACTATCTAAGTAAATTAATAATCGATTATAAATTGAAAAAAGGCCAGGACTTAAACCGGCACCTACAGCGCTTCGACCTGTTGCTCTAACCAATTGAGCTACCGAGTCACGAGTCAAGTTGGTTAGAGCAACAGCACGGAACGCTGTGGATGACGGTTCAAGGCCTGCCCGAGACTTTTTTTTTATTTATAATCGATTTTTAATTTATCTAGTGCACAAATAAATGAGAAAAATATTAAAGTTTTTAAACTATCTACGTATTTTATACATCCTAGGAACTAATCTATTACTAGACCAATACATTTAGGGACTTTGATAAAGTGTTATAACAGCTTATAAAATACAACGCAATAACCGAACAAAAGAAAACATGTTTTTTTTTTAATTAAGAAAAGTTAAGTGACGACAAATAATTTATGAAAAACATAGCTTCACATGAAAATGTTCTTTAATTGGTCTTTAGCTTCCTACAATACATACATTTTCATAACATTGATAGACATGGGCCTTCGAATTCTTTAACTATAGACATTGGTTCTCTGCGGGTATTGTCCCTACATAATGATAAGCGGAAAATTTACAAATTCCACGCTCGTGTGAGTCGTGGTAACGCGTTGCCTGTATGTGAAACGAGAAATGCCAGGTTCAAATCTCGATAAAAAATAGTTTCTATCAGATATAAAACAAATTGCCCATAAATAAAATCAGTGACATAAATATAAAGGAAATGTGTCTGTTCTATGCACAACAAAGTGTTTCACTAGTGACTTATATTACAATAATAGCTGTGTCGTGCGACTTCTTCCGCGTAGAATAGTTTTGTTGGGCGTCCAAATTTGTTTTTGCAAACCTCTACATCTTTTTTAATTTTAGCTTGCCCGCGACATCGGTTCGGCCCGTCGCTGTCGACCCGTCGTCCCGTCGTTCTTGCAAGTTAATCATAAAGATAGACATATAGTGTCGTGGACATTTTTTCGGATTATTTAAAGAGGAATCATTCTTTGATGCACATTTTTTAGGTATCTTGAACCGTTTTCGCAGCGTACGCATCTGAAACCCACAGAGATGAAAAATTTCCCGCGTTTTTTTCACATTTCATTCTGTATCACCTTTTCTATTAGTTACAGCGCGATATATAGCCTATAGCCTTCCTCGAAAAATGCTCTAACTAACACAAAAATATTTTTTTAATTCGAACTCGTAGTTCCTGAGACTCGCGTGTTCAAACAAACAAACAAACTCTTCAGCTCTTATATATTAGTATAGACATCTTATCTTCTAATACTTATTTTTTGTTTGTATACCTGTGTTCGTATTTATATGTGAGACAGTATGTATATTAATAACAGTAAGATGGGTTCTTATAAAGCACAACACAACATGATTCCTTTAGATATAAGAGTTTTATTCATGAGATACAATTTTACATAAAATTAAATAATGAAATACAATTACATATTTACCCAGAAATAAGAGAATTAATAATTGAATGTTTCATGGCTTCAATTTTGATTTAAGCTTTGTCACAAAAAATAGAATAGTGTATCTACAACTTTTTTTTTTACTTTTGTCTAATATATCTCAAACCGTCACAAACATTTATACATTCTAATATATGACTAAAATTTAACAAACATTTTGAACTATTTTTAAGAGATTCTTAACCAATCTTATCGTTTTGACTTTGAGTGTGTAAAAAAATACTTCTAAACTAAATACGCAATATGTCATCATGTTCACATTTTCATTCGTACTTACAAACCCTGTTATACTAAGTACCAACTTAGCACCCGCTCAGAATTATAATAGCGTTATCACGTGCACCAAAACAAATTGACAAACGGAAATCCTTTGAGCAGCTTTTGGGTTTTCCGAAGTAGATACATACAAAACTAATATTTGCCACAATTGCATTGTAATTGTGGAAAATTTCACAATTTCAAACATCGCGATGCGACTAATAAGAGCGGAGAAACAGCGGGAAATGTAGAGAAAATTATTCAACTTTGATAGCTCCCGTTGCGTACGCTGCGAAAACGGTACGAGATACCCACAAAATATGATATATAATGATTATACCTCAAATAATCTAAAAAAATCACCGACGCGACCGAAGTCGTGGGTAACAGATTAAATCTATAACGATGAAGAGGTTTGCAAAAAAAATATGATGCTCAAAATAAGTGTTCTACGCGGACGAAGTCGCTGACACAGCTAGTAAATAATATTATAATACCCAAAATAACTATTCCTCGTAAGATCTATAACTATGACTAAAAGAATAGACATGTTTGTTCCGTAACGAAATACACAGACAAACTTGTAGTCTTGTAGACTTGGTACAACCAGCAATCGAAATCAGTCCATTATACTCCTTCCTCCGTTACTGGTTTGAGTATGGGGTTTTTCCTATGTCATCAACGTGTATGCTTAGGAAAGTTCTATTTGATCTGTTAGGTACCCCAGTATGACTGGCGTGAGAATTATTTTTACTATTGAGTTGTTCATTGTTATGTAGTTTGTTCGATTTGCCATAAGTAGATCTTTTGTCCGTGGTTAATATATGTTATGTACTTCTGGGTAATAAATCTACTATACATATAAAATTCTACTGTATGTATTCCAGACGATTCGTTTAGTTTTTATTGAAATGTAGTCTAATATGTAATGCTGAAGAGTTTGTTGGTTTGAACGCGCTAAACTCAGGAACGAGTGGTTCGAAGTGAAAAATCTCTTTTTGTGTTGGTTAGAGCATTTATCGAGGAAGGCTATAGGCAAAAAACATCGCGCTTCGACTAATAGGAGCGAATTAACAGCGGGAAATGTAGGAAAACGGGGAAAATGATTCATTTTTGAAAGTTGTCGATGCGTACGCTGCGATAACGGTTTAAGATACCCAAAGGATAGCCGCGACCGCGACAATATATGTTACCTTTTAACGTTAACGTGCAAGAACGACAGGACGCGACCGACGCCGCGGGTAACAACTTAAATTGATAAAGATGAAGGTTTGCAAAACAAATTTGATGGACCAAAACAATTATTCTACGCGGACGAAGTCGCTGACATAGCTAGTTGTATCTACTACTACTGGTACTATCTACGCCCAGTGATAAGGCTTTACCAACCCTTACAATATTACCATCTTTGACCAACATCAGATTCTTATAGTATTTTTTGTATATTCCCTAATCTCACACTTCTAATCCATGTGGATTGAAGTGTGTTGTAAACTTTCAAAACGTAATTAAATTGTTTATTTTCAATACTTTTTTCAATTTTAACAGTTTTTTATTCGTATAATGTGCAATAAGATGTCAAATCTAGTAAAGTTTTCAATAAGTTAGTGTCTTGAAAAATTTGCGACTCGGGCAGGACTTGAACCGGCATCGTTAGCGTTCCGTGCTGTTGCTCTACCAATTATTGAGCTACCCATTCCTACACCTCAATTCGTCGAATTTCTTTAACTTATTGATACATGCGCTCGCGCAATGTAATTTCAACCTTAACACTTGCGTATTACGGTTCAACGTCTTATGCTTTGCAGCTTAAGGAATCATTAAAGATTTATCTTATTACAAAGTTATAACATTTGAAAACTTTATTATTTTTTACATGTTTACTGCACATTAAGGCACTATATAAATAAAAAATCGAAAATAAATTGACAATTTTTTTTTAAGCTCAATTGTTAGAACAACAGCACAGAACGTTGACGATGCCGGTTCAAGTCCTGCCCGAGTCGATTTTTTTTTTCAATTTTAAATAATGCCTTCATGTGCAATAACATGTAAACATAATAAAATTTTTAAAAGTTAGTGTCTTTTAAAACTAATAAACACTGAAACAGATTATATTAGGTACACAACGCAATATTGTTATATGTTGACCGATGTCAATACAAAATAAATCTCTGCTTTGCTAAAAATACCGGATGTTTTTAATCCTTTCAATTTATTATATGCAATATCAATTGTCCTGTTTAAGTATTGATTAATTATAGTCCGTATATGACTAATAGTTAAGCTATAAACATTACATATAACGGTTGCAAGGCGGAAAACGCAATTGAGACACATCGCGGCAGAGACCACATAAAATGTGTAACAAATATATATTTCCACTTAACATTATCTTTTTACAAAGGGTAATTAAGAAGAAACCAAAAGCATAGATACATTCTCACATAGAGAGATATACTTCGCTGGCGCAGCGACTCAAAGTGAGTCTTGGCATCCGAAACTAAAGATCTTGCGCGGCCGTTCGCCATTCGGCCACACCGAGCTCGCGCAGGTCCACGGCGTCCTTCCAGCGATATCTTGGCCGGAGTTGGAATTCTGATATACGCTTTCTTGACACTCCGATCATCTCCCAGTCTCTCTAAACGGCCAGCCCAGCGGAGTTTTTGGGATTTTTTTTGTTTTTGGGATTAACAACCGAAATAATTATTTGCAAATTTAAAAAAAAATATCTGATTATTGTTTTGTTTTTATGATAGAGGATGGATAAGCCTGGTGATAAGTGATAGGAAATAATTAGCCATATAACATCTCAACAAGACCGAGTTTGGTTTGGACCCTTGAATTGAAACCGAAGCCCGATTAAACTCGATGGCTTTTTCATCACGGCGTCGTGATCCGGAAAGAATATCGATGTTCCTACCACCTATTTCATATCCAACTTGTTTCAGAAAAATTATAAATTGATTAGAAAAACGTTGGATCCGGTGGGGTTCGAAATCACGATCCGTTGATTATAAGTTGTATGATTTATAATGCTACCATTAGAACAACAAGCCCATCAAAATTTTAAATTATTTCAATTGTAATTTAACTTATGTGTAATTTGAACTACGTGTAATTTAAATTACAATTAATAATTAATTATAATTACACACATAATACTTATATTATGTGTGTAATTATAATTATGATTGTGATTATTGCGTATTTATAGCCATTGATGTGGATCGTTTTGCGATGCTTTACTCCTACATAGGTTCGCCTACGTTCTTAAATCGTAACAACAAGAGCAATTTTTTTATCGTTGTTTTTCATATTACCTCAGAGTGTATAATGGTATTTGATACCTTTGAAAATTGCTTTGTCAGAAATAATTTTATATACATATACAATTTTTAGGTACGTCTTAACTTTTAATTTCTTAGTAAATATCTATTTTTTTATGATAGAGTAAGGCAGATAAGGGTAGGGGGACAGAGAAGACGAAAAATTACAATAAAAAATATTTAGGGATCGGTAAATCCTTGATTTATGAAAAGCTGTCACGAAAGGGCTGGGTAACAAATTCTACGAGAGTCGAGAATTGTATATATTAGACTAATTACACAAGTCAGAAGGTGTCCATGATAAAACGTGCCGTTGAATCCTGGAGGCCACTTTTGAATGTCAAATATTATTCTATGTTTGTTCATAGCAAACAAAACATTTTAGCTATGCGTAACGTTACACAAAGTACGGCAAAATAAATATTTCGTATTTTATTTTGCATAGCTATATTTTAACTTGTTTGCGTTTTATCTTGTCTTCGGTGCTTGACGACCGAAATAATACTGACGCAGGATTTGAACCTAGAACAGTGCCTGACACAACTTAAGGCATAAAGGTAATTATTATTTTTCATCGATTAATGACAAATCGTTTTCTGGTACAGGTGGTTTCACGGCATTATGTCCGCGAAAGAAGCAGAAAACCTCATTATGGAGAAGGGAAGAAATGGCTCTTACCTGGTTCGTGAATCGCAGACTCATCCCGGTGAATACGTGCTGTCTGTAAGAGTCCGGGGTCGAGTCAGTCATGTCATGATTAGGAGACAAGTAAGTATATACGAGAAACGCTTTAAATTTTAAAGAACATCATGAGCGTTACCAATAAACGTTGACAATTGTCATTTATAAACACGCATTTATGAAAACTTTAATAATCTTCACATGATAAAATAATATAAATAAAAAATAGTTTTTAGAACAATTTACGACACTGGTAGCACTTGAAACGAAATCCACAGCGTTCTGTGCTATTGTTCTAACTAATTGAGTATTTGAGTTTACGTGCCGTAAAATGGCTTCAATCTAAATTCAATTTTTAACACGTTTTTACGAACCATGGTAATAAAGACCAAGATATCTTTTCCGGAGACCCAAGTCCCAGTGGTGTGAACCGTTACGATCTATGAAGATGAATTTATTAGTGTATTTTCCAGCGCTACGAATAAATTGTAGAAAAGATATTTCTGTCATCTTAGTTTTACCTTATTTGTTTTTTCGAAGAATTAAGTCGGGAAAATAGGTTTCCATATTTTGCTATCACAAGGACATCGCTTTATCTTTCCCCTTTCGACGTCCTGGGAACCGTAGATAACTACTATTAATTTTGTCTTTTTCAAAATCCGGTGGTTTTCAATTTCATCAAAATAAAACACATTGAGGACTCAAAACTTTACTATTATTTTTGTCTTGCCCAAATCAAAAAAAAGTACAGGTTTTAGCAATTTAATTAAGTACAGCCGATCTTATCGCGAACAGTGCGATAACTTTTTACACAAAGTATTCTAATAGTGCCGCCTACATACGTGAAACTATTGTTTATAAGCAATAAATCATCTTACCATTTCGGATAAATAAGGCGAGTTAAAATCTACACTCGTGTCTTTTGTTTTGACTTTTGTTAACTGAATTGAATGGAACAATAAATATTTGTTTGTAATGGTCAAAGTGCTGATGTATCTGTACATACGTAGTATATTTATGTACATAGATTATTAGTTACTAGCTGAGCAGCGACTTCGAACGCGTATAATAATTATTTTGGGTACACTAAATCTTTTGGATATCAATGTTTGTTTTTGAAAACCCACAGGGGGTCAACTCTATTAATTTCAGTTGTTATCCTCGACGTCCTCCGCGTCCCGTCGTTCTTGCAAGTTAATCTTAAAAGATAGATAATATAGCGTCGTAGGACAATTTTTTAGATCATTTATCATAAAAATTCTTTCCTACACATTTTTTGGGTATCTTTATTTTCGCAGCGTAATAAAAATTCACAACGATGACGAATTTCCCCCGTTTTTTCAACATTTTTCGCTGTTTCTTTGCTCCTATTAGTCACAGCGATATGTTTTATAGCCCCTATGGCCTTCCTCAATAAATGTTCTAAATAACACAAAAATACTTTTTCAATTCGAACCAGTAGTTCCTGAGATGAGCGCATTCATACAAACAAACAAACTCTTCAGCTTAATTTATTAGTGTAGATATAGATTACAGTATAGTAAGGACACGTATTTTCTGACAGTTTGGTTTTCCGAATGAAAAATAGTCTAATAAGCTTTAATAAAATCTAGTTATTGTTAGACTTGATCAACTACAGATTATAACAAAACTTTATGCACTTACGGCTTTTACATCATTGGTTGGTGTTCGCTATCGCCCCTTTAACCTCTAGATTTACTAGATGTTTTATCTAACATGTTTAGAAAATAAAACACTTTTACTGGATTAAAACGTTGAAACGTATTTGTTTAACTTATATTACAATGTATTTTAAAACCAACGGTATTTTTTTTAAAAGGGGTTTTTTTTTAAAAAAAAAAAAAAAAAAAAAAAAAAAATAGCCCGAAAAAAAAAAAAAAAAATGTTTTTTTTAAAAAAAAAAAAAACAAAATTTAAAAATTTTTTTCCTTGGGTGTTGGACCTTTTGGTTTTTTTAAAAATTAAAGGAAAAAAATTAAATACTTTTACAAGGCGGAGTAGCTAAGTTAATTTTATTCCCTTGTTTTTTTACTCCACTTCTAATATGTATGACAAAAAGCATTGCGTTAAGTTCCGGACGTAGAAGTTTGAATCCGGGAAAAAATTGTGTCGGTCGGGAAAAACACAGCTTAGGCAGGACTTATTCCTACCTCGCTTAAAAGAAACAAATTTTCACACATCTACTTAAAAGTCCCTCTTTGAGTCAAAATTGTTTGGCGCATCTACAAGTTAGGTACGTTGAAATACTAGGGCTAATAGGAAAACATGATAAATGAAGAGATCAATGTTGTTATATTAGCTCGGCGCTGGGGGATGGGGACTAATAGTGTGAGGTAGAGTTGTGTCAATATATCCTATGTTGATATATGCCTGACAAATAATTGGTGATAATGCATTAATATGGATCTAATTTGATTACGATAAATACGGTTCTGGGGCGGTAATCTCAAAAGGTAGACATGTACTGTCATGGACATTTTTTTTGGATCTTGTAAAGACGAATCATTCTTTTATACATATTTGTTCGTTGTAGAATCATTTTAGTAGCGAACGCAACAGAATCCCTTTTATTTAAACTTTCCACTGTGTCTACGCTCCTATTATTCAGAACACAATATAATATATATATGGCCTAAGTTTTCGATTAATACTTTTATTGGTTAATCCACCAAAAAAAAGAATTAATTGGAACCAGTAGTTCCTAATTTTAGAGCGTTTTAACATACAAATTATGATTACAAACAATACAATAGATTTTTAATTTAAAAAGGCTTATGTAATATATAAAACAGTATTGTTTCCAGCTAACAATTAGTTTGTCGATCAAACATTTTTAAATATTTCGTACATTTTACGTTTTAACTCCGTTCCGAGAACGTAATAACGTTCCGTATTTAAATACTTAGCGAATACAAAATGTAACTGAAACTTTTACTTTCCCATTTCAAGCCAACATATTTAGATTATGTTACTGCAATCTCAGCTGAGTGAAAACCGTAAAAAATATCAGTACTTTAGAAGATTTACGATACATATAAATAAAAAGAGTCTTTTTGAAATATGTACTTATTTCTACACAGACAAACTATTTATATTGTAGTAGATAATCGACATTCAGTAATCAGTATGTAAGGATTAGACATGTGTCGCATAAGAATTACTTATGGCGACTGTTTGGCCGGTACAAGTGTGAAATAATAATTATTAGTTATGACTGCGTATGCGCAACGATACAAAATATGTATGCGGTTTATACAAACGGAAGTAAAAGCTCGAAAAATCAATATAAAACTAAGATAAATACGTTCTTTTTGAATCATCGAAGCAATTATGAGCTAAACGGAGAAATTGAACTCATCTACCGTAGAATGGATCGTAAATACATTTTCAATGTGCATACTATATTAATATATGTACTTTATTATTAACATAATATACAGACCCCCGTGACCACGGCTGTTTCAAAGCATCCGAAACAAGTACGAACTTGTAACTACCGCGTTTACGAAGCACTATCAACGGTTTAAAATAGGATTATTATACATGTATAATATTAAAGCATATTAGGATTTGTTTTAAACTACGACCGGATGTTTTTATTAGCATCTGTGGTCTTCTTATGTCAAAATTATGGATTTAGAAGTTTTACTCGAACACAGATAAATATATATATATATATATATATATAATTGTCCGAGAACATGCTTAGACCTTAATAAGGTTTGATCGCGCAGTTGAATCAGAGCTTACTGTATTCCAAGAATAATTATGCTCAAGGTACATCTGAGTCATATTATTTTGAAAAGGACATCATATCTTTACTAATTTGGCAATCGAAGAATGTTCATCGATGTTTATTTTAGACAAAGTGAGAAATGTGTCGATTTAACTTATACGTAGAGAATTAAACTCAGACGGCTGCTGCAAAGAATCCGAAACGTCGGGCCGTTAAAAATCATTTTCAAATAAGTTTAAATCGTTAAAGTGTTTTATTTAAATGTGTACTACTCGCGTAAACTATAGACAGTATTTGTTTATTATCTGTTCCGGGATTCGAACTGTTAACACACGGATAATTACAGCACAAAGATTTCGAAGTAGTAAGATCTAGATTTCCTTGTGGAGCATGGGCCGAACACAGTTCAAGTATTCATTCCCTGATTTTATTATATGTAAGTTTCTACAGAATTCGAACTCTGTACGTTTCTTGATAACGGTATGCTAGCGTTTAACCATTGAGCTATGTAGGTAGCAGAGGAGAGGTACGTGAAAATTAAAATTGTTTCTACATTTTTCAATGCACTGTGAGAGTCAAGTGCACTTACGAAAACTCAATTCAAAATAGGTTAACGCGCGGACTGAGTTAAAATATAAAATTCTGTGCCACACTAACGAGGCTTTAAAGGCACATTTTCTTTGTCGTTTTTCTTTTTATGAAGGAAGCATGGTGCAAAATAATTTCTCGGTGCAACCTTAACGCACCATGATTACCAGGAACACAGGCGAATGCTGAAAGTTTAATTTTCATGCAATACTCGATGCATTCCGCACTTCCAGGTGCAACTGTTATTACGAAGCACTACAGTCGAAAGTGAACTTAATAAGTCTTAGGTTAAGGTTGACAGCTCCGTACATTTAAGAATACACGTGGTTGAAACTTGCTCGTCCAATATAGAACTGCATGGTCGAATGTAGGAACGCAAAATATTATAAAACATAAACAATTGATTTAAAAAAAATTGATAATTAAATTGTACGTTTTTCTATTATATAGGAATAAAATAAAAAAAAATACTGCTTATATTTTTTAGTACTTTAATAATCTTCATGTGTAACGGATATAAAAAATAAATAATAACAGACATATTTTAACTAAGCTGAAAAACTAACAAATTTAAAAAATATATATTTAGGTAAAAAAAAATATTTAACAGACGGGACTCGAATCAACAGTGTTGTGCGCCGTTGTTGTTTTTTTTTTCAACTTAAAATTATTTTCTATATTTATATAAATCCTCATGTAAAATTATAACGTGAGATTTTTAATTACTCGTTACTACTATCAATAACTAACGAACTACCATCAAATATAAAATCGCTTTACGATTTGCATTATAAGCGACAAAGTATAGGTATGTCTCCACACTGTATTGGAAATACTAGGCGAAAAGAAACCTCTAGGAGACTAAAACAGGGCATGCGCGGATAAATCTAGACTAGCCGTGCACAATGGACTTCTAGTGCATCCTACATGGCCTAACTTCAGTGTCTATCTACCGAATGAAGTTGGGTTTTAGTTCGCTGCGACCGTAAGGTGCATAATACTGCATCCACACTACTAGGATAGCATAATATAAAAGGAGTTGAACCGGACAAACTTGCATTATGGAAATGCACAGTGCATCTGCGCAATAGTAGTGACAGTAATCTCTTGATAGTGCATTCGTCTTTGTGCTTCGTTCCTACAAAAAATATATGCGAATGCAATTATTGATAAGGACTGTGTGACATTTTGTAGCTTAGACTCCATTTTAGAATACAGAATTTATTTTATATCTGTCAAATATTGTGTTTACGTAAAATGTGTTTCAATATTATTGATATACAAATTGATAAAATTAAATGAAAGTTTCGCGTCTAGACACCCGCGTAAACATTCAAGGCATTGAAATCTTCATTTGAAATTGTAAGTAGTCTAACAATAGTATGCTTCGAGTACATATAGCCAGTTAGTGTCAAAATGAGTGAAGTGATCTTTTTGTAATAACTTGGTTTGTTCGTTTTTAATATTGAAGACTGGAAGCCTCAACAGGTTAGTTTTTAATTTAAGTTAATACAAGTATAAATTCTCATACAGTTTCTAGTCAGATTTTTTAAAAGTAAATAAAATGTTGTGTCTGTCACTTACGAGCCTAAAAATAGAATTCATCCCACGGGATAAATCAGATTTAATTGTTAATTTTTGTTTTGCTTAAGATGGGGTTCTAGATATAGTGCTAAAACAGTTTGAAAATTCTATGCGTGTATAACAATTGTACTCGCAACGAATTTAAATCGATTCTAGAGGGCATTCCCTTGATTAAATACAAATTTGGCCTAAATAAATTGTACTCTCTAAGCACGTACGATATTTAATACTCATGAACCAAATTCGTAACCAACAAAAGCTATCTCTTCAATTTAAAAATGAATGCTGTGATGTGGAAAATAATGTGTACACCAAAAACAAAAAATATTTGTTCAATGTATTATCAAGTCCTCACACTTTTGGCAAGTTGGTTCAAATGAGTTTTTATTTACCTATTACTTTGAGAATGTAAGAAAACATGTACGTTAATTCTACAATATCAAATACTGTGTATTTTCATTCAATATGCCATAATATAAATTCTATAATTTCCAAGTAAAAAATAAATAAATCTGCTTTAATTTAGATATTAATGCATCTAAAAAAAGTGGTTTATTAAAGGAAGTGGGGCAATTTTAATGAGGTTGTTATTGTTTGTTGTTTTTATATTGTTCAGAAATAGTTTTAAACTTGTAAATACCGCCTCTGGCGCCAAGTGGATGGAATGCAACAGGTTTCATTGTTCATTTACTAAGCAGATAAGTATTATATAAAGTTATGCACATGTATGTTGTATGTAGTTTGTAGCATTGCGATCTCTTTAAATTTTGAACTGCTCAATGAAATGTATCATGCAGTGTAACACATTTACACATCTTTATTATCTGTTTCGTTTTTTTAATGATTAAATAAGAGTTCTGTTAGAACCGAAAACTGTTTTTTTAAAACACAACATCTCCTACGCTGTTTTTTTAAATAAAAAAACTATAGATAACTCCCAGTTGCCTTTTACATTTATGACCACCAACTATTTATATCACTTATTGTAATCTATAGATATAATTATCTTAAAAGTACATATTTAATAGGACAATCATTAATTCCCACTGATCTTGCATTGTCTGTTACAAAATGCTTTACGACTGCAGTGTATACGTACCGCAATTAAACAAGAAACAAAAGAAAATCTGCGAAGTGTAATTCCTATATTACTCGTAACTATAAAATGTCAACATATTTTTACCACAACTGGTAATGGTAAGGTCGAAAATCTACACTGCGGTAGTGCAACTGAAACCCCCGTAGGGCGCGATTGGTCTATCCAAAATTTTGATGTCTCCTAGGATATGTCAGTCTTCCCACGTCACTGGTACTGCAGATATACTGATATTAGAAACGAACGTTTTTGATAAATGTGTGAAAGCCCGTTTCCCCCTTGTGGGGCAGGGGGCGAACACATTTCTGTGTCCGTTTCACTGATTCGTTCTTTTAATGGGCAGTAGTAGTTGATCAGACTTCTGTGCCCTGCCCACAATTTTGTTTCCCTGGGGTTCGAACCCAGGACCTCTCGCGCTTAACGCAATGCTAGGCAATAAGTTGAGGATAAATGGAGTCTGTTAAAATTTTTTACTATATTCAGTTTACGCGAGTAGTACGTATTAAAATAAACACTTTTACGGTTTATAAAACGATATATATTAGTTAAACTTATTTGAAAACTATTTAGTTTTGGCCCCTTTGCATCCTTTGTAGAAGGCGTGGTCACGGGGAGACTTATTACTTATATAAAAACTTGGGTCACAATACCGTCTGGCACTATACGCCATACTATATACTTATCCCAAAAAACATTAAAAGCCATTACAATTAATTATCTAATCTGACAGAAAACATCTTGTCTCAAAAAGGTAATATATTATATCGTTAAGTAATAACCTGGATAAAAATATTTTACAGCAAAACAAATACAATGTAGGCAGTGGGGAGCAGTTCGACGACTTGGTTGGACTAATCGAGCACTTCAGATCGTATCCCATGATTGAAAATTCTGGGGACGTCCTCCGCTTGCTACAACCAGTATCTGGTACCTGCTTGAGGGCTCAGGATATTGATAGAAAAGTTAAGGTAAAATTCGACAGAATTACATGATAATATTAATCCATTAATTATTCTACGGATTAGTTGTGTATAACCCGAGAGATCCAGGTTTAAATATATAATTAAAATTAATTTTGAGCGACAACACATAGAATGCCATTCCATTTGCATACAATGATAAAATAAAATAATATAATAATTCGAAACGACGGGATTCGAATCCACGATCAACAGCGCACATTGGTGTTGCATATATGTACCGTTCGTTTGCCATATGAAGTATTTCGACCCAATTTGTTTAAATCCCGAAAGTTGAATAATTTGCACCGTTCCACATTTTCCACCATTTCTTCGGTCGTATTGGTCGCGTCCTCGTGCTTTATACTCTAAAGCATTCCTCGATAAATGGTCAAAAAGATTTCTTTTTTCCAATCAGTAGTTCCTGGGACAACGCGTTCACATAAACAAACACAAATAAGTAGAGATTAAATACTGTCTATAGTTTACGCGAGTAGTACACATTTAAATAAAAAACTTTAACGGTTTAGAACGCGATATATTAGTTAATCGCCGCTGCACAGCGCTGCAAGCATCCGAAACGTCGGGCCGAAGTTCAAAATAATTTCCAAATTCAAGTGTAACTAATATATCGCGTTTTAAACCGTTAAAGTGTTTTATTTAAAAGTAGAGATTTCTTCCTTACTTGGATTCGATTTCAGGAATAATTATTACGTTAATGCTTAAAACAAGACGGTCTATCGTCTAAGAAGTATGTATATTTTCCAGGAAATGGAAGACGTAATCAAACCAGAGAATAAATGCGGCTTTGACGGCGAATTCCTGTCTTTGAAGGTCGTGGATGATTTAAACAGATTTTCAATGAACGAAGGCATAAGGGTTGAAAATTCAAAGAAAAATCGATACAGAAATATATTGCCTTGTAAGTTGTGTCTTAGTACTTATTATAGGACTTGGTAGTTCATATAGGAGTAGTTTATGTGTCCAAGAGGTCGATTCTCACCATGTTACTGCACGAACTATAGTCGCTTTTAGGTCTTAGTCTGTGGATGTAACCCTTAATAAGTTGACGTTGTACCTTATTTGGATGTCATATGTATGGGGCAATTTTTATCAAGTAAGAGGTTTACTTGTGTCTTGTCTTTCCATCTTCCTTTATCATAAAAATAATTTTATTTAAATCAGTATAGAGTTTCGCAGTTAGAAATTTATTAATTAAGCAAAATTTGTCTTTAACTTAAAAAATATTTAAAAGTATAGTCATTTTAGAATGTGTGTGGTTATTACGGATATTAATCTTATGTTTGTAGTACGTTACGTTATTATTAATTCTTATGTTTGAACAAGAACTAAAATAATTACGTCATTTGCATAAGAACATGCTGTGCTTGCATCTAAGGTTACATGAATTTAAACTAAATAAGATTTAATATATTTTCAGACGATCAAACGCGCGTAGTTCTCCGCAAGAGGGTAGGGCGCTCAAAAACGGCCGACTACATAAACGCTAACTTCATTCGCCCACCAAAATCGGGTTACTCCAGTTCAGTGCAGTCGTCAAATGAAAGTCTTGATAGTGTTCATTGTGAGTAAATAGCTGTGATAAATACCAACTAATATCCGAATACATACAAAAGGTGGGAGATAGCATATTTCTGTGTCTCTTTCACTTACTGTAGGTATTATTAACAAGCTGTTTAAAAGCCAAAGTGAAACTATTTATTTTGACTCGTGATTCAAACCTAGGACCTCTTGGATGAGGATCGTTTAACGATGGTCCTTAAAGATACTTTTATTTATGTATAAATGTTTTTTGATTTAAGTACCTGAATTAACTTATAATTATATTAAGTTTGTTTGTTTGAACGTGCTAATGCAACTACGTTGTCTAATTCTATATATATATTTAGTGTTTGTTCGACCATTTATTGAAGAGGGCTATATGCTTTAAATCTCAAGCCTTTAAGATTTTTTAAATACCTTTTAGATTCACTCGCAAATACGACGGAACGCCGACGAATAAGTAAAATATAAAAATACAGTGCTCAATACATACATAAATATTATAACAACTGGAATATTTTGTACCTTAGGACGATTAAAAAAACAAAAACTGTACACAAATTTGTGTTACCTGATCATCAAACTCATGGACAGTACTATGATAAGATCAGATCCTATTTTCGGTAAGATAAACACAAGGAAAATCATTGTCTTCATGTTAACAGAACACAATGCGTACATGTTAACGAGGTGGTATTGAACGTGTTAATGGAAAACATACGACTGTATGTAGGTGTAGACATAATTATCTAGTTAGCACACATACAATGAGAACCGCTATTTTTTTATTATTTGCCCGCTGATTTATTTGCGGCTGTTCAGCTGTAGTTGTAGATATATAAACTTAGGGTAAATATAAACATGTCATTTTTATAGACCAGTGAAAAATAACATCCGTACAAAATTTCGACTTCATCCGCGTACAATAGTTTTTTTTTGCATCAAAATTTCGCCTTGCAAACTCGCTCATCTATTAAAAATTATAGCTGTTATCTACGAATCGTCCGCGAGTCGTCGTTCTTGCAAGTATATGTTAAAACATATATACTGTCGCGGACATTTATTAGATCATTTCAAGTGGAATCATTTTATCATACATACATACACATATTTAGGTATCTTGAACCGTTTTCGCAGCGCACGTAACGGAAACCTTCAAAGATTAATAATATCCCCCGTTTTTCTCATATTTTCCACTGCTTCTTGGCTCCTTGGCTTGGTTGGTCGTACAGCCTTCCTCGATAAATCTTCTATCCAACACTAAAAATTCGTAGTTCCTAAAAATAGCTCGTTTAAACAATCAAACTGACTCTCAGTTAGCTCATATCACAAAAAAAAATTACAAAAATCGATTTGATAATATTATTTAACGGACACATCTTTCAGTATTTTTGCGCATACGCATACAATATATAGACTATACTTTGTTTCAGCACTCATTCTAAGGAGCGAGCCCAAGGACCTAGCTCCTCTGGTCACGAAATCCTTATCAGAGGACACGCTAAGAGAAGTCAGGCGATGCATCAAGTTGGATAAATTTAATGGCAGCCTGTATAGAAATTTAGGTACACCTTTGACGTTTAATTTTATAAGCTATAAACAATTTGCAAGGATATTATTATATGATAATACATTCATATACAATATGCATATGTTTCATATTAAACGTCGCATTTTATTTGATCCTGTGTCTAATTTACAATTGGACGTTGGTTCGATGTCCATCGGTTCCAACAATTACATTTATTAATCAACCAGTTCATAGCTTTAAAATTTACATTTACTATCAGTTCTCAAGTCGAGGGCGTAGAACGAACGAGAAGTACTAGCAGGAAACTCGCGGCCACTCTTTTTATCGCATTTTTTTTCTTCGCTTCACGTACTTCAAGTGTACTACATCTTTTCTCTTGTTAGAGCGAGTTCCTCCAACCCCAAGAAAATTTATCGTTTAATATTTACGTCAGAATAAGCCTTTCTACGCATATTTTGTTTAATATACGATTTAAACTTAATACAATTTGGACATTCAATCGGTGGACCATCGAATTTCATTTTATGTTATAAGTTTCTTTTAGATAAAATTAACTTCGTGTTTAGGACACGGTAGCTCATTTGGTTAGCCGTTAGAGCAATAGCACGGAACGCTGAGAATGCCGGTTCAATACTTACACAAGTCGTAATTTTTTCAATTAATTACCGACTTTAAATGTCATGTACAATAACATGTGAAAAATATTAGAATTGTCAAACTCCGTGTTTCTCTGTCACACAAAAATACCTGTATATTAATATGCTTTTGCAGTTAAGGACAAACTATACATTGCGACGCAAGGCTGCCTGTCCAACACCGTCGACGATTTCTGGCAAATGATATGGCAGGAAGACGTCAGAGTTGTGGCAATGATAACCAATGAGATAGAGAGTGGAAAGGTATTTATTTTAATTTTAAATACTATTTATAATAAGCCTATTGCGAATTGTCGTACTCAGACACCAGCTCGCGCATATTTTAGATTATATATAATTTTTACATGTGGCAACCAAAAAAAAATAAAATTTAATATGCATTTTAGGAAATTTATTTTTCTTTTAATGTAACAAGCAGTATTAAAAAAATTATATGTAGTTTGAGCAAGTTCTAAACTTAAAAAATAAGCAGTTTAAATCACGAAAATTTGTTTAAAAAATCGTAACGTGTTTTAACCTATACTTGTTGTATTTTTAATCAAAGCTTTTCATATAATTATAATTAAGATAATTATGTTTTGCTTTGCTTTACAATCAAGATATTCTTGAGAACAAGAAAAATCTGTAACATCAAACTCAGTCTATATTTGTATTATTGTAGAAAAAATGTGAACGCTACTGGCCGAATTGTGGCCTCGAAGAAACCTACGACGGCATAACTGTTACATCAACATCAGAGTGCTTCTACGAAGACTACTTTGTAAGAGAATTCGATGTGACAGACAAAATAACGAGCAAGACCATCTATCAATATCAATTTACGGTAAGTGTATCAGCTAAAGCCACGTAAATTAAAAAGTCAGCAAAATAGGAACAAAGTAGTTTATGCTTAACATTTAAAATCGATTGTAGAATAAAAAAAATGTTACGACACTGGTGGGGCTTCAACTGGCCTCCATAGCGTTCCGTGCTGGTGCTCTAATAAATTGCGCGACCGTGTCCTATACGTCATTCTCGATTGTTTTTCAAGCGATTGTTACACGCACCCCTCGCGCAGTATATTTTTTATAACACTATAATGCCATATTTCAGTTTTCAAATGTCCATGTTCAATAAAGTAACCATTAAGTCTTCTAAGTATGCAAAATGTTATTTTGGTGTGTTGTTTATTACAGACGTGGCCAGACCATGGTACTCCGCCTGACCCGACCGGTATCTTAGCGTTCATCGAGAACATAAATAGAAAAATGTGCGAAATATCACAAGAGGATAATGCCCCGGAGCAAGTAAGTTACTCTATAGATATCGTCTGTAGTTTAAGCGTAAATAAAACAGTTTAACGGTTTAAAACGCTATATATATTACTTAAATTTATTTGAAAATTATTTTAACTACGACCCAACGTTTCGCATGCTTTTCAGCAGCCGTGGTCGCGGGGAGACGATGAGTTTAACTAATATATATCGCGTTAAAGTGTTTGCGTGTATTGTGTGTCTATTTAAAAAACTTACTCTATAAAAACATTTAATTCTTTCAGTATTTTTATTATTTCCGACCTTATGCCTTTTCAGAATATTCTGTGCGTTCACTGCTCTGCTGGTGTTGGTAGGACAGGCACCTTCATTGTAATTGATATGCTTATTGATAGTATTAAAATGTCAGGTAAGTCAATTCGTGTTTCTTTTTTAAACCGGTTTGTTGGTGTTAGTTATGGTGATTTGGCGAATAATCAACGGTTCTTACGATCGGTCCAACATTTTTCTTATGAATTGATAATTTTTGAAAACTGCATTATTGTTAACATGTGCACATGAAGGCACTATATAATTTAAAAATCGAAAATAGATTAAAAAAAATTTCGACTCGGGCCGGACTTGTTCCGTGCTGTTGCTCTACCAATTGAGTTGCGAGAGGTGCATGTACAAAAGTTGAAAAACTCGACATATTGTAGGACTCGGTAGCTCAATTGGTAGAGTTAGCCGGAACGCTGACGATTCCGGTTCAGTCCTGCCCGAGTCAAAATTTTTTAAATTTATGTTCGATTTTTAAATTAATTTATATTTTTTCTAAAACATGTTCGACTTCGGAATTCCGTCCGGATGACGCCCATTAGTCCACAGAAAATAAAGCCGTAAAGTTAAATCGGTTTCAGTCCGTGGATTTCCGAATATCCAAAGCCAAAATAGATGTAGCGCATCTTGTTTAGATGATAAATGGCTGGGTTATCTTACCTACCATTATGTGAACTCCATGCTTGCCTATCCTCCATCATAAAAAAACCATATAATTCCATAATATTATAGCTTTTGCGTGTTATATTGCTGTTGCGTGTGCATTGCAATCTTTAAACTATTTGTATCGCATTGCTCAATTGTATAAAATGGTAAAGCTCATGTATAACAATGTATAAATCCTAAGGCCGTGGTTACCTATGAGTGCGGTTGGTTGTAACAGCTCTGTATTATTTTGAATAATTAAATTAACTTATGTTACGTGTACCCATAGTGATTCCAACTTAATAATTATGATATCAACAATTCCTTTTGTTATAGGTTTTAATTGTGACATAGACGTGTACGATGCAGTGAAATCGCTTCGAGCACAGAGGTCTGGAATGGTCCAAAACAAAATACAGTACAGATTTATATATTTAACTATTCAAAATTACATTGAGAACAAGAATCTTAAGCTAAAGAAGAAGGTAAGTTCTACCTATAATACTCGAGAATAGTTGTATAAATTTTATTATAATTAATGATATATATATATATATATATATATATATATTATATATATATATAGATAAATAATATGAAGCCGCTAGAGGCAGAACAGCCTAACTGCAATTTTTATGACTGAGTTATTTATATTTTCATAGTCTAAAATGTTAATGTACAGTAACCGAAAATTGTTATAATAGCATAATTCTTTCATTAGTAACGCCTAAGTTGATTGCGCATTTTTATCTCCTCCTAATTGTATTCTTTCATATTAAAAAAAAAAAAAAAAAAAAAAAAAAAAAAAAAAAAAAAAAAAAAAAAAAAAAAAACCCCAGGGGGGGGGGGGGGGCGCCCCCCCCCCCCCGCCCCCGGCGGGGCGGCAGGGAGGGGGGGGGGGGGGGGAAAAAAAATTTTAAAAAAAAATTTTAAAAATATTGGGTTTTAAACCGTTAAAGAGTTTTTTTTAAATGTGTACTACTCGCGTAAACTATAGACAGATTTAGTCTCGATGGCCTGTGTTATGAAACTTTGATATTCTATAATTAACATATTTTTATATACTTAACGTCTTGGTATATAAGAGACAGCTTTTTTCTCCACGTGGGTTATAGGGACATATTCCCCTTTTACAATTTACAAGCAGTAATCAAACTGATATAGTAAGCTAAATAAAATGGGAATTAGTATGTAAGTTTCTCGTATAATTTAAATACCTAAGAGACTTATTTTCAGGTGTACACATCAGATGCATAGTGACAGTCGACCAAAGGGAAAGTACATATCCGGATTTCATTTCAAATCAATATTTATATTATATAATTGTGAATAATTTTAATAGTGTTTTATTGAACTTACGTCTCTATCATTAAGTTCCTTGAGTAACCTGGTCTGTCTAAGGTTTTAGAACCTTCTCTGGCATGAAAGTAAAAGAAAAATCTGTCGATAATTATCGATTTATAGTTCTTTATATGTGAAGTAATCTTGTATTATCCTAGTACGAACAATAATATCATGACAAAAATCAATATAATGAAGTTGCAGTTCTATTTTCAAACTCCAAATATGTAGCTTGGTAGTTAAGATAGGAGTTGTTTTAAAATAATACACCACCGCTCGATGTGTATATATATTTATTAATTTCATTTAAAACATTTCAAGCTATTAGTAAATCTATTTATAAATATGAAAGAAGACAAAAATTATAACACACGAAATAACATACAAAACAACAATTGGAGACGTGTAAAATGCTGTTGTTTTACTTAAATATAACGAAGACTCCTAACAACTTAAGTAGGTCATAAGACAACACGTTTAAAATAGAAAATTCTCACTAACGAAAAATTATAAGGCAAGTGAGTGTATGTTAATGTCCCATGTATAACACATTATATCTTACAAAACAATGTACTTTGGAACTTTAATCAGTTAAATACATACAACACCTATTCAACTAAGAGGTATTATATTTTTTAATTATCGACTTACTAGTTTTCACCACGATCGAAGTTACTTGAAACAGTAAAAATAATTTTCTATTAATCTTATGCAAGTATGGGTTTACCTTGATTAATATATTATCTGTAGGCAAGTCGGAATCTTACTAAAAGTGTAGCTAATAAGTAGTACTTTTAAACACAGTCATTACTGCTGACCGAATTGTTATATTTAAATTTAATTTGGCACATTATCCCGGTGCATCTCAGACGAAAACAACACTCCATATTAAAAGTTATGAAAAACGAAACACACACCTAAATCTAGTAAGGAAAAGTTGTACTAATACATAAAAAACTTAGCTATGTGCGATTATACTAAACGAATTACAATAAATGAAAAAATGGTTGGAGTAAATCTTAAAATTTAAATATAGGTAAACCGTTTATAAAAATAAATAAGTGTAAATTACAAACATTCACGTTGAAGATAAAAATATCTCAAAAATAAAATTCCGAAGTGCGTTCACGGGCAAACCATGAATACAAAATGTCCATTTGGTTTTTAAGGTTATTGACCCGTTGTTTTACTTTAAAGAAACAAGCTTTCAGTATACAAAGTAGAGGAATGACTGAAGTTTCAGACCGTATAATAACGACAGCTATATTATAACAAGAACGAAAAAGTACTCTATCGAAAATATTTTAATACGACTATCATTTTAATAAAATACTGTATACTGTATTGAAGTTAGTAGTATAACCGTACGCGGATACGTTATCTGAATCTAAAAGACCACAAATTTGGTGTTTACGTTGATACGTCCGATAACTTTCCATGTCTGTTGGGAGCTCAAACAAGAGCACTACCTAATTGTAATCTACTTTTTTACATGTCTATTTAATTATTGCGATTATATTCTGTATTAAGCGAGGAAATAATATTTTATAATAGCAAAGGGTAGAATAAAGTTGATCGTAAATTTCGTTGTACAAAATTTGTTAGAAGAGACGATTAAGATCTTGGAAATAATTCTTATCTTACCAGAGCAAATAAAAAAAGAAACATAGAAAGTTTAATGTAGTGAATCAGCCGGCAAGGCACTTTATAGTAAAAATCAACGTATTTTAGGATTTCTTTTTTTGTATCTTTTATTTCAGCGAAACAATAACTGAAAGGAACATTTCTATACATCGAAAATGCAATTAAGATAAGTAACACATCCGTGAAAATATATAATACACAAAAGCACCGAACGCTGCTTCCAAAGCTTTACCACAAAATACATACTTTACACTTACACATTAAAAAATTGAACACATCCTTTCAAACCATATCCTATAAATGAACAGAATTGTACATTGTTTTAGTACCCGTTTTAATTACACAAATAATTAATTCTAGGTGCTCCTTAATTTTGTGCTCGAAAATTATTTTAAATTATGTGACACATATAGTATAGTGATAAAATTGAAACAAATAACACAATTAACGTAAGTATACTTTGTTAAGTATCTAGCAGTTAGTTGATTTTACTTTTACGCCAATCATATTTAATAATTTCCTAACAACTATTAATAAACGAATAGTAAATATTCATTGGCGACGCAATAGTTACCTGCACGCCTCTAGCGGCGAAATTTGAAAGTTGCCTAAGAACGACACTATTGTTTCAGTTAGTGTGTACACATGGCATCGATTACGAAGCTAATGACGTCACCAATATTACTAAACTATTATTGGAATCAGAATTTTTTCACCAAATAAATTTACTTTAGTCTAGAAACATTTTACAGTCCTCCATCATAATTTCGTCGCAAGAGGTTAGAGCCATTGCATCGCAAATAGTATGAAGGGATAAGCCAATTAATTTTGTGTCTCTTTTACACAGACTCCAAACGATATTTGCCTTACAGATACATAATATAGCAAGCTCTTACTTACGAAACGTTTATTAATAAGATGGTTATTAAGTTAACCAATACGTACATTCTTCGGCACTTATAGTACCGAAGAATATTTGCTAAACAATTTTCAATTGCTGTATTGGATTCTAATTTTATGTATTGCGTATATACAAATACAATTATATAATGCATTTAAGGCGGTTCTATAGTAATCTACAACGGGTGGGGCAATGTGATCGATATACTAAAATATCTATACGCAAAACAAAAGATACTCGATAAGAGCACAACTCACTAAGATTCGATTGCTTCAGTTACTCAATTTGCATGGAACAATCTATCGTTAAACTTATTTGATACTGGTAAAAATATAACAAATGCGTGTAAAATACAATAGCTTTCGTGCAATACATCAATAAGCGAGATAACTCACAAAAAAGATTATATACAGAACTACACCTACACCTACTTACGCTACAAAAAAAAAACTACGAAATACACAAGTGTAGAGAAAACACACAGAATATTATTGACGGATTGAAAGCGAGTATAATAATAATTTGTTTCGACTACGACGTTGGAAATGCTACAGCACTTCTATTGTAATTATTAAAAACAAATTATCCATAAGAAATTGCCTTGGAACTAAGGTGAAAAAGGATCGATCAATTCTTATGCATTTTAGGTAACTTTTCACTTATCACAGATAATATTAATTAGTGTAATTAAATTAGAGCAACAGAACTTCGGTAGACGTAGTTTATAAAAAGGGCAGATTCGTTTTATCAATTCTCTAATTCTAGTGAAAGAGAAGTGAGAAGTCAGTTCTATGACATATCTATTTCACTGATCTAGTTCTATTATATACAAGATTATAAGACAGCTATGTTCTGCCGGACCAAAACTAAGTCAGGGTTAAGCAACAAAAGTAATAAATTATAACAAAATACAAATATAAAACGTTATTCTTTTGTTTAAATGTACCGTCAAAAATATTAAATAGATCTGTTCAATCTTTTTAGAATAACCACACTGAATAAAGAAAAAAAAAGATTCTTTCCTTTTCAGCTAATAATTGGTATGGTTATGTAAATATAAAATAAAGATCGAGTCTAATTGTAACAGAAAGAAATCAATTAATGTTTTCTAATCAATTTTCTCAGGCTCAACAGCAAAGTAGAAAAAGAACTAGGTTAGTTGGCATTTTACACATCGTATTAAAAAGGTAGCTAAAGGTAAAAATATTATGACTAGGGCTAACTAACTATTAGGTATATTGGTATATTTTATAGACGAAGTATAATCGTAATACAAATTGGTAAAAGTACGCCATAACATTTCCAAATGTGATAACACACAGTACTTATAGTAAGGATAATATAATTGTTAGCAACATGTAGTTATGTAGTATCTAACAATAAAACAAAAGCAGTATATCTTGTTCTGTATGTTACATTTTTATCGTAAACAACTCAAATGAAATGTGCATAATTTTCAAGTTACAAATGACACGTTTTAGGCCAGATATTTCTAAACTGTGCACGGTTACAATAATTATTCTTAACTGTGATGTCTATAAAACGTGTAAGACGACTTTTAACTATGTTTAATTAAATACTGTCTATAGTTTACGCGAGTAGTACACATTTAAATAAAACACTTTAACGGTTTAAAACGCGATAGTTCCAAGAAACTTATTTGAAAATTGTCAATGTCATTTGTTTTATTTAAATATGTTTAATTAATTTACGAATTACTTCGATTATAATAAAAAACGTCATTGGAAAAAGAAACTAAGAAAATATTTCGAATATAAATTTTCAATAATTTTTATCTATCATTAATTAATCTTAGTCTATGGATTAAACACCGATTAACAGCCACGTTTATTTTACGTAATTTATGAGTTTCCTAATAAGTTAGCTATGAATCATTCTCCAGTACGTTTGCCTTGTCGTTGGATAGCGATTTCATGCCGATATATTATATGGGGATAGCTGATGAATGCAGAGAGGGAGTTTGCAAGGAGAAAGTGCAGCGACATGGAAGATCAGTTTGGATCAGTTCTTTTCTTACAAATTCTTACATACGAAGGAAGTGCTGTGTGACGTAACGAATATCAATACATTTTATAACTACGGAGTACTTTAAACTGATATAATGGAGCATTTACACGGTCACAGTATGTCAGTCTCATAAACTTTATTGGTAGTAGCAAATGAGTCGCACGCGTTCTCAGAATTGGGCAAGTCTGATGTCATATCGTTTCGTTTCCTCTCGCTGTCACCGGCCAAATGCGTCATACTACCAGATATACTGGCCGGTGCTAGATTTAGATTCATTTTAGTGAGTAAATTCGATTCGCTACCAGTTTTCTTCAAATCTGGCTGAGCGTTAACCGGCAGAGTCGGTCCGCTACGCTGGATCATTTGTAAGCGAGCGTATTGCTCCTGTAGAGCCTTTTGTTTTTTAAGTAATTCCTGGTGTCGCTGTTCGAGGAGGGATTGGCGGTTCGCTGCGTTTGCGTCGTTCTGTTCGGAGTCTGTGCATGGTGGGGAGGAGGGTGATGTGGGCGATGCGAGGGGGGGAACGAGAGGTGGTTCTCGGCGGCGGGGGAGGGGGAGCGCGGCGTGCGGCCATTGCGAGCAGCTCGGGGTGCCTTTCGGGCACTGGTGGCTTCGGCGGATGCTGGCCTCGGGCGCGAACGGGTGGCGATGCGTCAGTGTCGCTGCCGCTGGGATACGAGTGGAGCCTCCGCAATGGCCCTTCGCCTCTGCCGCTGCGTTCGACCGGTTTCGCGAAAGTTTGGAGCTCGTCTAGTAGCGCATCGAGGGCGTTCTCTGGCCGCACGTCCGCTGTTCCCCTGGACGTACACACTCGCCCGGCGCCGGCTGCCTATTTACCAGTCCACGCTATTTTAGTTTGTTCAATTTCCAAACAAATGAATGCACACAGAAACTTGGCTTCACTTCTCGTGAAAAGACCTCCTAAGACTAAGTTAAGTGCAAAACCCACCGCTTAAGAAATGAAACCACGTTCAGCTAACATTGAAACATTGATTGACATAAACATTTAATAACAACCATTCAAAAGAGAAAAATCCATTAAGAACAGTCAGTATTCACAATATTTATAGAGCTAATGTCTTAATGGCCACCACAATCATTCAAAGAGAAAAATAAAATAAAACAAAAGGCGATCGCCCATGATGCCGTAAAAGAAAACTTCAAGATCGCCGAAGTTTTATTTTAGGGCAAGTTGAAAAGTTCTAGCCTAAAGCCAAATGGCGACAATGTGGTAATATTTGGAAACGGGTGTAAGAATGATTAGAGAATAAATATTTGATAAGAAACATTAGATTGATTGTGTATATAATAAGAATAATAATTTAATTAAATTTAGCAATGCATGATACGAAAGAGAGATTTCACTCTTAACAATTGTGACGATTTTGCCATTAGTCAAAATTTTAAAAAGGTGTCGAACGTGAATGAGTTTGAATACAAACACTAACTACTAAGTGATATCTTTATGTAAATACGTGTGTCTAAAATAAACGTAAGCTTTATATAACTACTGTCAACTTATCTATTTAAATGTCAAGTTCAAAAGCGTAAGTAACTAAAGAGAATTAATTACCTGTGATCCAGATGCAGGTATAAATTGTGTTGTGATTTGAAAAACAGGCGGTGGAGTTGGTGTATTATACGTTTATTATAAATAGTAAATTCTATTCAATAGTGAAGGGTTATTTGGAGTATAAGTAAACTACACAATACTACGGAACGAAAAGGAATTAACTGCAAGGATAGGACATGGATTTATGGAATATTATATTTATTGGTTCCAAGGTAATTAGAGCTGCTTCTGGCATCAACAACGTGCTGCAACAAAAACAAAAAATCGCCAAGATGCAAAATCTATTAAGCAACTTCTAGTAACTTACATGCGGTGATATTTTCAAAGAACTGAGTATTTGTAATTAAAAAATAATTTCATTTTAATAATTGTTAAACATTATTTTTGAATTCTTAAGCAAGTTAAGACACTTTAAACGGTTTAAAACGCGACAAAACATAGAAAAGTGATGATTAAAAAAACGAATTATTGTAATATATTTCACGTTTAAAACCGTTCAAAAGTATTTTATTCGATGTGTTCCATTCGCGTGTGGAACTGTGGACTGTGTTATACAAGCAACAGTAATAGTGAGTGGTCAATTATCAGAAAAAGTATGATTTGATGAGACTTTTTAATTTGTGCCTCTCACCAGTCTAATGTAGTTGCGTAATATTTAAGAAGTTGAGAAATTAATTTACCCTGTCAATTGGAAAGGTAGTTAATTTTACATTGAATTCATTTTAAAAAGTAAAATCTAAAAAAGGATATAGAATATTATTACAGAAAGTAAGTAGATTCTTAAAACAAAATGGGTACAAAGTTAACAAAACTATTATAGTTAAAATAATAATATAAAATGTACTGCTTTACAATCTATTAAATAAAATACATGCCACTACTTAGATAATACACAAATAAATTAATAACATGCCAAAGTTCCCTTTTGGCTCTTATTAGTATTGATAAATTCCATTGAAAAATATTATTTAAGTAATCTCAATAACCAACGTTCAACCTAATAATTTATCCACAAATTACTTATATATTTACAACTTATCTATTATATATATGTATAATATATACCTATAATATATTAAATGTAAATAATGTGTGGATAGCTCACAAAAGCGTAATCATATAAAAAATGTCGAAAAATAATTGTATATGACGTATCTAACTAAAAATATGTTACTAGGCTGAACGTTGTATTCTCTATATATACATATTTCGGAAAGCAATCGCTTAAGCTAGATGAGATGAGCAAAAAGAACATATAAACCAATGTGTTCTTTATTCAAAATTTATCTTCTTCGAAGAGGACATTAGGTCGTCGGTTATAACTAATTTAGTGGCGGTAGTTGTAAACGTACGCCAATCTGCGAACGGCGCGGCGGGTAGTTTAACGCTCTCCTATGAAACTGATTTGCCTAGTAGTGATACATTACATTATAAGTTGTGTTTGGTTTATACTGCCTTTACATTATTATGACATGTGCAAGCAATGAACGAACAATATAATGAAAAGAATAGATATAATAGAATGTCTGGTAGCATGCGTACCGATCGACGTTTCAATAGTGTTTGAACTGGAAAAAAATTAGTAAAAGATCTATGAATATCGTCACGTTACAGCGGATTATCTTACAATATCGCTCAAGCGCCTTGTGCAATACATGCCTACATAAAATAACGAATGTGTCAAGACACATAAAAATAGATGATACGAAAGAAAATATAATAAAAATTAAGACTGTGATAAAAGTATACAAACAAATTGTTTTAACGCAGTTAATGAATAATAAATAATGGATAAATTACGAAGAGCTTAATTACTCGTTAATAACTATAGCTTCTCTGAAGTATTGGCTCTGTCTCCACGCGAACTGACCGGATACGGAAAAAAGACGACGACATATCATCATTAAATAATACATACAACATAAATATATAGTCATCGTGGGGATAGATCGACGTGAGTTTCCAATTCAGAATTACTATAAAATTTTGCTTTAATATCCTCCTAACTGCTCGACAAGTGCCAGACAGATGGATTACTGGAGATGAATTATATTGGGGAGAATATTTGATCAAAGTATAAAGTTACATGTATAAAATTACATACATTTCACCAACAGTAAAGAAATAGAGCAGAAATAATACATTGTCGCTGTGTCGTTTCAAGGCTTCAGTTCTCAATCTCGCGGTAACCTAAAACTTTTGTCTAAATAAATATTTAAGTCAATTGGACAGGATCACCAGTCCAAAGGTCTTAAAAACGATAAAATATATTAAAATTGGCATTGTTTTCCTTAAGCGAGGATAAAGTACGGATGTGCAGTGGTTGCAGGATGTGCAAAAGAATATCAGTTTTGTATTCTGTTTGCTGTCGACATCACACTCTGTCAATAATCGTCTTGGAGGGGAGAGGGTGTTATGAGCTACTTCTTTGCTACTGCAGTACGTTTAGACTTTTACAACTATCGCCACTAAATTGGTCTTGATAACCGGGGCTTGTAGCTTAACGCGCTCTGTGAGCTACGGGGGTATTGTCACCTTCTATTTTCTTATATACACTGGCTTTTTTTAAATACAAAAATAACAAATCCAAGAATCGAACCCGGAACCCCGTAGTCGCCAAACGGGAGATATAACTATGATAGTAAAGAAGTAAAGTATTCTGTTTTAGACATTATTGATAAATTATTTATCAATTGGGTAGAGCAACAGCACGGAAGTCTGACGATACCGGTTCAAGACGAATTTTTTTTTCAATTTATTTTTGATCTATTTTACTTATATCTAAATTTAATTCCTGTTAACAAAATAGTAGGTTAAAGTATTCCAGTAAATATTTTTGCTACTACAAATGCCTACATCGATACAGAGCGTGATGTATTTTTTATTGACCATCATATTCTCGAATGCCAATTTCGATAAATTTACTAATAGCCTGTCTAACGTTACAAATTTCAAGGCCGAATTAGTAACAGAATACATGAAGAAAGTTTAGTTAAGACATTCCCTGTGGTATATATAGTATAGGGATCTTAATCTAGGTACGGACAATGGAAGAAATAATAAGCTACCTATGGACTACAGTTTAGGGTAAAATGCAATAACTACTCGGTTAAGAGAATGATACTCAGAATGGTTGCGTGCACACGATCATATAAACAACGAAATGAGTGGCGATAAACCTTGCCAAAAGCCACTAGGATAAAAAATGTAATTAGGAAGCAAAAACGGAAACAGTTCAGAACTCATTCAGCAAAAGAACGGAAGTGTCGGAAAAAAATGCAAATTTTAAACTTTTGGCAAACCTGAGGGCCTCAGCCAACGCGACAATTCGAAAACGATAACGAATTTCAACAAACAATGTATGCCTGACTGTCGTTAAATCAGATCCATACATTTATTTCGAGTTCCTTATCGTTTTGTAGCTGTAACTTGACCGCGGCCCTTGCAATTGTTAAGCGAATCGTAGCACGGTAAAATGGCCCTAATCATTATAGGTTATTAGTCATATATTTGCGTATAGATTTATTTATTACGTCCGACTTGACTTGTTACCTTATTCGATTGTGTGACATGGCAAGTTGCTTCGGAGTGGTACTCCTCAGATGATGGGCCGGCGGTAGCTGAACTTTGGGATGAGGTCGGGGATATGCGACCGTCGCTTAGAGGCAGGCGCTGTTCTTGGACACAGGCCAATCTACAATGAGAACATGTAATACAACACTTAAATCAAAGGAGATGAGAATTTATAAAATAATTAAATCTGTCTTATGATTAAATATTGTCTGTAGTCTACGGAGGAGTATACAAAATAAAACACTTTAACGGTTTAAAATGCCATATATATTAGTTAAACTTATTTGAAAATTATTTAATGCTAAGCATCCGAAAACTAATAAGTTGAACTTATATATATCGCGTTTTAAACCGTTTAAGTGTTTTATTTAATGGTCTTATGCTGACAATATAAAGCTCCATGACCATAAATGTTCCCAGAGATCTATCAAGAGTACCGTAGCAAGGTTGGTGCTGTGTTTAGTGGTTCTGATCGGCTATTGTCTCCGAGGAGGGTGTAGTACGATTTACCACAATTTAAAATTTGTTTTAACTACGACAGAACAGATGGCGCTATCGTAACAGTTTTTAGTTAAATTTAGGGATACCCTGTATCTTCAGTCCTCCCGTGGCCACGGCTTTTGCAAAAAGGGCCGGTTAATAAATTTTAAAGAAGTAAATCAATGCATTTAATGTTTTAAGCCGATAAAGGAGTGAAAAGATTTATTTAAATGGTGCAGACTGGTAAAATAAAAATATACCCCGTGAATCAAGCGTGGAAATTAACGAGACTTAATCCAACTTCGCAAATACAGTTAATGGACCAAAAGTAAAAACTGCTCTCTCTTCACCATTAAGCTAATCCAATTCAATGCGTAGAACTGTAATAGGATTAATTTGTCTTTACTCTGTAGCATGTATTGGCGAACTTTTAATCTGTACTCAGAGTAACACCTAAGCAAAACAGAAACAAAATAAGGACGCAAATGGATGGTAAATTCTGCATCACTTTATTAAAGCAATTTATTACTATTTTTATATCAAAGGAAAACTTTGAGCTATAGTAACATGACATAAACGGAACATAAATAAATTTGCGATTTCTGCTTTATTTATTAAAAATTAATATTTCACGATAGTGACAACTTGTGTATAAGCTTTTAATTAAGTTTATTTTGGCTATAAGTATACATTGGTGCTCTATCTAAGAATATCGCCTACCTCGTAGAGTCGTACCTCTATATCACGCAAAATAAGTTTTTTTTTTAATTTCTAGTACTTGTTTTCCAGATATTGTAAGTGGTGGCATTAATTCCATCCTCAGAGCCACTCATGCCGTCAGTTTCAATTATTATGACTAATTTAGCTTGATAAAGTTCGTCAGCTCGAACTGGGGCTGATGGGTCTGGGATTGTAACGCCCTCTTATGAGAGACAAGACCAGTGCCCAGTAGTGCATAGCAGGACATCAACGATTTGCAAAGTATATTTTATTCTTTAATAATGAGACTACAAATTTTTATATATTTCACATGTTATTGCACATTTTACAACAGGGCGGGACCTGAACCGGAACCCATAGCGATCCGTACTCTAACCAATTAGCTACCTTTCCAGGAAAACAAGCTTACCTCTTTAAAGTGACAAGTGTGCCAGTTAGCTTTTTGCAACGACGCAGCGCGAGCTCCAAACGCTCGGGTTCTTCTTCGAGCATTTTCTCTTTACGAACCACCTGAGGAGATGATAAAACTAAAAGCCCGGTACTCAACCCTTCCATGTAGATGCTATAACTAAACGGTTCGTTAATCTGCAAGTGACTTAAATTACAGAATTCGAGCTTTCGACATACATGTTACATGGTGTATTTTTTCTAACTAGGCAATTTTGGTAAACTAACACTCTTACATGAAATCGTCATTTTGTCGTCTTGAAAGTCATTTTGTATATTGAGGGCTTTTGGTTCATATAAAATGGATATTTTTAACCTTATGTCATCGGTGGCAACAATTGCACACTATGCAAAGTCATCTCTAGTTCTCTATGATTTAAAAGCGACCATATTTGTAGCGATCTTCTGCCAAGTAAAAACAAGTATACTATTCGTGATATATTTAATACAAATGACACTTAACACCCAAATTACCTAACATTGGTCTTGACTAGTTTATAACTATTTAAAAATCCTTAAAAGGAAATCAGTTCAATTATTTACTTTCTCCATTTCGGCGGCGAGTTTAACTTTCATCGTCTCTTGAAGTACTGGGAATTTGAGTTTCCAATCGGCCACAGTTTTGCTGCTCTTCGACAAAACCATTGCAATGCGTTCTATATCCGCCATGTTAACCCGAGTTTCCCTGAAACGTTTGAGAAATAAGAGATTAACTTAAGTAAGTCGCATAAGGTTGACATTTATATTATAAAACAATATATTTTTTGTTTTTTAATAACGATTACTAAATACTATACAAGGTTATCCCTACTTCATGCGAAACGTGAAAGTAGTTTGTTCAGAATCAGTAGCAGAATCCATTCCAATAGTTTGTCAAAATTATATGAAATTTTTGAAATCTTGGTCACCGTTCGATAAATAAATACCTACATAAGTATAACGAAATAGGTCTAAAAATCCGGGAATCCGCGGCGGCAGCTCGTTGTTTTGTGTGGTGATAATGTTGCCGAAGCAGTGAGACGTTATCGTGAACAATTTGGCATCTTAGTATCATGGACAGTTAGCTCATTATTCGCGTATAATACGTGAGCACTTAAATAGACAGTATGGAGACCGGTGGATTGGTAGAGGCAGCTTGGCCGCCTAGGCCGCCAGATCTGACTCCTTTAGATTTTTATTTGTGGGGTCATGTCAAACAACTTGTTTACGATACTGAACCTCAGAATGATGAAGATTAAATTAAAAACGATTGTTTGGTGTAGATTATTGTGAATAAAGTGTAAAAAATGGTGATTAACATTTTTAAACACGCCGGAATAGTTGAATATGGGTATGTAGGCGCGTGTACATAGTTTTTGTCTCAATAATTAACGCTAGACTTACATGCCCTTTAACCATTCTGACAGTCCAAAGCCTGTAAGTGTGATGGGATATGTTATTACCAAAAGTTGTCAATACATTCTGTGAGCAGACGATAGGTACATAAAAGTAGTGAATCGCGAGGGGGTGCGAGATAGCGCGTTACGTCGGCGCCTGCTCAGTGACCATGATAATGCGGGATAAACAATAACATGAAAAAATTTAATAACTTCGTGAGTTTTAATTATTTTAATTATGATTTTTTATCCTGATTCTGCGTATAAATAGACGTTTGGCGTGTTTCAGCTTTAGTATCAACAAAGAATAACCTTGTTTAACCTTCGCGGCCACATCTAGTTATATTATAAATCCGGGAAATCCTATTGTGAGGGTTAGTGCACCCAAAGGACTTTTGTAATACATACAATAAAATGTAATAATGCGTGTTTTGGACAGTACAGGAATTTGTATTTGTAAAATACATTCGTGATTAAATACGTACAGTCTATTAGCTGCTTGGCCGCGTAATCTTTCCACGGTCGCTTCCAGTTCGTACAAATCGTTCTCTAATAGAAGCATATCTTGGCGGTAAATTTCTTCTTCTCTATTGAGTTGCTGTAACATCAAGCGGTAATTTTAATCACGAGGCTCTTGGTCAAAATTCTTTTATTTTTTTAGACTACCTGCATGGTAAATTGGTTACTAACTTTGTCTATCACTGCATTTAAAGAAGGAGGTACTGGGGTATATATGGGAACATTAACTAATGTGGGTCGTGCATACGTGTCGGATCTTATGTACTTGACTGTAATAAAAACCGATCATTGAAACTGGCACAGAAATGTGTCCTTACCCCACAAAGAAGAAGCGGGATTCCATTAAAACAAACTCTATTTTTTTAAATTTGGAACGATTCACGTACATTTGTTTCGGTTGATTGTTCGGAAATTTTGTTTAGCTCGACCATTTTATTTGAAGTTATAAAAGTGGAATGATTTTTCATTGACTTCAATGACTATTTATCAAATAGTTCGATAAAAGATTTTTAAGAAAGTTCAATTATACAATAGACATAGTCTCTCATGTAAAAGTACTTACGGATTCCGGATCCTCTTCACAGAATCTAGCTGCTAGAGTACCGATCTTGACAATTGTATCAGCCATCATCTGCCTCATTTGCATCGCATGTGACAAGGTCGTGCGTCGCAAATTACGCGTCTGTGAAATAATACGGTTGAACCTTGACAAATTCCAATAACATTTATCATTCGCAAATATTGAATAACTTTCGCTTGCGCTCCAATAGCTTATTGATTAGTGACGACCGTGTCATTGTGTATGTGTACTGCATGCGTGGATTTTATTGTTGTGTGGGTGACCTTCATTTACCTCTATCCTCAAATCACGGCTCTGTTTTTGTAGGTGATGCAGTTCATTGAAGAAATCCGGCGTAACGGTAACTGTATACGTCTTTTGCGGTACTAGCGCTAGCGGCTGACTAACGAGTCCTGCTGGCTTTGGTGGCGGCGCTGGCTTCAGACGATCTCGCTCTGTAAAGCAATGTACTCCATAATAAACGTCGTTGTACGGATGTACGCTCTACCAAAAGCACCCGATTAAAGCTTCTATTATAAAAAGTAGCGATGGAGATTGTTCGGTGGCTATAAGCATGATTTTTTGATCTGCCTTATAAAACTCCTAGATAGTTTCCATACAGGAATGATATGTAATTAAGTGAAGTGATCATTTTGCAGTTACCTTGTGATGATGTCCGCGGCAATGTAGATGACTTGATTGCCGGTTTTGTTGGTTTTGTATCAGCTTGTTATGGCAAAGAAGTAAGCGGAAAGAAATCAAATATAAGAATTATGAATATGGTATATGACAATAACTATGAGAGAGGGGATACAAGGTAATTACTTTTCAGACAGTGGACCACTATTATAACAAAACATGAGAGATTTTCAATGATATAGATTTTTCGGTAATCGACGGTTAATGACACCTATTAAACATTTGAGAATGCTTATTGAAAATCTATAATTCCTTAATTCGTGAAAACGTTTGACGAACTTTTCGCTTTCTTTGGACTACTATCCCAATATAGTCCGACGAATAAGTTGTTTCGGGTAGATGTATATTCATGGATAAATACAAAAAATAAGCGATAACCAAATATTGATTACTTTTAGTATAAAATATAAGGCGAGTGAACGTGTAAGGACAATTTACATATTATATCTACTGTTAGTACAATTTCTATAAGAAGAGACTAAACACCCAAGCATAGATAAATGTTTGTTTATCAAAGTTCATGACACTTATTAAATCGAGGTATGGCGGTGATTTTGTTTGAGGTAAGGTTTTTGATGTAAGGATAAGACACGGTTGGGAGGCGGTAGATTTGCGAACAGTTATTTATTAGAACTTGTTCTTAGACTTGAAGACAGTAAAAATACTGTTTTTAAGTTTCATAATATCAACGAGACGAATAAAAAATAAAGAAAAGGAATAACTGCTCGCAAGTATGTTAACCGCTTTGGTTTTGGACCTGGAATGATTGTGTAGAAATCTAATTTACCTGCGTGTTGAGGCGAATGCTGTTTCGGCGAGTTCATATCTGGTGGGTCATCGCTAAACGAGACGGACTTCTCAAACGAGACAGACTTTTCTGGAAGAATAATAACGCAGTCACCAAAAGAAAGATCATTATAGAGTTCAACGAGGATACGACGAAGGATTCCAACGAATCATAAGGTAATAAGAAAGATTTCAAAAATTTTATACGGTGCACATGTGGGAAACATGAAATAAATTTCGTATCAACGTGTGAATGTGTTAAGGCCAATTAAAATCAAATAGATCTGGACACAGTTAAATAAGTTCGCATTTAATGTCGACCGGGATACATATTACGAAATACTTGGCATGCAACATACTTGAACGCACTTTGTCTCATTAAATTCATTCACCATTCATTAATTCGAAAATAAAGGACAAAATAAAATGAATATGCACTTAATTGTTGTTCTTATATGCACGACTCATTCACGAACTAATTACATGAATGCCTCATTTGACAACAAGCCTGACTACTGTAACAAAATGCTTCTGTATCTCTTAACCAAAATACGTCACCACTGCCCCTAACTACCAAGAGACAGAGCAACACTTAGCATTATATCGATACAATGTAATGTAAGAGCTTCGAATTTTACATACGTAACTAACTTAGAACTCAAAATACAGCAACTGTTGCATAAGTAATGTTTGTAATTTACACGAGTACATTAAACAAAACACACTTAACAGCTTAAAACACGAAATGTATCAGTCAACTTATTAATATGCTTTGCAACGGGGACCTGCGTTATCGCAGCGGAAATAAGCTAACTAATACATATCGCATTGTAAACCGTCAATAATGTTCTATTTAACAATTGCATAACCAATGAATCGCAATCTAAGTTTAATGAGAATGATTGCATTAGGATCATATTGGTTAATTGGTTGCGGATGTTCTAGAATATGCCCAATACAATTGTCAGAGATGGAAAGGAAATAATATCACACGATTGAGCAAGCAAGCGTTTGGCGTGATAGTGCGGATACTTCATACATTGCGAATGTTACGTGAGTTTGAGAAAAATTAATATATCCATTAGAAAGTGCTTCTCTGTTTGCGTTTGAATCGAATGGGTGTTCCTCACAATGAGAAGTTAATTTGCGGTCCCACAATTCAATTACTCGATTCAATTGTTTAATTTAACATTAGCAATGCATTTGAACATTTCTATCCGCGATTTATTGAGACTTACGAAATCTGTCCCTCCCCAATTTGGGGGGTCTCTCGTTGCTGGCAAAAAGTGCGGCATCTGAGTGCAGGAAAACGCAAGCCACATTAACTCCTATTGTCATACATGTATACTATATTTGTCGCAATATATATATATATATATTATAACAGTATACAGCAGTTATAAACAATCTCTTTTCACAATGACCAATAATTTTCCTTGTATTTTAAAATTTCGATTCATCAACTAACCTTGGGTAGTTCGAGCCGGCTGCTGGAAGTCCTGTCTAGGTGTAACAGCTGGTGTGGGAGTACCCCCCGGTACTTGAAGGGCTTTCTGCACGAGCCCAGTAAGGTTTGCTAGCTGACGCTCCATTTTTTCAACACGTAAGCGCTGCATATCATCGACTGGTGGGCCCAACCTATTTTCGGTCGGTAGAAGGGTTATTATATATTTAAATCGCAAGACACAATCGCACTGCCAATGTTATTGTGGCCACAATATCGCGTAGCTAATGATTGCTTTTCTTCTGTTACCTGGCGTCGTAGGGTGGTCGGGGCATGGGGCGTGGTGCTGTCGTGATAGCATTTACGCCGTACATCTGATACGAGTCTTCGATTATAACGCCGTCACTGCAAAACGGAATTGTAAATTGAGAATGTTTGTGAACTGTACCGTACATTCAGTTTATAAAATTGTAAACCGTGTTTCTTTGTATAAATAAATACAGACCTCATGAAATAACCACACGTTAATGAAGCAATATTGAACCATTTAAATGAAACACTTTTAACTGCCGTCCGTAGTTAGATAAAATATATTAAAAAATAAAATAACTAATTCGACTTTTAAACCGTTAAGAGTGTTTCACTTAAATGTGTTCTACTCGTGTGACCTCAATACTTAAAATTGCATCAAACTAATATATTAGACTATAACAAAAAATAACCTCTCGTGACAGGACCTAGAACAAAGAATTAAAGACTTACCCAGATTCTTCATCTATAACGGGGTTGATCGCGGGTCTAGCTGTTGTCGGCCCCAAAAACTGTGTGTAGTACGGGTCTTCATATGGGACCCTAGCTGAACCACGTTCCGGAGATGACATATAACCCTCGCTTGAATGAGCTGATGGAATTGAACGTTAATTAAGAAACGAAGATTTGAAAAATAACCTTTTTCACTCCTATTTGAAGGAAAATAGCATTTTATTTGCGTAGAATTTCTGATGCTTACTTAAACATCAGAAATTGTTAATTACCAATTCTAAATAAGAAACATTTGTTTGGATAAACTTGAAGATAATAGGGACATTTTTAGACATAGCTATTTCTTAAAAAAAAACGAAAGTAGGGCTTTCGATAGAAACTGATGTAATTTTCGTGTCACGCAGTTTCCGTATTTACGCAACAAGTTCAAATTAATGAAAGCCTATTAAAATAAGTTATAGCAATTTTGCGGTGGACCGCCTCTGTGTATGTCTTAATCGCGAAAAGTTCTAGGTTCGAATTTGAAGGAAACGTATAGTTTGAGTTTATAAGTACTAATAATGAAAAAATGCATCTGTCTTCTGTCACAATTTAAATACACAATCCTTAAAGTAGATATTAAAAAACAGAGAGCGAATTCGAAGGTTTTGTTAATAATAAGCTTAGAATCAAAAAAATAAACAAACAAGAGACAATCGTAAAGTCTAAATATGTAATTCAAGAATCCATTAGTTTTACATTCAGCCACAGGTATTGTTGGCAGCAATATAATTTTCATCCGCTTATTCGATTGGGTCAAAATTGCTTCAGAGCAGAGGTTATTCATTAAATATCAAACGTAACCTACATTTAACAGATGCCTATGGCTGTATGTAACCGAAGTTATTTACATGCGAATTCATGTAATTATGTTTTGATTAACTATAATTAATTTAAGACGAAGAATAGAAGTCGTTTCGTTATTCAATTGTTTAGTTGTTGCGTTCTTATCAGCGGCGAATTAGCACTTCAAAATACAATAGGTTTTTTTTTATGCCTATATAATTCATATCTAATAAGCTTGTTACCCATTTAAAATCAGAGATAAACGAACAAGTTAAACCTGGGACATCTAATAAGCCAAAAGAGTGAAGTACAATATATCTGAGGCAGTATAGACATCGCTCGGAAATACGTAAACAGGAATCTAAAATAAGCCACAAGCAATTGGTGTCGTGAAGCGAAAGTAATTAGCACGCAGGGCCACGAAGGTGTTACCAGGGATGGTGTAAAGTTGATCTGTACCCCTGGGGCAATCTCCGGCCGAGAAGGGGAAACAGCGCTCAGAACCAGTCCCCGGGACGTACGAACGCACTGGCTTGGCTGGCGGACCTACACACACACCGCGGTGTACCCAATGCCAAATAAAGTAGGATTTTTCAGTACTGGGCCATTAGATTTAAATATGCAATGGATAATGAGTTTGGTTTTATTGCTGCGTCCACGCTAGGCGAGCGGAGCGCGAGTCTTGTAGGGTTTATTTCACAACGGTTCTAGTCGCAGTTTGACTTTGGTAACTGTCAAAAGTGCGGCGAATTTTGCAAATTCTACTTAGTTTAAACTACATATAAACAGAGCCCTCTTATATCAAATTGTATAGTCGTCCATAAGTGTATTATATATATTTTATTTACATGTATAATTTACTTTTAATTTCCATTGTATGAACCAGATTTTAAAGTGCGGTATTACCAGAATTTTGTCTGTGCACCGTCTCTTGTCCCGTTTTTTACAAGCATAGTATCGTAACCACGGTTTAGTAATAGTTGCTAAATGTAACGTTCACGCTTGACGCAAGACGCATGCGCTTGTCTCGGCTAGTGTAGACGCAGCTTTACTAATTTGAATATTAATACAAATTAAGTCACCTGGTGGTGGTATGGTCTTCACACGGTCTGCTGGCACGGGTGGTGCTGCAGGCGAAAACGCCCGAAGCACAGAACCCCCTCGTGGCAACGTGCTGGGCGCTGCAGGGCCCATGTAATAAGTAGGCGGTTTTGTCTGAAAGAAAATGGATGTTGAGTAAATTTGACAATTTTCTTAATAAAGTCGTCAATGCGTGGTAGTGACGGCGAAATAATAATTTTAGAGGCAAAAGGTATAGTCATTAGCGTAATATTTTATCTATACATTTATAGGGAAAAGCTCTTTATTATAAAAGTCAAGATTTTCAATATTTTGAAAAGAACGTTGAATTTATTTTTATTTTTATTAACGAGTTCCGAATGACGGTCCTTTCGTTTCAGCGAAGGAATAAATGCTTTATTGCTTAATAATTGATTTAACTTAACGCTTTTTATAAATATATTAGTTAACTTGTTTAGAATGTATTTGTTTTATTAACATGTGGATTTTTCGCAGCAGGCTGAACATTGACTCCCGTGATCCCGACTGGTGCTAAGTCGTAGGCCTTAGTAATTTTTTTCAATAAGTTAACAAATATATTTTGCGTTTTAAACCGTTAAAATTGTTTTATATAAATGTGCACGACTCGCGTAAAATGCCGACACCGAGTACCTTATTTAATAAATTTTAAATAAGCGACGACTTGTTAGAAAAACTAATAGATACTACCAACGCTTAAATTTCGTTTTCGTAAACATTTTTATTGTCTTTATTTGTTAAATAATTTAAACTTATACGGGATATAGACATAAACAAAACAGTCTCAAGATTATATATACGTATGGATGATATAGGGTTGGATTCCACCATATTGATTATTTGTGTGTAAATAAAGTTTAGAGTACATAATGACGAACAAGCCATTACATAAGATTTAATAGTGTCTGGTTAAGGAAACAACTGAGTTACCTAAATAATCATAGGCCAACAAGTATTATGAATGTATATAAAATTAATGCTGCCGTTGAGTCAGGCTGTAAACAACGATGTATTGTAAAGTATTTGCGGTTTACAAATACAGTATCAAAGCAATAACAATCTAACCAGCGGAGAGAGTCAGTTGCCAGATTGTTTTTATGGAGAGAGCACTGTGATAAAATAGAAAAACGTCGCTCATGTTAATCATCATTACATGAAAGTGTTTTATCGGGAAGGAAATTATACGATACAAATAAGGTAATGCCAAAACTAAACTCATATATGGAGTGACTAGATGGTACTAGTACTATTCTAATAAATATCTTAAAAATAAGAGAATGGGAATCTATAATAATATTTTGTTTGAATGCGCTCAGGAACTATTGGTTCGAAATGCTAAATTATTTAAATGTTGGTCAGAGCTTTATTCGAGGAAGCCTTAGCTATAAAACATCTGGCTGCTAACAATATGAGCGAAGAAGTATAGGGAAATGTAAAAACGGCGAAAATTATACATCTTTGAGAGCTTCTGTCCACATGGTTGAGAAATAATATAAATTAATTAGAAACACGTTGGACTCTGTTGGAATCTGTTGATTATTAGCCATACATTGCCACAATTAGACCAACAAGCCCAAAAATAAAATAGGTACTACAAACATTATCAATAACTTAAATTATAAAATAAATTTGATTAAACGTCTTCAAAGTTATCCCGATAACTAGAGTACGGAACAGGTTTTAACGAGACAACTTTCACAGTATTGTCCTGGAAGGGTCGTCGATGTTAAAATTGCAATAACTTACGTAATATATGTTACAATAAGTTCAAACTTGTTTCTTAAGTGGCATTTTGTAATTAAACGCTATTAAACCAGAGCAATCAATATACATAATGATTTCATACTCAATTTTAACTAATAGTCCAGATATTACCTTCCAATATAGGCCGACAACTCATTTGTATAGCAGGGTCGCCTTAAATCTGGTAAATATGCTGTCGTCAAAATTCTCACTCACATGATACGTATAAAAATATACGATACTTGCGGCCCTGTACACATAAATAGACATAAATAGGAACAGATTTTTAAAATATAAGCATCCTAATTAAAACGACCATGAATCACTAAATTAGAAAAAAATTGTATAACGCGTCCTAGTTGTCTATGTTGCTGTGTCAGGAGCCGCTGCGAGCGTTCAGTGTTAGAGTCCCGTGCACGCGTTCGTGAATTCCTAGCTTTATTTCCTTCAAGTCGATGCGACGATCTTGCATTTTGTTCTGCAAGACGAACCTGAACGTTCGACGATAGATTCTCTGGCTCGCCATTGGGACGCGTACACTCCAATACTTTCCAGACGATCATTTTAGGTAGAAGACTCTCCAATACGGCGAACTTTTGCTAATCTCGCTTAGAAACTATTCTTGCGACCGTCTTTTTCTAGGCATATTGCTATGAAGGATATTTGTTTAAATCAGAGAAATTAAGAATAAACTAATAATAATACAAAAGAACACATTCAAGTTCAAAGCGATAGTTCTAAAAAGAACTTTGACAAACATTATGCACAGTGTGATTCCTAATACTAAAACTAAGTAGCTTTGAAAAGAATGTTTTAAGTGAAGCATAAATAGTTAAAAAAAAAAATCGAAATATTCAATGTCGTTCGCGCCCACTGCGTAAGGAGCCCACTACCTCTATCGTCGAATTAGTTAATAGTTACTCTATGAGCGGCGTGGCGGCCGCCGCCGGCATGTATTTTTGTTTTAATTTCATGATATCTTTTGATGGCATGTCTGATTTCAATAATTAAAAAAGGAATCATTAGGTATGCGAAGAAAGACAATTTACGGCTAATTTTTTTACGCCTTCCGTTGGTTTTAGTAAGAATTTCTATAGATGGCTATAGTAATCAAGTATTAAATATAGCCTATGTTACTCACTGATAAGCTATATAGCTTTCTAATGAAAAAAGAATTATTAAAATCGGTCCAGTACTTTTTGAGTTTATCCGTTACATACAAAAATACAAATCTTTGCTCTTTCTAATATTAGTATAGATTATAATTCCTGATCAATCAAACCTTGGAAGTCAATAGGATTGGCTTAGCTAAAAGCTTTTTTCCTTTATAAGATATCGAAAACTGTCAGGAATACGTGTAAAAGCTTTTAAGCTTTCAAACCTTCGCGTTATAGGATAATGTGGATTGAATTCACGAAAGATAATAAAATCTATGTAGTATTTAAATAAAACACTTTAACGGTTTAAAACGCGATATATTAGTTAAACTTATTCGAAAATGATTTTTACGTTTTAAACCGTTAAAGCGTTTTATTCAAATGTGTACTACTCGCGTAAACAGTAGTATCTATGTAGTAATCATAATAATTATGAACGCGTTTTTTAAACATATTAAGGTGCTACAACTGGACATAAGTGTCTTCTGTTAAAAGAAAAAGATTTTATTTGCTTAGACCCATCAGGCGGCCAGCGGCTTTAAGAATGCCACTAAATTGATAATAAAGACCTGCTTAAGGTAAGACCATGATACCACAGAGCATAAGTCTTGCAACTTACTTATTCTTTCTAAGACTCCCTTTTGGACCTCAATTTAGGATTGAATAAATCCATTGTATGCATGTGTCTTATAAAATCTATCCTTGTTACAGTCCAAAGAAAACCTCGAGATTCTCAATAAAGCTTCCAATATTAAATCTTCCATTAAATTGTGAAAGATAATCCACTTGTGCATGATAAAGGAGTGTTCTTTTATATTGTAACAGGATATAATATTCTTTGTGGTCTCGAGGAAGAGCTCTCTATGATAATATTATATTGGAAACTTAATATTCGTAGATTCGAGCACCTCAAAGCGATGCAAACTGTTTAATTTGCATTTTATAGAGCTCGCGCTCCAACATAGAATGAGATTAAAAATTCTTAAACACAATATTCTAGAAATTCTAACTATGGTGCGAAGCGACTAGTTGTAGGTTTAGGAAAATTTACGTTTAAAAAATAGCATCACTTAACTAATAGACAACGGTCCCAAGTTGAACCAGTTATTTCAAGTTGATTCAGTTATTAGTAAAAATAATTCATTCATCAAACCGACATCTTGGACCTCGTCATTCAAACTAAGCTATTCACAAAGTAGCAATTAAGTGTAAGAAATATAGTATAGATTCCTGATAATAATTTTCAAAGAACAATCAAGGCACATTGTTTACCTATTCAAATGGAAATTAAGGAAAGGAAGGGAAAACAGTTATGCAGTAAGATTGAACAACTTTTTGGATGTTAATGGATTTCTAACCATAACCAATGGAAGGAGCATATTTAAACATTAATTCAAAATGTCTTTCACGACGCTTGTGTTTCAGATTTGTGCAAAATGAGATTTTACTGTTTCGCTGCCAGCTTGTTAGCTTTGAGCATGTGTGAAGCAATAAACAGGCCTGTATACAAGATTATATTAACGCAAAAAGGATTCGCACAGGTAATATATTTCCCGAGACAAGATGAATTTAGAGCGTGTACAGGTTTAATTAAAAATGAAGATGCTTTGAAATAAAATGGTACATTTAAAAAAATGTACGACTCGGACCGACTTGAAGAGCAAGACTTGAACCGGCACCAATTGAGCTACTGAGTCAAAGTTGGTGGATGCCATTTTAAATTCTGCCCGATTCCTGATTTTTATACAAATATATAATCGATGTTTAATTTATATACCTAGTGCCATCAATTGCAATAACATGTGAAAAATATTAAAAGAAATTGGTAACTTTTGGATTCGATAACTAAACACTGTCTCAGTTCGTTACATTTTGTAGTTTTTACATATATTTAAATTTCCTTTCGTTACTGTGAATGTGATAAAAAGTTTATGCAACTGTTATAAACGTAGAACAAATAAACAGTGACAAAATCCTATTCGAAATAAAGGCAGTCGCTTTCAACTTTACAAAGCATTTCGCAACTACGAAAAGCTAAACAACGTTCCATTTTTAAACTTAATTGCATTATTTTCAACGGTAGGTAATTCCTGCAAGTTTTATTAAAAGCGTATAAACAGAACTTAATTACGGCGTGTTTACAGTTTCTGCAGTATGACGTTGACACGCCCCCGTTAAGAGAATTTACATTTTGTACCTGGATAAAATTTTACGATTTCACACGTGATCAAACCCTGTTCAATTATATCGGTAAGTTAAACGTTATTTTACGTGGAAATTTTAAGCAAGACTATTTATTAAATGTGAGGGCAGGTCTTCAGATTCAGAATTATACTTTCCCTTTGGGACACAGTCTATTATTGACTGAGTAGTCGATAATCGACTGTTGAAATAAAAGATTTTGCTTCAAATTCAAATCAGTTCGTACTTATTACAATAATTGAACAAAAGAGTCTCAAATTCTTGTTCAATTATATATATTATATACTAATATAAAACACACGAGGGGACACCGTGAGTTAGTTATATAATAATTCAGCTAGTTTCTCCTTGTGCAAAGCATCGGAAACGTCTTGCTGCAGTTAAGATAAAATGTTAATAAGTTGACGCGTTTCGAACAGTTAAAAATTGTTTGTTTAAATGTGTACTATACTGAACTATGTTAAGCTAGTTTAAAAGCTATATTTCTTTTTACGGGATTCTACTTATTACTGAGATAATATGTGTCAAAACACAAAACATTTCTCTGACATACATACAGTTGATTGTGTTAAGCGTAATACAAGTTATAAAATTGTTATTGCGCCTTCACGCATGTAATTACCAAATAAAAAAACTGGATCACACTTGCAAGGAACCCGCTTTTAAATATTGAAAAATCATAACAGAGAAATTGTGTCCACACAGTTACATGACAAGGACAAACTCACTTAATACTCTTACGAAACTTGTCTACTTAGCTTACTTAGCACACCTGTAATGAAAACCATACACTTAAGTAGTAAACACTTGGCTGAATATCAGATGGAGAACGATTCTAACTTGTTTTGGACGTGTTTCCTGAGATTAGCGCGTTCAAAACAAACTGTCCAGCTTAATATATTAGTATAAATTATCTTTAATTTACAAGTTATATATTTCCCAATAATCGTGAGAACGTATGCCAATATTTTACGTAACGGAAGCACTTTCGTGTTCTTTATTCGAATTACAAAATATATTGCAGCCCAAAATCACTTCAACTCGGCGACGATATTTTTTAAAAGCCATTTATTTATTCATAAATTGAATTTCGCTCTTAGTACTTCGTGTCGGACACTCTCAAAAAACTTTTTTTCCCAGAAACCGAGCGCCTACTAACTAAAGCAATTACTGAACTTTGATAAAAATCTAAGTGCCTTTCACAATGTACCGGTGACACTTACCACCGACCGGCCACTGGACCAGCAAGCCAACGAAGCGTGTTCCCTTCATATGGTACATTTAGCATATTAGGGTGTCCACTCACTACAATGGTTATTATTTATTATATATGTATTGTATAAATATTGTTATCGGCGCCAACTTCCAAAATAATAAATTGATGTTTTTTACTGACATTATATCAGTTTAAATTTTGACTGCCGTTAAATGTTGACATCACTGCTATTTTTTATCGGTAAATATAGGTCTGAAATCTTACAAACCAGGTCAGGATTGAATAAAAAGTCCAGTAATGATGTGAAGACTGGTAAAAAATTATGTCATAATAAATTTACTCGCATAATTGATAACACTCTCGCAAGTTGTATATTTTGTAATTACATATCCATTAAATAAAAGTGTTAGTAAATGAGGTGGAATTCATAAATAATTAATGAGCGAATCATTGGCGACTGCACGATCTAGTTACCGTGTTCCTCTTCATTTGCGCATGCGCGTCTGTAACTTCGACGAAATTAGATATTTAAATTTATGAACAATCTCTTCCCGTTGCTTTAAATTGCGATGCTTTTGATATACTTCGATAACATAACGTTTACATTTTTCAGTGCATGGCAACGACCATATTCTAAGGTTATGGTTGGATTCTGGAGGGCATTTTATAAAAATTTCCCTCAACGGAAAAGTTTCTTCGAGTAACCCAGTTGATTTTAGCAAAGGCATATGGCAGCATGTCTGTTTTTCGTACCAATCGGATTACGGAGCATGGGCTCTTTACACTGACGGTCGCCTAGTGGCATGTGAAGTTTCACAGAGTGTAAGACTAAGACTTTCTATATTCACTACTTATTGGCTTAGTATTTTGACGCTTAAAGCAGAACGAACATCGGTATATTTGAAATACTAAGGTTTTTCTTCACAGCCATTTTTGTCTCTAATAATTTAGATTGCCTAAATATCTGTGGTATCTTTTTCAGCTCCAAGGCTTTGTCTTACCGGCTGGTGGAAGTGTTATTATCGGTTATGGCACATCTAATGACGGTATTACAATTCAAGTAATATAAAATAGCTATCTTCTAAACTATTTATATCAAAACTATTCATTACTTTTCTAGGGGCTTCGGGAGGATTAGAAGGGGAAATATTCGGCGCTAATATGATATTGGCATCCACTATTGAAAGAAACTATACAATGAAAAGAAATCCAAAGTTCAAACAAAGATATTTCCATAAAAACAAAGTCACTAGCACGAACAACATTAAGTACATTATCCTTGGAGACATGCAGACTGCAACCACTCATAACAAAATTGAAACCACGACGTCACCAACTTCCAGTACACAAAGTTATATTTCAATTAAAACTCCTTACAGCACTGTGGAACATGATGTAGGCATTGATTTAATACCTCAAAGAAATACAGATAATATGCTAGGAGAAAAGGCCTCTTTGCATCAGTCGGGAGCAAAATCAAAACGGATATCGAACGATGATGACAAAATTAGTTTTTGGAACATTATAGATGACGCAACAAGTACTCCTATTTTTAAAGGAAAATCGCCTTTTTTCCAAGATTCACAAAACAAGCTTAGTTTATCAACGTACGAAATGCCACCATCCACTAGTCAGGTAGAGGATTATTCTAAGTTTCAAACAAACTCGTTTATGAAGATATCTGCAAAACCAATGATTGATTTTAATAGAAACTCTATCATGAAGACAATTAAATTACAAAATGCGGCAATATCAAACATAAAAACTTCACCAGTAAATTACAAGGATAACAATATGTTCGGCCTACGCCCTGCATCTAACTTTGCTAATAGCGTTTTAAAATATCTTAAAAATAGTAATATAAACACCAAGAATGATTACAGAAAGGTACCGCCTACAATCCCTCTTTTCAAGGTGTCTGATTCATTTCCATATGCCTCTAATACGAGATTAATGAGAGCGTTTACGCCCCATATTTTCCAAAGAAAACATATGTTTGATCATCATTCAAAACTTATGAAGCGCGATATAGAAAACCATCAGATAAACGTTCAAATACTGAAAGATGAATTAAGAGACGGCATTCTAAAATCTCACACCAAATTAAATCCAATAAACGTTGAGATAACGAATAGAGGTAAAAGAAAAAGTCGAGTTTATAGAAAAAGCGACAATAGTAAACCAGAAATAATTTTATCCGACGTTTTTAAGCCAAGGCCGTTTTCTGTTGTTACACATAAACTAAACAAAACGTTTCCTTTAGAATTCAGAAAAAACACGAGAATGCCATTTTTAAAATCAAGTGAATATTCGGTAGAGGATAAAAAAATTGATACAAGCGATACAAAAAACGAGGCTTATTCAAAAAGTTTATCAGATGGCAACAAATGGCACAATGTTAAAACTTATAGTAACGATTACACCCCAAGAAAAATAAATGTAGATTTATCTGGAACGCACACTAACAAAGTAATAGATAATATTCAAAATAAAAAGTTACCATCAATTAAATTAAAGTATATACCAGACAACCACAAAGTAATAAAAACAGATATAGATCATGACATAATACAAGGTCGCAATCTCGCTATAGAAATATCAAATACTTCGAATGCACACTCAGAGACAGTTTCTATACTAAAGTATAATCATGGATTTCTACCTGGTCATGAACATGTAAAAAATGTGACATCATCAAGTGCATCTGCCCTCATAAAGGGCTTGAAGAAAGAGCATAATTTTAATCAGAATATTAAAATAGGGAACGCTTTAAACGAACGGCACATAATCGGAGTCGATGAAACACAAAACAGACAGAGTTTTGTCGGTGGAAATGAAAATATTCCAGACATAATTAGATACAGATCAGAATTAGACAAAACCAATGAGCAAGTTCCTCCTTCACTAGGATCTAAAGTATGCAAAAACCTTGAACTTTTTGATCGTTTACTTTACATACAACCAGATGGAAGTGTTGATACTACACATATACTATCGCCTTTAAAGGAAAAGAACATTGGAATAACGTTCATTGTGCAGAATTATAAGAAATGTTCTTTACAGGAATCCGACATTGAAAATCATCCGTTATTATTTATTGATTGGAACAACACACCAGTCAGACTCTTTGGTGGAGCCAATCCGAGGAAAACTACGGATCTCTGTGGCTTTTTTTAATGACTAACTAGCTAACGTATTCTGACAGTTATAATGTTGTCAGTGTGAATGTAAGAAGTACCAGGTTGTTAATAAAAAATAAAATTACTGAAGTTTTTGTTTCCTTTTTTATTATAATCTAAATATCGTTGTCAATTGATTTAATGCAAATAAACAAACTTAGTAGAGTTACGTCATAACTTTACACTGTAGTTAAATAAAACGGTAAATATATTTTAGTTACTAATTTTTAAATAAAATGTTATAGCTATATACATATATATCGTTTCATTTGCGCTCATGTTTGTGTAAGTAAATGTATTATATTAAATATTATACGAATTCTATCATCATGTGTGAAAAGTGTGAAATCCCGTTTCCCCCTCGTGGGGCAAGGGGCGAACACATTTCTGTGTCCGTTTCACCGATCCGTTCTTTTTAACAGGCAAGTAGTTGATCAGACTTCTGTGCCCTGCCCGACTGAAAACAATTGTATGTTTCCCTGGGATTCGAACCCGAACCCAGGACCTCTCGCGCTTAACGCAATGCTAGGCAATACGTTTAACCGTTTGGCTACTGAGGCGGTCGATTCTATCATCATAATGTTTATCAAACTGTAGGTTTAATTTTGTTATTTATCTTTAGATTTCCTTTTTTGTTAAGTTTGTACTATATTCGCTGCTGTAATAGTGTGCGAGATCAAATGGAATATAAAAATGTTGTCATTTGATTTCAACTATGTATGATGTAATACAAAATAGTGCTCTTATATCGATCAAGATTTTCATTATAAATTTATGTAATGTAGATTCTAATTCATACCGCTCTGCATAGTCTAGGTGTTGGCTCATGTTCGTATCAAACTGATTAAAATTATATAACAGAATTCGTTTCTCTTGAAAAGACACTTCATTAAAAACGCAAATATGCGTATTGTATTGTGCAAGTGGACGTCGTAATGTCAATTTTTCGAGAATCATAGAGTTTGTATGAACAGAAACGTAAAAAACGACTGGATCGAATTTGATGAGTTTTTCTACTTCTTGTAGCAACTTTAATTTCAATATTCCTGAAGTTGAAATCAAACTGGTGACGAAATTTACTCTTATGTTGCAACAATTACATTATTTAGCACAAGTAAAATATTACTTAATTTTTTTATTATTTCGTGTAATTAATAATTATTGCCTTATTTTTTTAACCCGTTGTATGAAAGTGATGTTTTTATTTTAATCAGCCCCGAATAGCTATTAATGAAGTTTGAAAAATACACAAAATAATACATAAAACATTATCAAAATTTTGAAGAAACAGTTTTCTTATGCGACGAGCGAACGATGCCGCCGGGTAAAGCTAGTATGTCATTAAAAGTATGTATGTTAATATGGCGGGAACGCCCAGTACATTACCCAATTATTTAAAATTAAATTCGATTACGAAAACTTATCGGTTGCAAGGATAAGTAGGTCTTCCTGCAATTTGTTGGTATAAATCAGAAAAACCAGATAAAAATTATAAAACATGTTAATTATAATTATTGAAATGAAACACAAACCTATTAAATTTTTATTAGTTATTAACTTTAAAAAATGTTTTTGTTTATCGCCCAAGGAATATCTTAAAATATTACCTACCTACCTACCTTAAAATATTACCTACCTACATTCTACGCAATCGAGTCTATTGCAATTCCTTCGGTAGTGATTAGTTTTTCTTTTATTTTCTAAATTACCAGCGCTGAATCATAGTTTCTATCCCACCTCAAAGCTAGAGAATAAATAAATATCTTTTTAAATTCCGATTTAGCTTTAGTAGCGAACTAAGAACTAAGACAGGTAAAAGCTGTCTTCAAAGATCGTCCGCCGAAAGTCTGGTTTATATAATAAGTTTTTCATTGATAGGGACATGGTATAATATAATATATATAGGTGGTATACCTATAATTCGAGCATCTCTGCGAGAGATAATTTTTTTTTTAATTACATGGATACAATGTCAGAAATTCTTTGTCTTCTTTGTCATAAGGTTTATTGTTGATAATATATAAAGAATCTTTGAAAATCCTAAAACCTCCAAGTTACGCATGGGATAAAAATCATTACAAACATACGCAATAACGTCGCACGGTAGCGTGCTTCAGATGCAGGATGCGCTCGCGCAGCTTATCAAGACGATAGTTGAACAAATGCTTACATTGTTCTAGAGCATGTATCGTAACGTGATTACCAAATGGCATATTCATGTCATAAGATGCGTAACGATTTTCGAGTGGGGTGGTCCGGTGACCACTCGACAAAAGCTGGTTAGTGTTTCTTTGATAAGTGAGTGTGCGCCCGCGTCAAGAACTTAAGAGGAACGTTGTAATCGTAAGTGATTTCCCATACTAACGAGTGCGAATGTGCGAAGCGAAGCGAATTCGATTTTTTTTTTATTTCGATTTTTTAATACTGGCTCAATTTATTTATGTTTTTAAAATAATATTTTTTTTATTGTTAATAAAGTTTATCTATATTGCACTATTTGTTTATTAGAAGAATACGAATGTAAGGATAGCGCGTAAAACTATTAAAATTTCGAATTGTCCAGAATGTGTGTTCTGGACAATTCGAAATTATAATTTGTTATAATGAAGAAGTTTACAGTTCTCGTGAAAATTATTATTCCGTTTATATTTCATAATACAATGTTCCAGTTTAATTATACTAATGTTTCATGTTTCAACTTTAAATGCGTAGTGTCCTGTGACCTAGTTACTCGAACTAAATTTTCACTTCAGCTTAATTCAAAATTGGGTCGCAAGTAATGCAATCTACCCGCGTTCCTTAGAATTTCTAGTGACTATACATTAGTGAGAATTCAAAACACTGATTTAACCGGTTATTATTATAATTCATATTGAAATGCGTCGGTGTTCCCATTTCTGGTATTCAATATATTATGGCGGTACAAGGTTAGGAATAATCAATAATAATCCATTATTAATATGTGTTAAGCAAGATTAGTCTAACAACAGGCATACTAGAAGTTTAATTATATCTTTTAATAATAAAGAGTTCGGGTAGCAAACGGGATGCAATAGATTCACGCAAGTGGGAAATGGTAGCTCTCATGGCTTCGAAATAGTTCCGTTAGGAGGTTTGAGTTCTGTTCTTGCTATCCGTAATAATTTAAAAATCGAATGCAATATTGAAGGAACTATGATCATATAAACTTCATGAATCGCAGAGAAATTGGTTACTTATAAAATGTAACATAGTTTGTATATGTATAAGTGTTGTGTAGTCGTTAAACGAAACCCAATCTATATTTGACAAGCCAATGAACTGTGTTATTATTTGACATATCGGAATAAAGACAACGAAGTACGAACTACGTAAGCAGGCCAAGTAATTGATTATTTATTTAAAAAAAAAAACAATTTCCATCGGTGTGCTTTTATATTAGTTAAGACTGTACAAATATATAGCTGAATGACTTAGTGGGTGTGTAATGGATTCCAATTTTAATAACATGATGTCAATAAAAAGTAACCAAGTATTGCCTGTATCTTATGCAAGTAGTAGGAATTTAAATAAAACACTTCTGACGGTTTAAACGCGAAATTTATTACATATCTTTTAACCCACTGACATAAGTACTGTCTGTAGTTAACGCTAGTAGTACACATTTAAATCAATCACTTTTTGACGGTTTTAAAATGCGAAATACTAACTTACTTCATCATCCTCCGTTGACACATAACCCACGCATGTGTGCGGATTTCGTCTTGTTCAAACTGAGTTTTTATATAAAAAATAACTTATTATTTTTTATAACCCTATTAATATTATTTGTATAATAAAAACATTTAGGATGATATTTCAAACTTTCTTTGGAAAAATAAAATATCAATCTTTTTTTATATCTTTATTACCGTTTTGTATACGTAAATTTTGTTTGTGCAGGTAAATATTTGTTTTTATTCAGTTCATTGCCCGATGTGAATTCGAAATCTTTAAATTACTGTAACTTTTTTCACTTGCATCTGACTTCAATTAGCAAAAAACAAAATCAATATGGTTATGATCTCCATGTCACAGATAGAAAGAAAACGTAAATAAAATAATCGCGTTTCAGTCCGTGGATTTTCAAATGTCCAAAGCCAAAATAGGCCGACAACACATCTTTTTAATGTGTTATATGGCTGGGGTATTTCACCTTCTGTCAAGTGAACGGCCTCTTGTCTATCCTCGTCTATTATAAAAAAACACTTTGTTTTTAATTATTTATTAGCAGATTTTTTGAATTAAATCTTAATTTTTAATTAACTTGCAAGAACGAGAATACATCGTCGTGGGAGCTAAATAATAAATGGGGAGGGGAGGGGGCGTTTGCAGGCAAAATAAATTTCGACGCCCAAAATATTTTACGCGAACCAAGTCGCTGGCGCAGCTAGTAGAAGCTGTTTTACGTTTCAATACACTACGGTCTATTTGGAAGGATTTAATTGTCTTGAGTAACGTGTTACTATAATCGTGTTTTTATAATTGTGGGCTGGTCACAGTACACCGGTATGTCCCTGCCCACATAATATCTAGTGCGTGGTTTTGTGAACATAAAAAGCGCACCGAATTGAATTAGACTAATTGGTTTGAACGAGAATCAATCCACTGATGCGATTGTTCGCGTAGTTCAATTATTTTGATTGCCTCTACACGGATATTGTATAGAAACTATCGCTTTATTAATCTCCAATGTTATTCACGTATTAATCGTTACTACTGTATCATAAATCGTTACTACTGTATCATAAATCGTTACTACTCGAATCGTTACTTATTTCGGGGACGATTACTTAACGTAAAATGTGGGATTGTATACTTGTGTAACACTCGCTTTTGGTCAATCTTTAAACGCTTTGCATAGTGCTGCGGTAAGTCCTGGGTTCGCATCCTGATGAAGGCAAATAATAGCTTATAATAATAGCTCGCCAGGGCATAAATAAAAGCAATCAGTAAAAATTATTCTAGTCAATTTTTTTA